TTTTCGCTACTATTTGAAAATTTTAATAAGAATAAGAATTCGTAAAGCTAAAAGTTTGAGAAACCCTGCTTTCAAAATATCATATTTTTCGATATCTATTACGTTCTTTCATCATCAGCTCACTGTACGTGCCCACCGAGGGGCTCGGAGCCTACCCAAAGTTACGGGTGACTAGACCATAGTCAACCACGCTGGCCAAGTGAGGATTGACTTGACACATATCTTTGAATTTCATCTCAGATATGTGCAGGTTGCATCACGATGTTTTCCTTCACCGTCACGTTCTTTAGATCAATAATATTGAAATAAAATAAATAACAAATATATCAATAAAAATGACCACAGATAAGCAAAAATGGTTCGAAATACAATATTAATTTTGGCTGGTAATAATCACCATTTAAATGATACATGTTATCAGTTTGAAATGAATTTATCAGAGAAAACATGGAATTATATAAACTTAAAAGAAGTTAAAAAAAACGATAATTCAATACGCTTGTTACAATTGGACACGCAACGTAATCGAATAACCAACAAAATGAAACAATCAGAGCGAAGAAATGGCGGCAAGAGGAAGCCAATGCAATCGTTGTACTGTGGACTAATTCAACAACGAAATAGAACAAAAAAGGAAGCAAACGCTTAAATTATACAACAAAAACGAATACAGTATAGACATAGCATGTATAAAATGGTAAAATCCAGTTTCTCTCTGGTAGACAAATAAATTAGCAATCAAACTGTCCCAAAATCAATCTCCCCTAAGTAACTATAGCATACTAGCTGTCGCCCGCAACTCCGTCTGCGTGGAATTGAAAAAAAACTTTATAAGTAGCCTATGTGTTCTTGAAGACTACGTTCTATATTTATGCCAAATTTCATTACGATCCGTTCATCCTTTCTGGAGATATATTCAAACATACATCCACCCATCTAAACATTCGCATTATAATATTTGTAAGAAGTAAGATTAAATAAAAAATCTTAACCTATACTAGCAAAGGACTGTGCTTGTTAAAATAGAGTCTAACACACACAAGACGACTAAGTCTCTCATGTGCGGGGGCTCTTAGACTCCTAGGTCGTATTGCAATGTATAAAATAAACTTATAAATTTCTTGATGCGTCATAAGATGATTGTACCGCAGTAGACATCATTTTTTAAGTTCCTATCTAGGCAAAATCCGACTTCTAAATAATAATAGAACAATTTTACAAGACAATAGACATATTACAAGAAAGAAGACTATTTTCTTACTTTCGCGTGTGTTCATGATTATTTTGCTACATTTTAGTGCAATTTGGGATTTTTTTGAAGTCGGTTTTTTTATTTACATTAGATTATATACAAAAATGTTACTCTGTATAGGAAACTATCGTCTGAATAATAGCAATGTCGTAACCTAATTCAAGGCATAGTCAACTATTGCTTAAGACACGCTGTACTCTGTCCGAGGCTTTAGTGCGATTTGGATCCTCGAAGGAAGTGGATGCTTCTAAATTTTAGAGGAATATTACGTGCATTAATTATTATTATAATAAATTAATAATTAATTTAGTGTTATTTGTATTATTAAGGTAAGTTTTAATATTTTTTTTTGCTTACGCAATTATTCTAGTTTCTTTATAAGTAGTAAACGTAAAAGTGGTGTTACTCAATATCACCTAGTTCCTGACTAACGAGTTTTTCTCTTCGGTAATAGGAATTAACGTTGTCAATAGCTGCTAATAGACATGAATTAGATGTTTCTTATATAAGTAGTAGCAATATATATTTGGGATGTATTCGATCAAATGATTTTATCTTACTAAAATCTTACTTCTTACTTAATATTATAAATGCGAATGTTTAGATGAATTTTTATTTGAAGGTATCTTCAGAACGGCTGAAGGGATCTCGATTAAATTTGGTATACATATAGAACATAGTCTGGAAGAACACATAGGCTACTTATTAAGTATTTTTTTTTTACCCACGGGGACGGATTCATGGGCTAGCTAGTTAATTATAAAATTTATGACCAAAAATCCAAGACATAATAAATATCATTCCTTCTTTGGTTACAATGACATAAATTTTAACAGTCCTACAGCAGTCCATTGTGAAGAAACAAAATATACAGGAAAAGCTAAACAAATCGTAGTCCTTTTCCACTTCTAGTATCTTCTCCGGTACGTCTGATTAATCAGAAACGGAAATATCCTTTTTAAAGTTACTCTCTTCTTTATCCACTAAGATAGTCCACGGACACGTTCTACGTTATGTTGTTGCGATAACGTCTTAACCTCTGCTTATCCTTTGGGTTAGAGGTAGAGCCGGCGTCAGGGTACTTCGTGGCTGGGCGACCGTTTAGGGCGCTTGAGAGAAAGAGTCGCCCATGGTGTGCGAATTACAAAGTTTCACATAAGCCTATTACGGCTCCACCTCATACCAATGCATGGTAAAAAAGAGGGCAACATAAATATGTCATTCAAAGCACTACTACAAGTAAAAACATGATTGTTAGGGGCATGATTATTACATATATATGAAATGACATTATATTAGAAATAATTATATCTAATCATTGTAGCACAAGGACGAATTCATCTAGTTGTATATTATTTGATAATACACACATATACAACGCATGTGTGTGTCTGTATTGTTTAAAAGAATAATGTAGATAGTTATGGTCGTTGTACGTCAAGTCATTGTGACCCCAAGGTCAGTCTTCCTAATTAAACGACCATTGCAGTTCGTCGACTGTTTTTTTGTAATTATGACGGCTTATTTGGTAAAGCTAAGCCTTAGTACTACTTAATGCTGAATCGCGGGCGCGTTTGAGATTTAGAGACTAAAGTCGTTGATACTTAGGTCACGAGTATTGCCTATGTACACAACATTGAATCGTCGACGCGAGTCGTCTATAGCCATTAAACAGCTAACTTAAATTTACGATGATTTGCTCCGCCATCTTGAAAATTGAAGCGTTTTTTTCATTATGATATTGACAAATATGTAGCGAGCGAGTGTTCGGCAACAAAAGTACAAAGTCAACGTTTCGACTAAAATCGTTAGGTCTCGAAGATTCCATGCCTTGTGCACAAAGGGCCTTATTTCAACTGGTTTGAATTAGTCGGTCGCGCAAACTCCTCACGGTCAATGCGAGCACACGGTCACCAAATCTCATCGCGAACCTAAGCTCATCGTGAACAAGCATATTTCTAAATATTTGTCTATTTCCCCAAACGTATGCAAACTGATAGATAGTTTTTTGAACGATTGACTTTTTGGGCTATCTTATTTCAATATTTAAGCTAAGTATACACTGTATCTGTTTTTTTTTTTTTCAAGAAAAATATATCGTTTTGACGAAAATTTAGTCTTCAAGCCGAACTCAACAAACAATTATTATTTCATATAGGATTTTAGTATAATTATTCAGAAATCGGTTGAGTAATTTCGGGGCCTATTCAATGCAAATAAGTTCCTTTTATAATAATGATAAATTTGTTTTAACAAAGTCGTTATATTAAAATAGTATTGTTTTTAACCAAATACAATGAATCGTAAATTTTAATGTCATTCGTAGACTTCTTTATAAGGAATATAATTAGTTTTAGTCATATTTGATATGTTTTTAATTGTTATAAAAGAAGACACCTGTGAGATATAAAAGTGTTTTTTTTTCTGATAGTCGTTGATGTCTTTTGCTTTGTCAAAAATAACAATTTTTAAACTCATAAAGTAATTTGCTTGATTCCAAGAAATCATTATTATATTTATTTTATCTAAACTAAATATATACTTTACTAATCAAATGAATATTACTATTTAAACTGAAGTGTTAAAATTACATTTAACCTTATTCCAATCAAATGTATTTCAAAATTAAATTGTGTTCAAATTTTGTTTCAACCCAACAACTTTTTAATATGCATTAGTATACGCAATTTCTATATCATTAGCATGTCTTTTGCTATAGGATGGCGTCAGCTACTTTAATCCAGCCTTCTGGTGAATTGTGGAAGAAGATAAGAGTTGAACTGAATGAGGATGTGAACACGCGTGACCAGGACCTCGCAACAATTAAAGAGTGGCTTCGGAAGCAACCACATCTACCTGATGAATGGGGTAAGTGTATTATTTTATTTTTGTTAAAATGTCAGCAATTTTTTTTTGTTAATTTACTAATATTTCTTTTACCATTCCAACTAAGCTCTAGGCTTGTGTTAGGATATGGTTTACGACAATAGTCGAATGGCATTTATCGAACTTTCGACCTCGTGATCGGAAACCCGTACCCTTAAAAATTAGGCTATTGACGCTTAATTTAAACTCAAAGTTTATTTTTTTTAATTATATGAAACTAAAATATGAGTTTGAAAGCAAAACTCATTTATATTATAACCTCTTATACATCTATAACTTTCCTTTGGTTAAAGAATATATAAAACTTAATACAATGCAATTATACTCAACAAACATATTGTTATCTCTGTTTTGTCAAAGATAATGACAGGGACGACGATATGTTTTATACAATGATTTTGATAACAGAAACCAGGGTTACATTATATGATTGATCGTATGAAAATTTCAGATGATGACAGGATGATGACATTCTTACGCGGCTGCAGCTTCTCTCTGGAGAAATGTAAACGCAAGTTAGACATGTACTTCACCATGCGAACCGCCTGCCCAGAGTTCTTCACCGACAGAGACATCACCAGACCGGAACTAAATAGTTTGATGAACAGACTGTAAGTAACCCATTTTATAACAGTCAGAATCGGGTCTAATATTTAAACAGTGTACAGTCAGGGACATTCGCGGTGTTCCGCTTTTAAAAATTGCAACGAGACAAATGAACGCGACGAGTCACTTCTTACAAAGTAACCAATTAGATAACAGTTACGCAACGTCAAATAGTAAAAAGCAATTAGTCTAGTGACCATTTCCGCGTGCTCTCAATGCTTAAGAAAGATAACTTGATATTGGGGTAAGAGATTTGATTCATTATCTTTCAAATTAAACTCATTCTAATTATCATGTAACAAAGTTGGCGGGCTTACGGGCACTCCCATAGTTGAGTGTAAAGAATTTCATATCTCCACGGTAAATTTACAATATATTTCCAGACATGCTACTCCACTACCAGGCTTGACACCGAATGGACGTCGTGTCAGCGTTGCTAGAGGTAAAATATAATTCAATATACTCGTACATAAAATAATAAAATAATTACTATAACTAATACTTAATTAATTAAAAAAATCTGACTGGCTGTACTTTTATAATACAACAAAGAATCGCATAAGACACTTCATTTAGAAGTCGTCAAGTATATTGTCTGTTCATATTGGAACAAACAGAGACGATAAAAACATCACCCTGTAAATCGATTAAAAAGATTCCATGAATTCTTTAGTATTTTGAATGATCTTCGTATTATTAAAGTTACATTACTTAGGTGTGGACAAGAACTTAGACACAAGTGAGTTATGTAATTTGTTCAAAATCGGCTTGATGATTGGCGACGTAAGACTGCGAGAGGAAGAACAAGGAGTAGGCGGGGACGTGTACGTATTAGACGCCGCTGTGTTGACTCCCAAGCATCTCGCCAAACTATCCCCTGCGCTGGTTAAGAAGTTCCTCATATGTGTACAGGTATGTTGTCTATTATCCGCTACGATTTAGGGTCCTTCAAGAAGCGAGCTTATCATCATCTCAAAGGCCGGCAATGCATCTGCGGTTCCTATAGTATTGCTGATGTCCATGGGTGTCGTTGAACACCTCGGTGTTCCCGCTGCTCGTATGCCCCCTTGTGTTATAAAAAAAAATATATAATTGTTATTTCCTTTGATATAACTTAATTTTATTACCAACATTTCAGGAGGCATATCCAGTCAAATTAAAAGAGGTGCATGTGGTGAACGCATCGCCAATCGTCGACAAAATTGTCACTATCATCAAACCATTCCTCAAAGAGAAAATTAAAAACAGGGTAAATATCTACAATTGAAAACAAATAATCTTACTATCTTGCTAATGTTATAAATACGAAAATTTAGTTGAATGGTTCGATGGAGGTTTGTTGGAAGGTATCTCCAGAACGGCATCACGGATCTCAATAAAATTTGGCATGGATACAGAACATAGTCTAATGGTTAATTTGCTGTAAACCATGTCCTAGCACAAGCCTAGAGCTTGGTTCGAATGGTTGAAGAAATATTAGTAAATTTACAAAAAAATCAGGAAGAACACATAGTCTGTTTATTTTTTAATTCACTGTCGGACGACAGCTAGTCTTGTTTAAATTTTATCGATGACGTTACGATACATTACTATTTTTTTTTAATTCCGCTCGGACGTAATCGCGATAGTCAGTTATCATAATTGAAATTCGAAATATTTACAAAAATGGTGGTGCAATTGAAACAATTTTGAATTAATATTTTTTTTTTGTTTAGATATTCATTCACTCGGATTTAAACACACTTTACGAGTATGTACCGAAAGATTTACTCCCTACTGAATATGGAGGATATTGCGGATCGCTTAAAGAAATTAATGGTAACTATCTTTTTTTTAAACAACACAAAATACTATATTAATATTGTATTCCGTGTATATGTAGGAAGAGATATACGTAAAAGGTCAGTATTGATCATTTATTAAACAAAAATATTAACGTACTATCCATTTCTGTTTTTGTTACACCAAAAAAAAATCACATCTATACATAATAGTCAATGGAAATCGAATTTGTAATTATTAACGTATATCGTGGTTTTATTTTTAGATGCATGGATGAAGAAATTAGAAGATTACACAGAATGGTTCAAGCAGCAAGAATCTATCAAAGCCAATGAATCTCTCAGACCCGGCAAGCCTACAAATTACGATGAGTTATTCGGAATTGATGGTTCCTTCCGTCAACTCTCTATTGATTAAGACACTGTCTATAAATAAGTTACTTTATAATTAAGTCATAGTACATTTAAAGACAACTTTATTTTAGACTACAGGTTATTTTTACATCTACACAAACAAGCTCAATTTGGTTAGTGGCACTAACTTTAAGTACGTCGTTTTCTTAATAAACCTTTACTCATAATACTGATGATTACTTTAAATATGTATGTAATTTTAATGTAACATAATTTTGTAACAGATAAAAAAATGTATTGTTGTTAACTGAATATTGGTTGTATTGAAGACATTAAGCGCCTGTGAATAATAAAAAAGCAAATTTTTAAACAATTCTAATATAATTCTTGCTATTTATTTTCATCAGGCGGAACTACAACTATCTTTACAATAACTATAGATTACTTCAGAATTAGTTTTGTCAAAATTAAGATTAAAATAAAAATTATTCACTTAAAAAGTTGTTTATTTCTAAATCCAAAGAAGCTTTCATTAATTCCCGCTGACGTAACTGAAGTTATTTAATAAAAATTTGTACCATGTAAGCAAAATAACTATAAGTTTATTAAAATTTCACCTTTTTATATTATAACACACAATATTTAACATCTGAATATCATCTTACAACTTATTAACCTTTATCTTAAATCATATTCAGCACAGATAGACAATAATTATTGTTCGATTGACCTTGATCATCATAACAGATTATACAGAGATATATCACGTACGTAATATTGTAAAACGATAACCATAACAATGAAAGAAAACACGTATATATCTTATCTTAAACAGCTCTCTACTAGATTCATGTCTAATCGTGGGTTTCTGAAACCAATAAAAAAAATATCTCTGTTTTATCAAAGATAAAAATAAAATCGACACGACAGACCGCCAGGTTCCATCAATACCATCTCGATGGCTGGCAATCCACAACCGAGCGGTTTGCGCGCAACTTCCTGCCTCGCACAGCAGCGTTGTGGAATGGTCAGTCCTCGGCGGTATTTCTAAACCGCTACGAATTAGGGTCCTTCAAGAAGCGAGCTTATCACCACCTCAAACCGGCAACGCATCAGCGGTTCCTCTGGTATTGCTGATGTCGATAACTTTGGTTTTGCTGTCGGATCACTTCGTTGCGAATTCGATCTTAATACCTATCTAGTTTAATATCACAATGTTGTGAAAACTCAGGCAAAGGGTTCAAACAAAGCAACTCTTATGTTGCAACTTATTAAACCTAATATTTGAACGCGAATTAACGCGTGTGGATTTTCAATACGAAAACATTGATAGAAAATCGTATTACTGTCCCTTTTATTCCCTTTAAGAGAAACAGAGATAACAATATGTTCTGGCATTAATATAGAAATTAATATTTCAAAGAAAGTGAAACTCATATAATTGGATGTAAATATGTTTATAATATTTAAAAGTAAAATTAACAATACTTAATAATATTAAATATCTTGTTTTAGTAAAATTAATAACGCAGTAGCAAAAATATTTCCACATGTTAAAATATAATTATTTATTCCGTATTATTAAAATCTTTTAGTGTTTTGTAAAAGCGAACTATTGATGCTTTTAGTTGTATGTCCGAGGAGCGTTTAGACGCCCAAAATAAAAGTTAGTTTATTTAAATGTATGTTGATAAACGGCAATAAAACAAACTTTAGTTTTTAACGTGAATAATTAATTGGTGACGTAATATTTTTTCATTGTTTTTTTTTTAATTGGATAACTAAAACTCAAGCGTAACATTACCTAGTAAGTTCTATTACTAGTATGTGAGCAGTCAAGTGTTTTGGAAACGTTAATTTGTCTATTCTTTTATCTATAAAAATGAAATAAAAACTAAAACTTGAATATGGAACTTATTTATAACTTTGCAACTTATCCTTAATAATGTCAAGTTGATTGATTGCTAAAAACTTACAATGTAATTAGGAACAATCTTACTCGATCAACTTGTACAAGTAGATCAGACGCGTTCAAACGAGGCATCATGTTAACTCCGAAGTGCAACATTTCCCAACCGCACCGCACAAGAGTGGGTCAGTAACAGTCTGTTGTTGGTGCTTTGCGGACGTCACTTTCCACTGAACGAAAGTTATTACGCTTTAAAAACAAACCTTTTTTAATTTGTGCCAGTTACATCAGGCAAAGGTAAGTTCATTTTTCTGATTTAAAAAAATATTTTTTTTATTTTAATGTACGTAATCGATTTCGAAATTAGAAAGGAATGATTAAAAATTACAATCCATCGGTAATTTTATTGTTTTTTTATGGTGTTTGATATGAAATTAATAGTCTTTTGTTTGGCATGATGAAATTTAAGGCTTCATAGGTATGTCTTTCTATAGATTTCGGGTATTGCTTAAGAACCAACTTGGAGGTGAAATTTCAACACCATGATGTGGGAACATTTTAGATAAAGTTGTGAAATTGTAAGACAAAGCAATATTTCTTTCTACCTTCATTTCGTAATTAAATATTGCCAATCATCACTAACTTAAAATGAAAAAGGGAATTAATTTAAATATATTTTATTGAATACTTTCGTTATTCATCTCGTTTCCTCGTAACACTGTGAGTAAGATGTTTATTAAAAGTGAAAGTTCCTCTTTGTTACTTCACAACATCCGTGTATCGAGGTTGGTTAATATAAAAGTTCATTTATAGAAGATGAAATTTATACAAGGACACCCGCATACTTTTTCCAAAGAAAAAAAAAGACAAAGAATTATTCATAGTTTTTTCAAGTGTAAGTTAATTAATTTTATGTATCAAGCTACGTTATCAAATATAGCTAAACTAGCTGTCACCCGTTACTGCGTCCGCACGGAATCAAAAAAAAAATTATAAGTAGCCTATGTGTTCTTCCAGACTATATGTTCTACATTTGTACCTTCAAACAAACATCCATCTAAACATTCGCTGATATATAAACACGGCTAAACACTGACATATATTCGTCCGGTGGCGGCACCGACTAGTTTCGAGCCCATCGGGGGCCCTTCATCAGGATGAGTGGTACTGGTATTATTTCGCGGACGCGGCCCGCCGCACACTGAGTGTTTAGCCGTGTTCAGTCATATCAGTTTAGTATAATGTCTCACGAAAGTTTGAATAATTTACTAAACATTCGCATCTATAATATTAGTATGATGTAAAAAAAAATTATACTTGAGTTAAAAAAAAAATCCACAATGATTACATTTAATTCATAATAAAATTATAAAAGGATATAGAATTTAACGTTTTTTTTTTACACAATACGGTTTTCGGAATATATGTCGCACCTAATTGTGAAAAGATATAAAGATATTTATGGAAATAATACTATGTGTCTTAAGTTTTAGCATATAACATAGCAATTGTTTAAAGCAAATTATATACGAGTATATACTAGCGGATCCGACAGACGTTGTCTGACAATTTGACACTGCGATGGTAGCGCCGTCTGTCGGATCCAATGTAAAACATTCCAAAATCAACAACTACTAATAAATTAAAAATTAATTAAAAAAAACATTGTCCAGCAGACAAAATTGTGAATCTAAACCATTCCCAGATCCCCTTGAACACACACAAAAAATTTCATCAAAATCGGTCCAGTCGTTTGAGAGAAGTTCAGTGACATACACACGCACAGAAGAATTATATATATAAAGATATATATATACATACTATGATGTTCTTTTGCTATAATTTTCCTGCGATTTATACGTTAAAACTGAAAAGTTTGAAAACACAACTCCTAATCGAATTCTACCAATTTTGTTTTCAATTGACGATCTAATTAAACATGATTTGTATTACTTAAAAAAAAAACTCTGTTAGCAAATATTTAGTTAAACATATACTTAACCCTTTGACAGCCGGCGATTGATATTTTAGTTTAGTTATAAGAGAGTATGTTTTACCCTAAAATATGAAACGCAAAACTTTTTAATGGCATTTCAAAGGCATTAATCATAAATTTTTGTTTATCTAATATCTGCGTGATAAAATGCTTGACGTCGGATAATTGTACATGGCGGGATTCGAACCCAGGACCTGTAGATTAAAAGTCAACTGCTTTAACCCCTGAGCCACCGACAATTACATATTAAACCTGAAAAAAACAATATCATGTTTTAAGTTAAAAAATTAATGGTTACTTTAAACATCATTCTATGATTCTTTGGAATTAAAAGGCATATCTAGTGAATAATAAAAGCAATAGTTCTATGACCTAGAATAATACTTACTATTGTATTAACAGATTTTTAGTTCACAGACTATCTCTATTTTCTCTTAATAAAAAAAATTACTTTCACTTTATTTAATATAGAAAAAAAATCAGAACGTTCTAGAAACTAGGCAGAAGATTTTTTTTACACCAATTTACATAGTAACAATATGCTACTATGTTACATTATAACTATTTTGTCTAAATATCAGAATGCTTATCGCATACGAAAATATGAATAGATATAAATATATTACACTAGCTGTCGCCTGCGACTCCGTCCGCGCGGAATTAAAAAAAAATATAGCTAGTGGCTTATGCGTTCTTCCAGATTATGTTCTATATGTATGCCAAATTTCATCGAGATCCGCACAGCCGTTATGGAGATACCTTCAAACAAACATCCATCTAAACATTCGCATTTATAATATTAGTAAGAAGTAAGATGTGGGTATGACCCATTGAGAACGAATAAGCCAATCGAATTTATGTGTTTCTTAAATTAACAATTAACATCTTATAATAATAATATTTACACAATTATCCCATTTTCAAACCTCGGTTTTACACTTTTTTTACAAAAGAATACCGTCTTCTCTTTCATTCTATATGAAAAAAATAGAGATAAAAACATATTCGTGTAGCAGTTTTGCCGCAGTGTAAACTCACGGTTAACTGCATCTTAGATAATTGATAACAGATTCAAGGAATGCCGTTGCATTGCTCTAGACCTTAAGCGCCAGAGGACGGTGACTTCTTGACCGTTACTGGACGTATAATCTTTATCTTGAACTTGTAACTATAAAAGATTCAAATGTAAAACACTAGCTGTCACCTGCTACTCCATTCGCGCGGGATAAAAAAAAAAATAAGTAGCCTATATGTTCTTCCAAAGTTCTATAACTATGCCAAATTGCAGCGAGATCCGTTAAGCCGTTCCGGAGATATCTTCAAAACAACCATCCATCCAAACATTCGCATTTATAATATTAGTAAGACTACTAAAATACGTTTTATGTAGCATATAAAAATGTTATTTGTTCAAAAACTTCACTAAGTCAAATATACTACACTAAAATAACTAAAATCAGAAATGTGCACTTTCAATATCTTCTTCTTCTATATATATAAAAGAAAGTTGTGTTAGTTACACTATTTATAACTCAAGAACGGTTTTACCGATATGGCTGAAAATTGGTGAGGAGGTAGCTTAGAGCCAGGAGACGGACATAGGATGATATTTATTAATTTTTGCCTTGAAGAAGGTTTTATTTAACTTACTAATATTATAAATTCGAATGTTTAGATGGATATGATGTGGATGGATGGATGGGCTACACTAATTATTTTTTTTATATATTCATGCGTACGGAGTCGCAGGCGACAGCTAGTTTAAAATATATAACCTCTCGTTCTTTCTCCTTCGTAGTTATATCTTGTGTCTCACTCTTGTAACGAAATGCGTCTTAACGTTCATCCTTTTACGAACTTAAAAGCATATTTTAATAAGATCTAGATTAAAAGTATTGAGTCTGTTTTCTCTTTGTAATGTAGGTCGAAATTCTCTCACAAGTTGATCTGAGTAATTTAAATTGACACACATCTTGAGACCGACTTTATGTAATTTGATCTGTTTCGCCACGTTTAAAAAATACGCGACTTCAAACTAATGTGTAATTAACAAATATTAAAACGCTTCATCCGCTTGGAATTAAAAAAAATATAAGTAGAATATGTGTTCTATAGTTCTTCATTTATACCAAACTAGCTGTCGCCTGCGACTTCATTCGCGTGGAAATAAAAAAAAAAAATTAGTAGCCTATCTGTCCTTCCAGACTACGTTCTACATTTATAACATTCTAGGTGTCGCCTGCGAATTCATTCGCGTGGAATGTGTTCTGCCAGGCTATGCTGTATCTTTATGCCAAATTTCATCGAGACCCGTTGAGAGCCGTTCTTCAGATACCTTCAAATAAGCATCCATCTAAACATTCGCATTTATAATATTAGTAAGAAATAAATTTTATCGATATACTACAAACTTTATGAGAACTTTTTAAGGATGCCCGAACAAATGAAGGCAAAAGACATAGTTAAAGTTGACACATTGGAGAAGTGTACAAAGCTATTTTTCAAACAAAATCTTTGTAGAGCTTTAATCCTTGAAAAAAGAACCTTAACTATAATTAATTATGGTCGAATTTCGAACAATGGACGTTCATTACTAAAAGTAGAAAGTGCTAAATCCATGCCTACTTTAAGATTAGTTTTCTCTTGTTTATGGCCATGATCATTAATGATACCTTTAAATAATCATAGACAAGTCTCTTAGTGTCATTATGGTATCTATAATTTATCTTTGATACTTATAAAGGTGATTTAATCTGATGGCAGTTCATAAAAATACAGAGTATTAAACTGATACAGACATTTCATTGGAAATTATTTGGAATTACATAAATTTTATAACTCATAATAACAGTGGTAGAGCCCGCTTTAACATCTTCGCACGAATTAGTCCGGCTCGCCCGGTGAAATACCACGACCACAAAGAAGACAGGCGTGAAGTGGAAGCAATTCCGCGTTTCGTCTGATGAGTGTGCGTCCCGGAGGCCTAATTTAGTCCTTTTTCCCTTCCCACCCTTTTTCTTATAAGGAAAGGATGGGAAGTGGAAGTGGACTTTCCGGACGAGAGGATGCATGGAAAGGAAAAATATTTTCTATCTGTGCATTCTCTCCTCCGTCGATTAAAGGTAGGCAACGCATATGCAATTGCGTATGTCTATGGGCAACGGTCACTTCGCTATATCAGCGATTTCAGGTGGCCGCTCGCTCGTTTGCCACCTTATGATATAAAAAAAAAAACATAACCTACAACTTTTTTACTTTTGTGTCCTATGTGGTATACGTTGTTTTTTTATATCATAATTTTTGCAATCTTTTTAGCTCAGAGTTTCTACACCTTTGACATTGTATCATAACATCCTATGTGTTTTTAATTACACAATTTCTATTGGGCTGCGTGATTACACTGCTTAATTACAAATTACTAAACGTTGTATCCAAATAAATGTAGAGGTCAAAAAAGAAATAAAAATTAATTGTTAACCACCATTATAATTCAATAAACATGACCAAATATATGTAACTGTAAATTCACAATCTGTCCAGTCAGATTATAAAATTAATTTTATAAATTATAAATGGCATAAAAACTAAACTATAGACTACTCTAGGGTCCAAAAAAATTTTACTTATAATTATAGATAAAATATAAAATACATACGAGAAAAATATATATCAAGAAATCAGTTAAAATTCAGGTAAAAATACAGTTAAATATTTTATAATTTACAGTAAATAATGAAGCTAAAGACAGACCTTTTAGTCCAGCCTTCAGGTGAAATATCGAAGAAGATTCGAGAAGAATTAAAAGAAGATGTTAACACCCGCTATAAGGATTTAGCAGCGATCAAGGAATGGTTACGGAAACAACCGCATTTACCCGATGAATGGGGTAAGCAATTCGTTTATATCCATCAAAATTAATTAAAAAAAAATCACTAACATCAATTCTTTATCTCCAACGACTATTATTAAGGTAGTAAAATTCTAATCATCAAGTGAAAAGTATACTTTTGTTGGTAATAAATAAACAGCTGTCAGTTTTAAAATCGTAACAAAAGCCCAACAAACCCCAAGACCCAACTAGAGTCAAGACAACCAATAGTTATTATTAAAAGAATGACTAAATTCCTGTAATTAATTACACAAAAGTACACATGTTATCAGGGAATGTGTAAATAAGGAAGCGTCGGTGGCTCAGTGGTCAAGCACTTGACTTGCAATCTGCAGGTCCTGGGTTCAAATCCCGCCATGTACCAATGTGTTTTTCCATTTCCGATTTATATATGTACATTTATCCGACGTTCTTACGGCGAAGGAAAACATCGTGATGCAACCTGCACATATCTGAGAAGAAATTCAAATATAAGTGTAGTCAACCAACCCTTACTTGGCCAGCGTGGTTGACTATGGCCTAATCACCCTTAACTTAGGGTAGGCTCCGAGCCCCTCGGTGGGGACGTACATATAGTGAGCTGATGATGATGATGACACATGTAATTAAACGTATTAACTCGCAAGTCTAACCGTGGGTTTCTGACACTCAAATGTCTGTTTAAAACACATTGATATTTCTGTTTTGTCAAAAATTATAACAGGAATGACGATATGATTTTGATCTCAAAAACCCACGGTAAGAAGACTTGAGATATAATCTAAGAGCACAGAGTCTAACATTGCAGTACAATCGACTTGTTAATAATAATTTCTATATGTCAAACAGAGGATATGCCGTTACTGACTTTCCTGCGCGGCAGTAGTTTCTCTCTGGAGAAATGTAAACGCAAACTGGACATGTACTTCACGATGCGCGCTGCCTGTCCTGAATTCTTTACTAACCGAGATGCCACCAGTCCTGAGCTTAGAGAGATCTTGAAGGGAAAACTGTAAGTATAAACCTAAGAGGAATGTAGCTTCGATGTGTAAAACAGTGTACTGTGGAAAGCATTGCACCTTCTATTTCGAGCAGTGGACAAATGTAAGCAATCTGCAATTGCGGATGTTTATTTGAAGCAGTCGCTTCGCTATTTCGGCGAATTCAGTTGCTCGCTTGCTCTGATGATAGTTATGACGATGTAATCCTAGTCTTCTACATGTGAACAGATGTGGTGATACAATTGAGTACAATATAATGCTTTGTTCTATCCTTGACCAGATAATATCATGTAATGTGATACATTAGGCGTAGAGGCATAAAGCCTCGGTGGCTAAGGGGTCAAGCACTTGAATTGCAATCTGCAGGTCCTGGGTTCGAATCCCGACATGTACCAATGTGTTTTTCCATTTCCGATTTACATATGTATTATACATTTATCCGACGTTCTTACGGTGAAGGAAAACATCGTGATGCAACCTGCGCATATCTGAGAAGAAATTCATAGATATGTAAGTCAACCAACCCGCATTGGGCCAGCGTGGTTGACTATGGCCTAGTCACTCGTGACTTAGGGAAGGCTGTGAGTCCCTCGGTGGGGACTTACAATGAGCTGATGATGATACATCAGGATCCGACTTTGAATTTTGATTGACATTAAACATTTTAACTAATTATAAGATTTCAAACGTTTTATACAATGTAAACATATCGAAGACGAAACACAAAGCGGAGTATTCTGAATAGTGTCAAGCGAATTTAGCAATAATTACTTTAGCATTTAGGTTGTGTTTCTCAAGTTGATGTTAGGTAAGATTAACCTTGGCTAGCTCAAGGTCACTGTGTCGTGATCATCCGGCTGCGTAATAGTCACGGCAATAATGATTGTGTAAACAATTACTATAGACATGACGATGTTTTTTATATATACAGCGTGTCCCAAATATCAACGATAAAACGGTAATAGTGTATATGCCAGATCGATAACTACACGGGGAAAAATACTAAAAAAACTTTTTGTTTAAAGCTGTTACTAGAGAGAAATAGTTTTTTGTCAGATAAAGATTCTCTGTTTGTATGATTCTTTTTAGAGGATTTGTAGTGTATTAAGTTAGTTGTGTTATCCTAAAATAATTCAATTCGTATCTTTTCCCGCAGTATCTTAAGATTATTAAAAGTTAATCATCAATACTGTTATTTAAATAAAATAATAGCATGAAATGGAATATATTTTTATATCATAAGGTGGCAAACGAGCGAACGGCCACCTGAAATCGCTGAAATAGCGAAGTGACCGTTGCCCATAGACATACGCAATTGCATATGCGTTGCCTACCTTTAGTCGACGGAGGAGAGGATGCACAGAAAGAAAATATATTCTCTTTCCATGCATCCTCTCATCCGGAATATACATTATTAACTAAAAAAATAAGTAAATTCCATTTACAAATCAATTAAATAGGGGTAAAACATTATTCTTGGCTAATGGGAATGCTAAGCTGATGCTGCCTCCAGCTTTTCACTGAAAGCTGCTCCCCGTAATTACTTCAAGAAGGTTTATTATAATTACAATTAAATATATAAAATATTTTAGGCAAGGACCACCTCTTCCTGGTGTCACTCCGAATGGCAGACGAGTCACAATATGTCGAGGTAAGATCTTTTGTTTTTTAACAAATTCGATCACGTATTCAACTTCGACAACATAACGATTGATGAAATTTTTGTATAAAAACATATTCTTATAAACTTTTTATAGGCAGTGGAAACGCACCTTAATGCATATCAATGCATTACGGTTGACCACTTAACTATCGTGAAAATAATAAACGCACCTAACAAGTGTATAGATAAAAAATATTTTTATCTCTCTACTACAAAAGATATAAATTTATTTATTACCAAAACTTTATTTAATATTTGTATTCAGTTCATAGCAATTGTGTTATAATTTTATATGTTCTTTGTTTATTTCTAAGTATTTATATTGAAACGCTGTTCACGTTTTATATTACCATAAAGATCGAATCATGTTTGTAGTTCTTCCTTATTCGTAGTGTACATCACTAGTATTTATACTACGTTTGATTCTAATTTTAAATAAATTAATATTAATAATTTTAAAGATTAAAAAAATCTAAAAAAACAAATGCATAAAATGTTATTAAACAATTAATTATCTTTTTATATCTCATAAAGAATTTATTTTTTAACTGCCACTATTTAGGATTACGAATTGTTGTAAAATTTTAAGTATCATATGTACAATCAGAGTGGTTGTCGATGTATTCTTTTTTATTACGATATTTTTGTTTGGTTTCGGTACAGTCAGAATCATTGTCAGTGTTTAATATATGTTTTATTAATTACAACGCATGTATAGTTCCTAAGTACTTTTATAAAAAAAAAAAACTTATGTCTTTTTGTGTCCAGGTGTCCATCCCAGTCTGGATGGTCAGCAGATCACGGACACTTTGAAGTTGGCACTGATGGTAGGCGATGTGAGGCTTATGGAGGAAGTGCAAGGCGTGGCTGGAGACATCTATGTGCTGGACGCAGCGGTGCTCGGGCCCAGCCTGCTCGCTCGACTCTCGCCCACTATTGTCAAGAAGTTCATGATTTGCGTACAGGTATGACATAAAAAAAGAAAAGACTGATTTATATTTTATACAAAATTATTAATCTGTATTTTGTTTAAAAACTTTTTTCAGGAAGCTTATCCAGTGAAATTGAAAGAAGTGCACATAATAAATACGTCTCCTATCGTTGAAAGATTTCTTACATTTGTGAAGCCATTCCTTAAGGAAAAGATCAGGAAGAGGGTAAGCAGAGATATAAAAAGTATTACACTAATTGCTATATACTAAAAGAACACAAGCAGACTCAATTTGTCAACTTATCAGTCTAAAGATTAACGCGCATTCATTCACTCCTCGTCAAACCTGGCCGGTGCGGGTGGTTTGGTAGGATCTATTCAGAAGGTACTTTTAGGTGCGTGGAGTAGACGAATGCGCGTTAAACCTTAATAATTATGTGAACAAACAAAGGGGTAATCAAATTCAAAAATTAAATAACACACACGGCGTTTTAATTCTGATTATTTAAATACAATAATATAATTTTCAGATCTTCATTCACAAAGAGCTGAAGGATTTGTACAAATACGTTCCTCAGGAAATGATGCCTGAAGAATATGGTGGGCAATGCGGAACTATGGAAGAACTTCAAGGTAAAATATCCAATTACATAACCGTGTGTTTCCACTGATGATAACATATACAAAAAAATATCATCTCACTTCATCTTAGCAAGAATATTTGTTACAATTTGCATTTGTATTGTCAACTAACGTATAATACGTCAAAATAAGTGTAAGGGCAATTACTAGGCTCACAGAAGTCGCTTGTGAAAACTTATAAAAGTAGAAAAAATATTTTATGATTTAATTTGAAAAAATCTATAACAATCTATATTTTTTTCAGATCAATGGACTCAAAAACTCATAGAATATCGTGATTGGTTCAAAGCTCAGGATTCAATAAAGGCCAATGAATCTCTCAGACCGGGCAAACCGACAAACTACGATGAACTCTTTGGTATAGATGGTTCTTTCAGGCAATTGTCTATTGATTGAATTTTATAAAGCTATAATTAAGTACATAAATATTGTTTATCATTATTGATTAAGGTTTTGCTAAAATATTTTTAAAAATATACAATGGTACATCACTATCAATCCATAATGAACTTTAAAAATTAGTAGACATTGGATCAAATTTTTTTGATCCAATGTCTACTAATTTTTATTCATATATCATTTTATAAATATTCTATGTTACGCAAATAAAACACAGATTAAATTTATTATTTGAATTTAAAATCCATCTAAGTACATCATAAAAGATTTTTACATCACAAATGCACAAACATTTTATATTTTAATAACTAATATAATTTAGATTAAGAAATTAAATATATGTAAAATAATAAAGAATAGAAAATAATGATATCGTACAAGACATTTAAATGGCTCTGGTATCACATAAAATGTCACTTCTTACAAATATTGCTATCTCTTACAGTCTCTTTGAATAAAAAGAGACAAAAATATATTTAAATACAAATGTCAGTACAGCCAACACAGTTCTGTTTTAATATGACATAATTACTGTAAAATTGAGATATAAATAAAATAATTAGATTATATTTTGTTATTATTTAATGGCACAGTTCCCTTCCCACCTTTTTTTCTTATAAAGAAAGGATGGGAAGTGGAAGTGGACTTACCGGATGGGATGATGCATGGAAAGGGAAAATATTTTCTTGGGACAATGAAAATATAAAATAGAATAATGCAATGAAAAGATCAGCCCGCACTTTTAGAAGATATATCTAGAACTAACATTTTAAATAGACAGAAAAAAGAAAAAAAAATATGTTATGTTCCAAATACAAAAATATAAAAATTATGAGTAAAAAAACGTGTAAAAAGGTTCCGTATCTGTCGGCAACAGTTACTAAGTGTAAAAATATATCGTACAAAGTCTTCATGCATTGGAAATTAAACTACAGTCATATTATTTTAATATCATTTAATATAAAAATCAGACCATTTTATCTGTAAATCAATCTCAAAAATATAATATGAAAACTATTAATAGTAAACTTATTAAGGCTTATTAAACGGATAATAAGCATGGTCTTTCCATTCAATAAGATCAAGAACTCTAGTGTTCTTGTTAAATTTCTTTATAGTAGCAATATCTTCGTCAGTCAGACTGAAATCGAAAATGTCAATGTTCTGAATTATTCGATCCTTGTTCGTTGACTTTGGTATCGGCGTTGTACCACGATCAATCTGCACCATTAAAATAAATAAAGAACAAAAGAAAAAGTTTGTTTCTTTCTTAATTTCTAGGAAGACAAAGTTAATCTCAGATGGGAAAGAGGAACTGACGGGGAAGTCGATTAATAGTAAATGCAAATACCCATTTTACTTTCGTATTTATTCTTTTTCTCTCCAATAAAAGTAAGCAATGCGTTTACACAATTTGTTGTGGCCAGTACCTCGTGGTCAATTGCTATAAGACCTACTTACTTGCCACCTTCTTGATATGATAATCATAAATTGCTAACCTCTTGAAGATTTTAAGTCTGTTAAAATGTGCACTTACCAAATACCGTAGAACAATCTGACTGGTATTCTTTCCGTATTTTTGTGCGATTTTGGTCAATTCAGGGTCATCGAATCTTGGTGGAGATGAGTCTTGTTTTCGTCTGGACACCATGAATCCGAAAGGACTGTACGACATAACAGCCACTTCGACACTACGGCAGTACGCGACTAAAGGCTCCTGGGATAACGTTGGATTTACCTGGAAAGCAGTATGAAATTGTGTGTAGAACAGTGCAAGTAACATACAAAAAAGTAAATGATAATGCCATAAACTTATTTGACCCAGTAAGAATGTTAACGCAAATGGCTTTGTCCTAAAATATAATATTTGACACACAAAACATAGAAGTCAGTTACCAGGTTAGTTAAAAGTTACTACGTCATCTAGTTTTTGGAGTATCGCCTATACTTTTCTTTAACTTTTATTCACAGTTTGACGTTTAACTTGATGCTCAGATTATTAATAAAATGCTCTTACCTCAATTTGATTAACAGCCGGTTTAAATTCACATCCTTTGATAATCCTGGCGATCTGTTCGCTATTGAAATTGGACACACCAATAGACTTGGCCAGACCTCTCTTCTTAGCGTCCTCCATGCCGCGCCATGTCTCCAAGTAATCTATATCTTCTGCAGTACCGTCATCCTGAAGATAATAAAGATAATCTATACTAATCTTATAAAGAGGAAATATTCGATTGTTTGTTAACATTAAATAGGCTCGCGAAATTACTGATCCGATTTGAAAACTTCTTTCACTGTTGGGAAGCTACACTATCCCTGGTGATAGATTTTATTTACTACTAGATTTTTTCTCATTCATCACGAACGAAGTCGCAGGCAGCTTCTAGTTATCTATATAAATCTCGTGTCCAGGATAAATTACAAAACTACTGTACAAATCTTATTTAAATTTTGTATATATTTCCTTTCCTTTTCAAGTCCCCTGTCTTGCCAAATCCCGTTACCTTTCCATCCGATCCTCTTCCGAAAGGGTGGGAAGGTGAACAGGACTTAAATTGGCCTCCAGCATACAAGCTAAAGGCACAATAGCTTACCTTCACAGCAATCGGGCTATGTACGAGATATAAGTCCACGTAGTTCAGACCTAATCTTTTTAATGACTCTTGTAAGGCAGGTATTACTGCTGACCGAGCGTGGTGATTGTTCCACAGCTGAAAAATAACATTAATAATTTTAAGAAAGGTTGTTTATTCGTGTTTAAACTGTTAGCAAGAAAATCCAGAAATGTGCCAGTGTTTTGACTCAACACTAGCCTTACTAAAATGTCGACGTTTATATCCCCTCACTAGTGATGGAAAACATCGTGATGCAACCTGCACATATCTGCGAAGAAATTCAAAGATACTCGTATGTGTAAAGTCAACCAACCCGCACTGGGCCAGCGTTGTTTACCAAGGCCTAGTCACACCTAACTTAGGGTAGGCTCCGAGGCCCTCAGTGAGGACGTATAGTGAGCTGATGAAGTAAAGTTTTGCCTTCTAATAAATATAAAAAGTTTCCTTTGACTAACCTTTGTGGTAACAAACAATTCTTCTCTTGTAACTAAGCCTTTCTTTATTGCGTCGGCTATTCCCAGACCGACTTCTTCTTCGTCGCGATAGAGCTCGGCTGTATCAATATGCCTGTAACCAGCCTCTATAGCCCAGTACACTGCTTGACGCATACGAGATATATCGTCCTTCTGAAATTATAATAGTTTTTTTATATCAAAATAGGTATAACTGGCCAGTGGCATATGCTTAATGCCCGTGTATGGCGGATTTATGTTTTACGTTTGATATGCGCAATAACTAACCGAACCCGCTGTTCCCAAAGCAAGTATTGGCATCTTGTTTCCGTCGTTTAGAAGTGTTACAGGAGCTTGAAGCGCCCATGTTAAAGCCTGAAACAAAAAAGCATTGAAAGCATGTTAAACGAATCTTACTACTAATATTATAAATGCGTAATTTTAGATTGATGGATAAATGTTTGGTAGAAGGTATCTCCAGTACCGCTCCACGGATCGCGATAATATTTGCCATAGCTATGGAACATAGTCTAGAAAAACATTTAAGCTACTAAGTTTTTTAAATCCACACGGAGTCGCAGGCAAAAGCAAGGAAAGTCATATAAATTTCGTTGTATTGTTTTCATCTTTAATCGAACCAAGTTTTTTTATCACCGCTTTAAAAAAGATGAAGTCTTTTACCGATGAAATGAAATATATTTTAGAGGTGCGGCAGAATTTCGGAAAGCAACGCGCGTCAGAATTTTGGAAAGCAACGCGCGTCAGAATTTTGATAGAATGAACACGGCTGTTCTTAACTTCTCTCCAAAGATTACCTCGCGAGGTTCTATTTAGGTAAACTCTGAAGTTAGTATACGTTGATTTTGTTCAGAGTTAAGAAAATACAATTAGTAATAAAAATACATGTCCTTACCGCGTGTATGTGCAAGATTCAATGCACTCTTTTCTTATTTATTATTATTTCTTTAAATATTAATATAAGTAGATAATAAAAGGTGCTTGTAGGTTATCAATATTGAAATGGTCTTTATATCTTTTATATTTAATATGATCTCAGGTCCAACATATTTAAAACATATGATTTTTTTTTAATAAAGGACACTTTTACGCGCCATAACGCACCCATTCAAATAAAGGTAATAATGGAATTGTCACACATAAGTTAAACAAAAATGTTACTCTCATGAGTCAGGCAAGTTTTAAACAAATAGACAAACTGCAGTCATTTGTTTGTCCGTGGAAAAATACAGACTAACAAAAAAAACAACAAACAAAAATATATTGTTATCTCTATTTTTTTCATCGGTAATGAAAAGGATGACAAATAGTTTGTATACGAGTATTTTGACAGTTCAAACCCACCGTAACTCTTAATAAGTGAAGCTATTTAATAATTAAAAAAAAAACATTGTTGTTCTATTTTTAAAATCGAGTCACTTGACAAAGAGTTACGTTTAAGAATAAAATTACTAATAATTTTATATTAAAAAAAAACTTACGTTGCAAGTTAAAAATAATACAGCAAGACGCAAAACTAGCATCGTTTACCGATGGCTAAAACACACTGACCGAACTACAAACAACATATTCTCATCCATTTAAAACGTAACGACACGGACACGATTTTTCATTTTTTATGTTTTTTAAATTAACATATTCGTATTTAAATGCGTATGTGCCATCATTTTATTTATTACTAGCTGTCATCCGCAACTTCGTGAATGCAAGAATGACAAAAGAAGACTAACAACTACCTTCCCGTCAAAGTCCCTTTAAAATAGGTCAGCCATTACGGAGATTATCTAGAACAAACGCGACCTCGTGGACAGACAAAAATTTTAAAAATTGTTTTTTGTTATCAGCAACTCAAAGCTGTACGAAGTGAGATTTCTCAATATGACATACAGACACAACAACTTTATTAATATGCGTAGATTCACACTAACACCATCGCAATAGATTTAACATTTACTTTATAAACTCTTGATATATTTATACCCAGCGATACGATACAGACAACTACTTATTAATAATAATCTTAACGTGTAAATGGCACTTAGTAACCGGTATATCGTCACCTATTAAATGAGTCGTACTCAGATAATGCAAGGTACAATGACATTTAATATTTATAAAAAATAGTTGTCGCTCGCGCCTCCGTCCGCGCGTAATTAAAAAAATAATAGTAGTCTATGTGTTCTTCCACACTATGTTCTACATCCATGTAATATTTCATCAAGATCTATTTGACCGTTTTGGAAATACCTTTTAACAAATATCCATCCAAAACATTCGCATTTATATTGCTAGATGGTTTTTTTGACGTTGACAGGAGGGCGCTAGTGAGCTGTCATAATTTAGTATGACTTATGCCCACCGGGTCAGATATTCTTGTCAGTTTTTTAATGATTGTTTTACTGTCATTTGGTATGACCAATGAATTAAAAAAAAAGGTTTTGTTTAACACATTCAATGATGCCAAAGCGTGTGAAACAAGTCAATGGTCTTGTCTTGGTTTTGTCAAAGATAATGACAGGGATGACGATATATTTTATACAGAGTTATTGTTTTCAGAAACCCACGTAAAAGCTATCATCATCATCATCATCAGCTCACTATAGGTCCCCACAGAGGGGCTCGGAGTCTACCCTAAGTTAAGGGTAGAAAGTGGTAGGGGATTAGGCCATAGTCAACCACGCTGGCCCAGTGCGGGTTGGTTGACTTCACACATATCTTTGAATTTCTTCTCAGATATGTGCCGGTTGCATCACGATGTTTTCCTTTACCGTAACAACGTCGGATAAATGTACATATGTAAATCGGAAATCGAAAAACACATTGGTACATGGCGGGATTCGAACCCAGGACCTGCAGATTGTAAGTCAAGTGCTTGACCACTGAGCCAACGATGCTCCCGTAAAAGCTATAGTATAGGTAAATTTCATGGCTCTTATTCACCTTGAAAAAACAAAAAAGAATATTCTTTACATATCCATTAAAACCTACATAGAGGGACAAATGAAACAAAGGGATAGAAAGCTAAATCTTTATTAATTAAACTTATAATTTCTATATTACTCCTGTCCAAAAGGATAGAATGGATAGTCTTTCCAGTCGACGGGGTGAATGACCCTCTTGTTCGTGTTGTATCCGCTGATAACAGCCACCTCTTGTTCTGTTAAACTGAAGTCGAACAAATTAATGTTCTGTTCTATTCTCTTCTGGTTTGTTGACTTTGGTATGGGTACTACACCGCGTTCGATCTGTAAATTAAAAACAAATTCTGAAGAAAAGAGAACAATGTAACCTAAAAAACACAAACTAATTGACATTAATTTATTTTATGAGGGGCTCGGAGCCTACCGAAAAAAAGGCCCTATCTGTTCTGCATTGCAACGCTTCATTGTAATTTCTTTGATTTTTCTTTTTTCTCTTTTTGGTTGTGTTATAAGTGTTGTAATGTTTTTGAACGGATTAAATGTCTTATTATTATTATTATTAATAATACCGTAAGTTAAGAGAGACTTTAGCATAGTCAACCACGCTGGCCAAGTGCGTGTTTACTTTACACATATCTTTTTACGCAGATATGTGCATCATCACAATGTTTTCCTTTAACATAAGGACGTCGGATAAATGTAATGTCGGATAAATGTAAATCAAAAATCATATTGATTCGTAGCGGGACTGGAACCCAGGACCTACAGATTACAAATCTAGTGCCAAATCCCTCAGCCACAGACGCTTAAAAAAAAAAAAAACATACAAGTATTCTTACCAAATATCTTAGGATAACTTGACCGAATGATTTGTGATATTTCTCAGCAATTTTATAAAGAGCAGATCTATCAATTTTCATAGTACTATCTCTGCCTACGAAGAATCCGAATGGACTGTAGCCCATGACGACAATACCGTTCTGTCTGCAGAATGCCACCATTGATTCTTGTGTGAACGTCGGGCTGACCTGGGGAAAGAATATTCATTACTTATGTATAAACATTTGATTTGCCACGTCGGAAACTAAAGTACTCTTGATCCCGACTTGCCAACTCTGTTGCCAGATCCTTTGACAAAAGACGTTATAGTGTACGGTGTAGAAAAAAAGTTAAATAATGAAATCTTACAAATATTACAAATGCTAATGTATAGATGGATGAATGGATGTATATTTTAAGGTATCTCCAGAACGGCTGCATGGATCACTTTGAAATTTGGCATGGATGTAGAACATAATCTGAAAGAACACATAAACTACTAATTACGTTTTGTAAAATTCGCGCGGACGGAGTCGCAGGCGACAGCTAGTAAAGTTATATGACCAAATGATATTTTGTTTTTTTTTTGTTTTATAAATTCAAAATCATTTGAAAATTCATATGTTTTATAACATTTTTTTAACTAAAAAAAACTTGATTTTACATGTATAAAAAGGTAATTTTTACATTAATAATGCTTTATTGTTATGATAAGAAACAATTATATACTTCCCGGTATTACAAAAGTAGTTAGTCGAATTATATATTCATTTAGTTATTTACTTTGTAACATGTAGATTATTTATGTAATAAATAAGAGCTTTGTTGTTAACATATAACAATATGCCATTTAATATTTATTTCCACATAACATTTTTGCTCTAATATACATCACTTCGCTCACTCAAACGTCGTCACCACGTAAAGGCCTCACCAGTTTGCTGTTTTGTACAAACCACGCTTGCCGAACGATCTAGTTTATTCCGGATTTTAAAACATGACGGAGAACGAGCTTGTTGTACATTAAAATCAACATAAAAAACGATGTCTAATTACATATCGACGCGTAGACACCGCGTTGAAGCTACCACGTCATATTTTCGTGTGTATACGAGATAAATATATCAATTGGAAATACAAGCTTTAACTTCGATCAGACTTTAAAAGCAAACGTTGAAGTTACTGTCAGCTAATTCTACCTTTTTAGTTCATGTCTCCGTCCCAAAATGGCGATATTCAAATAGGCACAATAAGTCATGACTTATAGCCTGTGTATTGGAATAGAGAACATGGTGTAATAAATAAACTAACGTTTGACCACAATCCCATCTGATGTAATGCTGTGGTCGAAAGATGGTACGCGCTAGCTTAGTAAATGCCTATTCACTCTACTCTTGAAGGCCCCCACGTAATACTTGGACGGAAAAACTGACGCCGGCAACTCGTTCCAATCCTTTACACGTAGACACCGCGTTATCGCCGCGGCGAGATGTTTACTATAGTTGTAAAATCTTGTACTAACCTCAACTTCATTAACAACAGGTCTCGTGTAGCTGTTGGCCATCAGTCTTTGCAACTGTTCAATATTGAAGTTGGAAACACCGATTGACTTCACAAGACCCAGTTGTTTGGCGTCCTCCATGCCCTTCCAGGTTTCCAAATAGTCCACGTAATCAGCAGAACCGTCTTCCTAGATTGATAATAATATATTTTATCTTACTAATATTATAAATGCGAATGTTTGGATGGATGTTGTTTAAAGGTATCTCTAGAACAGCTGCATGAATCTCGTTGAAATTTGGCATAGATGTAGAACATGGTCTGAGAGAACACATAGACTACTAATTAAGTTTTTCCGGATAGACGGAATCAGGCGACATCTAGTATATTATAAGGTGACATAGAAGCAAGCGACCACTTGAATTTACCGTATTATAGTGACCACTGGCCATAGAGACCCACAATTGTAGAAGCGTTGCCTATATTTAATCGAGGATTTACAGATAAATAATGTTTCCCTTTCCTATGGGTTCCCTTTTTTCTTTTAGCAACAGGCTAAGGAGTTTTAACTGACATTTACATCGTGGAAAAATAAGTAAATTTACATTTTTGAATTTAAGAAAGTCAAATCTGTTTCGTTGTTTTTTTGCTATTCATGTTGTAGAAAATAAATTTATCTTTATTATTCTTTTATAAGGAAATTTTATTTAAACTAAGTCTATATTTAAACTTACTTTAGTAGAAACAGGGAAATGTATAAGATACAGATCAACGTAGGAAAGACCGAGTCGCCTCAGTGACTCCTGTAACGCCGGCACCACTTGTTCACGACGATGCTTATCGTTCCACAACTGTAAAAAAAACATATCTTATTAATATAAGAAATGGGAATGTTTGCATTGATGGATGGATGGAAGAATGGATGTTTGTTAGAATTATTGGTATTTCCAGAACGGCTACCCGGATCTCGCTAAAATTTGGCGTGCATGTAGAAAGTAGGCTACTAATTATTTATTTTTTTCACACCACAAAAACCTTTACCTTTGTAGTAACAAATATTTCTTCTCTTGTGACGATATTCTTCTGTATAGCCTCAGCTATACCCTGGCCTACTTGTTCTTCGTCATCGTAAACAGAAGCGGTGTCGATATGCCGATATCCCGCTTCCAGAGCCCAGAATACGGATTTCCTCACCTCGTCTACTGATTCATTCTATAAAGAAAACAAAAGAATATCAAATCCACGATATTTATAACTTGTGAGACAAAGTGTATTCGCTCCGAAGCGATTCCATAACGAACTTCAAGAATGTGTGGAACTGACTATAACTTTTGATAAGTCACGTGATTGTCACGCGTCAGTTTCATACAGTTTTGAAGTTCGCTAAGGAATCGCTACGGAGCGAATTCATTTTGTCAAACCCTTACCCTCACACCTATGAAGTATAGCTTTTATTTTGTATCACAGTTAATATACTTAATAGACGGGTGTCGTTGGAAACTTAAGCCAGTTACATACCTTTAGTCCCACTGTTATGTCAAATGAAGGTGTGTAGTCGACTTTACATGCACTACGGACTATGAACTAACAAAAGTCAGTATTTTAATAAAAATCGAACAAGTAAATACATAATTTAGGCTTTTATAAACGACAAAATGGCCGCGGACAACTAGTGAACCATTAACTAAATATTTATCATATTTTATTCTTAAAATGTCAATATAATGACGCACGAACGTAAATAAATAATATTTTCTTAATTATGAACCATGGCATTATAATCCTATATGTACTTTTATCAATTACGCACAATTAAAGATTGTAATTTTCCATGTAAACAAACAAGAGTGTCTCAAAAAATAATGTCTTAAAACGCCTAACTCTTAACATAATTCCTGAGCTTGCTATTTATGTAAAGATGTCTCATTCATATTATGTTATGTATGCATCTATGTATTGTAATATTCAAACTTAATGTCAGCTCGTGATTAGTTGCTCTTCACAAACGGTACACTGTTTGTGGAAAATACAGAGAAAAGTGTCCAACGCCCCCGCATCCTTTTATCTATTTATACCGATATTGCTGTCTCTCTCTTTCTTTCTCTCTCTCTTTAGATGTTTCTCTTTCATCACCGTGTGCGTAGCATCTTTCGAGCCACCATAAAGTTTGTATAGCAGTGTAAAAGATGTTACCTCCTTGGCGGTGCCCCTACCGGTCCCCAGGGCGACGATCGGCATCAGATTTCCATCGTTTAATTCTACACACGGCGCCCGAGACGCTCCCGCCATCTGCAAAATAACGGCATTCGTATTTGTAATTCTCTCAGACACAGAGTAAATACACAATTCTTAGGATAATTTATAGATATTTTGTTAGGTTATAATAGTTAACGAAAAATAAGTCTGTTTATTTTTTATCTGTGATAAAAGATGATTTACAGAGCGTTTGGATTTGAAGCTATGACCTTCTGTTATGCGGGAACCTAAACTGTTTTGCTATAGACTATAAAAATACAAATTTATAACTATATAATTAAATAATTATAACTACAAAAGTACTTAAATGCTAACCATATTACGATTTAAGTTTTTTTCTCCAAGAAGTATAATTTAAAATTCTTTCCTTGATTTAAAGTTCGCTTTAATTGGCCATGTTTTTTATAATATCATCATCTGTGACTTCAAAAGTTTGTAAACTGCCAGTTATTCGTGTACAGATGTGACCTATACTAATACGAAAAAAAAAACACAATGCCAATCTAAATGTTTACACATTAGGTTTTTCCCGTACAGCCACGTGCAAAGATTATTTACATTTTTTCAATTCTTACTTAACTTACTCATCGACTTTATTTGTTTATTTGTTCATTTTTTTATTTTTTAATGTTAGCATATAATAACTAAAATAATAATAATAGTTTTATATTATTTAGTTTTATTTTTAGTTTGGTTTAGTTTAAGTACATAGTTTTTTTTAATATAGTAAAAATTAATTTCATCTGTTTCGTAGTGGTTAGTTATTTAATATGGACATCAATTATATTAGGTAATTTATTATTTTTATTTCGTCTATTTAAATCTTGTCACTTAAATTAGAGCCAATTCCAATTGTTAGATTTTTCTAAAATTTGGTATATACCTCCCCGTGACATATTTTTGCACAACCTCCAACATTGTTATCAATTGAAAGAGCTTGACTAGTAGAGTACAGTGCACCATGAAAATTGCAAATGGCCGCATTCCGAAAATTCCGATCTTCATTTTTGGTCAACCACCCCAATATAGGTAAAGACGACGGAAAATGTAAGAATGGAAGAGCGTTAGGATTAAGATGAATTTTGGAATATTATGTTATATAATAAAAAGATAAAAGGAAAATATTAAATAGAATTATTAGAAATAAGGAGAAAAGCACGCACTGTTACAAGAATATATTTACAACTGATCGTTTTAAATATATAATAGAGAAAAAGGAAGAAAAAACATATAAAGTTCTAAATTCAAAAATATAACAATTATGAATAAAAAAGTGTAAAAAGTTCCGTATCCGTCGGCAACGATAGGTACCAAATGTAAGAATTTAAAAAAACAACAGTGATAAAATAACAATCAATTCACGATGTTTGGAGTCATTTGACAACTTTATAGAATGGGTAACATTCTGATAGGAAAAGGGCTCTTGTCACTAATCCGGGGCGTGTCGCTAGTTCTATTTAAAACTAATTCGACATAACTTTGGTGTCGCAAACTCTTTATACGTTCACATGCGATTTATGTTGCGACATTTTAAATATCAACTGTTCGTTACGACATCTAAATGAGACGCCGTGACAAAGTTCAAACATGAATAGACTTTGGAAGTTTTGAAAAGAGCTTTATTATGGGCTCTATTATCCCTAACTCCATGACTTACCTGTATTCTGTTGTAGTTCATTTAGATGACGATTCGCAATTATTTAGTACGTTTATTATTACACTTACTGTAGATTTTCGAGACCAAAATCGCTTAAAACATATTGTCATCTCCGTTTTATCAAAGATAATGACAGGGACGACGATATGTTTTATACAGAAATTTTGATTTCTGAAATCAATTGATAATAAAAACTTGATAATTTGATTAAAAAAATAAACATTTTTGTTATACGTTACTCTCGCAAAAAATGTGAGAAACTCACTCGACCCTCGAATTTTATTTACTAAAAACCTTGGTAAATAAAAGCTTTACCGTAATATTAATAAACCGTTTTATTATAAAATTATACGATACACATAACTATTCAATTTAGAATACGTTTTTACCTGTAACAAAGTTTTTTAACCTCGAAATTAATTCAAGGTTGGAATTTAAAAATGGAATTTAAAAAAAGAATTTTAATTTATAATTATTTTTAATTAAATATGTTCAATTAATTTAATAATTATTTTAACATTTCAATATTAAATAATTAAATTATTTTACAAATATTTTATTGCAATTAATACTTTATTTAATTGCTTAAAAAATTTATTGCTAAAAATTAAATCGTAAATTTTATTTTTAAAGTTATTTTTACTTGTGATTAATATTAAAAAATCACATCAAAATCTCTTAAATAGATTCATAGTCAACAACTAGCGCATAAAAAATCTGTCCATACTAATATTGTAAAGAGGAAATTTTTATTTTTGTACATATAGAATAAACTTAACAACTTTAAATTTATGGATCATTTTCAAAAAATCCTTTTGCAATTTGAAAACTAAATAATCCCTGATTTACATATAATTTACTACTAGATTTTTCAAATTCTGCACATACGAAGTCTCGGGCAAAAGCTAGTAAATAAATTGCATTCCAAAAATAATAGCTATTTAATTTATGTCTAATGAAAAAAAATAATTAAAATCACATTATTGAGTGAAACACAAAATGTAGATTATAAATTAAAACTCACATAAATCAAAGACAAGATGGCGTACACGAGATACATGTTGACTATTTTAATGTTACAACACTACTGAAGTAGTCTCAACAAGCTTACGTTATATGTAAGAATAAAAATCAAACCTGCATCACTAATATCAATGTACTGGTTTTATATCTTACTAATATTATAAATGCGAATGTTTAGATGTATGGATATTTCTTTGAAGGTATCACAACGTCTCAACGGATCTTGATGAAACTTGGCGTAAATGTAGACTATAATCTGGAAGAACACATAGGCTAATAATTAAGTTTTTATTTTTAATTACCCGCAGACGTGATCGCGGGCGACAGCTAGTATATGTTGTAGGAAAAAAGACGCCGCAAAATGATATAAATATTAGATTTTAATCGTTTTTTTTGGCGCGCAGTTTTAGGTAATTTATACCTTAAGTAAGTCTTTTATCGCATATTTTTTTTCTTTTAATTAATTGCATTACTTAAAATAAAAATACATTTACGATTTTGCTACAAGGAAAATCACAACGCTAAAATGTCTTCATTATAAAAATATGACACCTTTCTTTATAATTTACGAGAAAAATATCGTCTGGAAATAAATAATTTCCATGAAAAAAAAATTGAATTAAAACTGGCAATTCACATCCACCAAATAAACCCTAAACAATGTGCGTTCCAAATTCAAAATGGTCTATTTTTATTCTAAAAGGCCTGTATTAACTTTTCTTTGGAATTCTTGTCATCATTCTATTTTCAAAAATATTCCATTGTTGCGAATTCAATGACCTCTTGTCTTAGCACCTCATTTTATCAAACTTATTGACAATATAAAATCTCATATTTATCTACTTAGCATATGGGTTTTACCAGCTTTTAAAATTAAAGGATGTGTCCAAATTAATATTTAAAAAATATTATCATATACATGTCAATCGAATTGTTCTTTACGGCAAATAGTGGGTTTTAATCATTAAAAATATAAATGGACAAAAAAAAACATCGGCTAGGGTTGTCACCTTTTCGGATTTTACCGATTCATAATTTGCGAGTTGTTTTCACATCGATGTCTGGAACGAGTCAATGGATGTCGATTTCATCGTCCAATAAAAATCAAGGATTTTGGTTTTTTTTTCGTCGTCCGCTAAGATGTCAAAGGTTGACAAAATGTTACTGCTCATAATTGATTTCCGTTACCACTGTTCGATTATTTATTAAATGTAGCCAACCCTAGTGCTTACCTACCTAATTAAACATCCTGTAAATACCTATACTCGAATTATATGGAAATTAAAATATAATTTTTTTCTTATATATGTCACTGGCTGACAATATTCTTTATTGATAAGTTTATGATTAAGAAGATTGACAGCTTTATAAAGGTAAAATTAGACAGGTTTTTTATAATTTATCATATCTATTGAATACGACTATACAACAGTATCCAATGAGGTCATTGTACTTTGTCTATTAAGCTACGTAAATGTAAAAACAAACATAAAAAGTAAAATGTAAAGAATTTATTTAATATCTATTAGTTAAGTGATCATATGTCTCCTTAATTTTAATTAGCTCTTATTTGTCACTAGCTATGCCCGCGACTCTGTCCGCGTGATACTGTCTTTGAGCTGCACACGATACTGGGCAGTACTTGGACATTGCGACATTATTTTATTTGTCTAAAATAAAAGATTTTTCTAACATAAACGTAGCCTAAGTTACTCCTTATTATATTAGCTCTCTGCCAATATAAGTCCCGTCAAAATCGGTCCAGACATTTCAGAGATTTTGTGGAATAGCTTGTCACAAGAAGTGGCCATTGTTTAAATCGATTCATGACAGTTGTATAAAGCTCTTAGGTAAATTTGTATGAAACGAACGTACTTTCACGTAGGAAGTAAATTTATACAAGGTTTCTATAAATAATTTAAATGTTAAAAGATACGTAAAAATAAATACTTTGAATTAAAAATAGAATTATAGAAGATAATCTTTAAAAGAATGGTTTTTAATTTTTTTTTTGGCATTCAGATGATTGTAATTTAAATTAAAATTTACTTTAAATTCAATCAATTCAAATTTAATGTGCTCGATGATTTATTATTTTTTGTTATTTATTAAAAAATGCATAAATGAACAAAAACCTTGTATAAAGATCTGCATTGCGAAAAAACCTTGAGCATTGCATAATTTTATCGTCTTCTATGTTCAAAAAAATTAGCTTTTTAACGGCCTTCGAAATTCAAATCGAGCCGAACGATTTCCATTTCGAAATCATCATGTTGATATTGACCAATTAAAAAAAGTGCAGTATTTTAATTAAAAATAAATTTTAAACGTCTTACCAATAAGTTTTCACTGTTCAGTAAATGTACATTTTTTTTATATAATAATGGGGTCATTATCTTTTAAAGAAAAAAAAGTTGAAAATATAAGTGACTGCCAGGAACATATTTATTTGAGAAACTAAAGTACTGGTCTTAAACGTTAGGTACTATTTTTTCTTCTTGAACTTTAGGTCGCATCATCTTGTAAATACCACTTGTGTATTAGCTCTCCACAACTAGAAGTAATAAAACCCCTAAAAGGTCACTCATCTTGCTGTGTAACTACCTACTCCCACCCTGCTTTATAAAGTATGCAATTACTGAGGACGTACTATAGAATCTTTGTGTATAGCGTAGACACGATTCACGTTAGAGACATCCGCATTTTTTTTTATTCACCGCGGAAATCCTTCGCGTTCACTCATCACGAACCATAACCCTGAGTCAAACCACAGAGTAAATAATACATAAAATACTTCATGCATTGTTACGATTAAAATCACACAAAAAAGTACTTATTCTATTTTTTTTAAAAAAAAAGCTAATTGACAATCATTTTAGATTTAACGAGGCAGTTTATGTAAGAATTATGGATATATTTTTATGATACAAGTATATACGTATAATTAAAGATCTTTGTGATGTTATTTTTTAATAACTTAATTATGTCTTAGATTTATTAATTAAATCGGAGCTAAATGTCCGACCCTAAGTCGAGTTATCGTACTCAAAGTTTAATTGGTCACTAAGCTCTACACAGCGCACTATAAATCTACTAGGAGACTACAGACAGTTCAATTGAATGCACAGTATGCAGTATGCACTACTCCTCCATACATCTCTATCAACTGACGTATCTGAATTCACTTCCTACTTATACATATCGTCTTTAGTATAATCCGTCCACTATGTTTTTCTGTCTTCCTCTACCTTTATAGCCATCCACATTCAAACTCCTTGCTTTCTCTTTCAATTTTACTTCTTACTAATATAATAAATGCGAATGTTTGATGGATGGATGTTTGAAGGTATCTCCAGAATGGCTGAACGACGTAGATGTAGAACATAGTCTGGAATAGCACATAGGCTACTAATTAAGATTTTTTCATAGAATCGCAAACGAAAGATATAAGAAATAAAAAATATTATGTTCTTACTAAAATTATTCATTTACAAAAGATTGCTCAGTGTAAAAATTAAGGCGTTTTAATTTTTACAATAAACAACGAAGCTAATAACACTTTGTATTGTGTATGAGTTGTATAATCGTAGAAAAAAGAACCATTATTCCTATCTCTATTTTATTCAAAAAGAATGAAAGGGATAGCAATATTGTTGTAATAATAATGTGACAGTGAAGATTCACCGTAAACATATTTAAAAAGCTGCAAATGTTGAACAGAACTAGGCTATTGGACCACACTTTCACCGGCATCCGTTCAGTTCAGAATCGATATGCATTGAATATAAAAGACATACCATTTAAAGGTGTCATTTATTGATTATAATTAGTCGTTTCAATGCAAGTGATAAGATATGTATTTTGGTATCATTCCATTTTATTGTTACTAACTGTCGCCTGTAACTGTCCGCGCGGATTTAAAAAAACTTAATTAGTACACTATGTCTTCTTCCAAACTATGGTCTACATCTATGCCAAATTTCAGCGAGATCTATAGAGCCGTTTTCGAGATAGATACATATCTTCATACATCCATCCAAACATCCACATCTGATATATATATATATATATAGAAAGTCGTTTTAGTTACACTATTTATGACTCAAGAACGGTTACCGATATGATTGAAAATTGGTGAGGAGGTAGCTTAAAGCCAAGAGACGGACATAAGATACTATTTAATCATTTTTTTTCGAATTTATGCCTTGAAGAGCTACTTTTTATTTAACTTACTAATATTATAAATAGTCTACTGATTTTCTTTTCCCAAGTATTTCAAGTATTGCATTGACATAGATTTAAATTGACGATACAGAAAAGCTTTTTTTTTGTCACTCAAACCTTTGTAGATCTTTGTCAAATTGTTTTTCATTCCAAATTTAAATCAAAACATTATTTTTTAATTTAATTTCACAGAATTAAGAATTAAGAAAACAGGTTATTATACATGCAGGTTGTCAAGTTAGTCTTAATTCCTAGCAATAAATAACATATGCATATAATAATAGTGAAAGTTAATCGCATCAAGATTCCTTCGCTCCTGTAAACGTGTTGCACATTATCACGCAGTTAATTGTAATAAACAGTTTATGCTACGTGTCGCTTAACCGTTATCCATACTTATTGGCACGACACACTACTAACCAAGGTGCCACACGATCGTCTACACTTGAAAGCATCAGTCGCACTCGAAAAACTCCGTTAACTCGCCTCGAAATACTTTCAACAACAAAGAATGCAGTGAACGCGACATAACGAACACTTTTGACGTATAAATTGGCGGGAAAATAAAACAAAAAATGGCGGCTAAATACGTTTTATTTATAACTCTTTGCTTGTTGGTTTCGTTGTGTGAAATGAAGAAGAAGAAAATGGATTATCCGACGGAGAAACAGATGGTGCTGCAGAGGAAGGAAACCACACCGGTTGACTTTACAAGGTTGGTCGTGATGAGGTTGGTTTATGGTTTCGCTAAAGTGTTGGGTTTCGATGAACCGGTGAGCGAAATACTCGATGGTGCGTTCGTTCCACCGGGAGCTGATGATGATGATGATCTTTTTGGTGATGACGATGATGAAGAAAGCATATTTGATGATTACTAGAAAGTGAACAATTGCAACTGATTGGTCCTTCGATCGACCTTCGATTACATGATTGTGAATCAAGCCCGTGAGTGTTCCAATGTTGTCAAACTTTCTTTATAAATAATTTTTAACCTATACCAAATAATATTGCATTTAAATAAAGTTAGTTTAATTAAGAAAATATTTATTATAAGGCTATTTTTAATCTGTATAATACTGTGCTTGTCATTTTTTTATTTACTCTTTTTATGTACCTGTCACAAGAATTCTAATTTATTTTTATTCATACATATTAGTGTAAATATAATTTATAATATTGTAAATGCAGTTTTATTTACATATTTATTCGTTTAATGTTTAATTTATATCTTCTAAAGTAATGCGAATTTATCGGTCCATTTGTTTTTTTTTATCTATTGGACAAAGGAAAGCGTATAATTTATCGTTGAGATGAATTTTCTTTCTGTTAAATATTTATATATCACTAGGTATTCGTGCCAGATGTTACCCGAGTGAGAACATACAGCACGATACTGTAATAAAAATAACAACATAGTTATATCTACATCTTTATCAGAAATTGAATAAGCGAGAAATATTTCGCGGTCTTCTCGCTTATCCAGGTACCTCTCCACTACTTCACGCTAAATATGTCATTGTCCTGTCTCTGTCTCTCTCTCCTTAACTCTCTCAAGGTGCCTCTTTACTTAATGGAGGTAGACCGTCAGCTCAGTGAACTTTTCCCGGTCTTGAGCCAAGCGAAATAAATGTTCCACGCTGGTAATTTTCAACCGCTGGCAGAATAATGCTATCCTTCTACTAATGTAGAGTCGGCACAGTATGTTATCTTTTACATCTCTATCAGACGTATCCCTTTTTAGTGTTCCCATGTACTCTTTTATAACCTCATACTTTTCCTTTCCATTATTCTACCTATCCCTTATTAGTGATATCTTCAAACACCCATCCATCTATCAACATCACATCCGCCTAAACATTCGCATTTTTAATAGTAAGTTAAATAAAAAGCAGCTCTTCAAGGCATAAATTCGAAAAAAAATGAATAAATAGTATCCTATGTCCGCCTCCTGGCTCTAAGCTACCTCCTCACCATTTTTCAGCCGTATCGGTAAAGCCGTTCTTGAGTGATAAATAGTGTAACTAACACGACTTTCTTTTATTGGAAATAAAAAACATGTTAGTAAAAATAATTATATTTCATAAATCTTCATCGTCAAGTTGCCAGGATTCTGTATTCACGAAGTTTCTATCTTGAGTGCAAATCACATCGTCGTCACTATTTTCCAGTTCATTTCCGTCGGTGTCTGTGGATTGTGAACAACCTTTCATTTTCCTTATCAAATCTCCCCATTTCATTTTAATACCGCAAATGGGACAGTCGCCCTCAATTGGTACGAATTCCCCATTTGGTAAAAACATATCCGCCAAACAAGTTATGTGTGTTACCAGTTCGCAGTTTGTATTCAAACATGTCAGTTGGTTTGAATTTAAATTGAGAGAACATAGCGAACATTTTATGTTTAGTGTTGCTATATTTTCGTCTGATTTTTTTAATAGTTTCGCACGAACTGGACCCTTTGTTAGTATCATATGCGATGGTGGTTTTTTATCGGCCTGAAATTAAAACAGAACGACTAAAAAAATTGATAAGTTTATTTACTATCAGATAAACATCCTGTATATTCTTTGAAAAATACTCTGAATATTAAACACTCTGTATATCTTTTGCTATAAAGACTATTTTATGGTATTAGCGATCTTTTGAAAAATCTCTGCGAACTGGTACTGGCTACGGCCAGACTGTATTAAAACAAATTGTACGTCTCTTTCATTTTGTTTGGAAAAACTGAGATAACAATATACTTGTTTACAGAGAAAAAACACACGGTAATATTTTTCCTTTTAAATTAATTTTGTATGTAAAATATCTTCATACATACTGGGAATTCTTCGTAATAATCTTGCTCTAACCACCTTACTATCAACGGCAATCGATGCCACGGACCCACGCGAAGCATTTCTGACAGAACACGAATCTTAAACTTAAATTCAGATTCTTTTCGTGGTATTTTTTTTAAATTTAAATACTGCAGTCTCGTTGTTTTATTAGGATTCTGCCACGCCCACTCAAACTAAAATGTAATGGAGAAATTACTTCGAATATTTGAAATGAATAGACAAATAATAACTCCAAAAACAATCTTTTAGTTTCGCTTTTTAATTTGAGAAAGGTACAAAAAATCTTGGCAAAATGATGTCTGGAACCAAAAACTCAAATTTTTCGTAAAAAAAAACTACAGAATTGTGAAAAAAAAACTGTAAATTCACAGAGAATGAAGATAAAAATAGATTACTAACTCGTAACGCTGAAATATTGTTTGGAAAACCGTGCACAATCATTACCATCTTCCTGGAAAACATATAAATTATTTTAAACTTAACACAGTCAACATTTTTGTGTATTGTACGCAAATTGAGCCATTATAATGCAGTCAGTGTGGTCACGAATATGACGGATGACCCAAAAATTTAGTAAACCTTACTTTTTATGCTTTGTATCTTATAAGATCTTTTTTTATCTTCTAAATTATTTTAATTAATTAAATTAAATTTAATTAATTTACAGTCTAAATTATAATTTGAAACAGTAAATAAATACAAAATTTTAAAAACACATAAAGTAACAAAATACAATTGTACATAATTTGAAATTTTAACTATAACATCATCATCACTCTCCCTTTTATTCAAATAATTGTAGTACTTTTCCAATCTCTATCAGAAATATCCTCTTTCACACAATCCATAATTTCTTTGGGCAACCTCTAATATAGAAATTCTAAATTCTAACTGTAATAATTCTTTAAAATAAGATTTACAGTTGGCTAAATTACAAGAACATTTAGAATAATAGAGAACACAATGAGTTTTCACATATAAAAACTCTCATCAAGTGTACATTAAGACAATGCACAGTGTTCAAGACAATTTAGCCGATATACATGCAGAACTGAGGTTTGTGTTAATGATGGTTATTTGCTGATATATAAAAAAGTTAATAGAAATAACTTTCATATAAATACAAAGAAATCGTAAATATTTTTTTTAAACATGTAATAGTTGACGATGATAAACAATGCTAAAATAGTTTATATATATTTTTAATGATTTTTCTGATGTTTTAAATCTCTGAAGAGTTTTCTAAATATTAAACATACAATAAAAATTAATATACAATCTATGAAGAGACCGTGTTCAGCTAAATAGTTATAGATTAATACGAAAAGCGCGGGAAAAGTAACTAACCAAGGTCCTTTATTACTAGTCCGATAAGCACCTCCCGCCCATGTACCTCTATTATGTTGCTTAATTCTTCTATTTGGATCTCGTGTGTACCCTATATATGTCCTACCTTTATATTTCGGATTTATACAATATAATAAGTAAACACCGAAAAAATCCTCAACTATCTCCGGTTCGGTCATTTTAACCACTAATAAAAAGAAATAAATACATGAAAGCCACAAAATTCAACTTATCTAAACATTATTAAAGACAATTTTTATTTAAATTCTATTACATATTTAGTTATTTTTATGATCTCATAATACACAGGTCACCAGTAAACATAATCTTAAGTATGTCATCTGTTACTGTCAATGGCAATTGGATGTAGGGAAGCCCGTGACCAACGAACCTTTGATTGTTGCATTTACGATTAATCGATTTAAAAATCGGATAAATGATTATAAAAAGTTTACTAAGTTCTTATGCTTACAGAAACTTAACGTGAGATATTTCTACTTTTAGTAATAGTCTTTACTTAATGAAGAAGCTACAAATTTTAAAGATACCGCAATTACCCGTGAGAGTTAATTTGCATCGATTTATACTAATGCAGTAGAACCGTAGACTTGGCACACCTCTAGTAGACAACCAACCTAAAAACTTTCAAAAAAACTAACTTTTGTTTTGGTTCAATAAAATTATTGTTTTGTTTGTTTTTCGATTGTAATTAATATTCAACAAAATATTATTTTTGTTAAATTAGCGATAGTGCTTTAATAAGAATAATTAATGAGTATGGAGGAATCTTTGAACAATAAAGACGAGAGGTTATGCGGAATGTAAGTAATCAAATAATTCAAATTAACTTTAAGTTGAATTTTTAATTTACCACAGAAAATACATTTTCAGATGTGCAACAACCAAAAGTAAATATTGCTGTCCGCGATGTGAGATATTTTATTGCTCACTCGATTGTTATAAATCAGAGAAACATTTAGATTGCTCGGAGAGTTTTTACAGAGATTGTGTTAATGAAGAGCTCTCTTCATATCATGCGGGAGACGAAGCGAAGCGTAGAATGATCGATATTCTCAAAAAAGCTCAAAACGAAGACATAGATGAAGAAGAATTAGTAGGAAATGAAATTGATGAAAGTATTGACTCTGACGATGATATAGAAATCGATTTGCACGAACGTATTAAAGATTTAGACCTTAACGATGCAGATGCATTATGGAATGTGCTCACAGAAGATGAGAGAAATGAATTTGAGGCAGTGGTAAGAGGTGATGTGGGTTCAGTTTTACCACAATGGGAACCATGGTGGATGTACAAACAAGAGGCAAGGCTTGTAGAGGAAGTACCAAGTTCAGGAGATGATGAGCATTTAAAAAAGTGTCCATGTCTCAAATCTGTGCCTAAGTTTACTACAATAACTGTATGTATTTTCGTGTAAAATATTGTAGAATAGTGCTTAATATATTTATGTGGTTCCTTTATTTCATAAATGACAGGTTTATGTGTGATGTTTTATTAGAAAAAACATAAAAGCTGTTTAAAATCTTCATAAAGCCTTAAATGGGTCCATGCAATTGCTATAATTATTAGTATGAATAATGACTTGATTGATTAATATGAATTATTTGTATTCTAGAATGTGAAACCATCACCCGCCATATCTTTTAACATCACAAATGTGGTAGCATCATATGTATTTATTATGAGGTATTTCAATGGAGAGATTGATGCTTTGGAAACCATTACACACATATTGGACATCTGTCAGAATCTGTCATCAAACACTAACTTTAATGAGTTAGATACTGCTATAGAGTCAGTAGCACAGAAATGTTTACAGGTAAGAATTTCTCCTTCTTCTAACTCTACAGCCCTTTGTGGTCCCTTGGTTTGGTCCAGCAACTTTTTTCACCTCGGTCTATCTCTGGCCATGGACTTCCAATTTGCTATGCCCACTTTTTTGCGTCCTTATTTACGCCGTCTATCCATCGGAGCTTTGGTCTCCCTCGACTTCGACGACCTTCGGGATTACTCGCCATAACACGCTTAGGGACTGGCTTCATCCAACCGCTCCACATGGCGGGCCCATCTAAGCCTGTATGAATTTAATATAATTAAAAAGTGTTATCATCAACCTGCCCTTATTCCTATGGAGGGTCGACCCAGTACTCCTCCATACATCTCTATCAGCTGTCATATCTGAATCTACCTTCTTCTCACACATATCCTCTTTCATACAATCCATCCATATTTCTTTGATCTTCCTCTCAAGAAAATATCAAGTGTGCCCATGGTTAAAATTAGTGGACTTCTTATCTGCTGGTCCAAGTTGAATCTCTCTCTCTCTCATCATCTACCAATGTTGTTCAATTACATGTTTTCATATGTACATTTATCAGACTTTGTTATGTAAAAGTTAAGTTTACAACTTGCACATATCTGCAGATAAATTCAGACGTAGTTTTAATTCTGCAGTGCGAGTGTGGTTGACTAAGGCTTAATCACCCTGTAACCTTCTGATCTACCATGTTACTGTCGGTTTCTGAGAAGAAAATCTCTGTATAAACATATCCCTGTCATCATTTGACAAAGTAAATATAACAATATGTTTTAAACAAGGATTTTGGTATCAGAAACAAATGTTTTGGAGATTACTTTCTACAAAATACCAAACTATTTAACTTGATTGTTTATCTTTTCAGAGTGAACTAATAGAGACTGACGAAGTGAGTCTAGAAGTTATGAAACATGATACATTTTTAATATTAAAAGGACCAAGTCCAGATAATAATGCATACTATTGTAAAGCAGCTCTCTCACATCTTTTAGAAATATTTGATCAAGCAAAATCACAATTAAAAACCGTCACAAAAGAAAATGCTACAAAATCTGAAGGAATATTCTCGAAGAAATTCCCCGAAAACATGAATTATTTACCAAAGTTAGATATAAGTAAGGTTAAGAGAAACATTAAAAAGATTGAGTTTTATTTATCATTTATAGAATAGCAATTATAGAAAGCAATAATAATTGTTAATTTGTTTTTTTTTATTTATGTTTAAAAAAACATAAAGAGAAATTGCATCTACATTTTTTCTTAAAAGTATTTAAGAAAACTTTTTAGTTAACTTAAAATTTTGTTTTATATCCCAACTAGCTATCACCGCTTCCTTATGCGCGGAATTGTAACAAAAAAGTAGCCTATGTGTTCTTCCACTCTATGTTCTACATCTATGCCAAATCAAGATCCATTGAGACATTCCCGAGATCAAACAAACATCCATCCAAACTTTCTCTTTTATATTAGTATGATATTTGGGTTTTCTCAAAAACATCTTGTCATCCCTCTTATCTCTCATTGAATGAAAGAGACAATATGATTTTCAAGTTTTATACAATTGTAATCCACAGTTACTCGGGTGAAAAATAAAAACTACATTTATTTAATATACTTTATATCAACATGAAGTAATAGGAATGTCAATATACTTTAAGTAAATTTGAAAATACAAAAACGAATCGCCAAAACATAATAAAAATACCTTTGTTTAAATAATCAAATAAAACATAATTGTAATATATTTTGTTCATACAGAATATTTACATTAAATAAAATGTTTCGATACATTTTAAAATTAATTTCGTAATGTAACAAATTAAAAAAAAATCTTCTGAAATTTTGATTACTTGTTACAATTAACAAGAATTACACATTCAAACTTTCGTGAGACATTATACTAAACTGATATATAAACACGGCTAAACATTGACGTATATACCGGACGGTGGCGGCACCGACTAGTTTGGAGCACATCGGGGGCCCTTCATCAGGATGAGTGGTACTGGTATTATTTCGCGGACGCGGTCCGTCGCACACACACAGTGAGCTGAGGGGTGTTTATATATCAGTTAAGAATTACACAGATTGATAAATATACGTCATTCTGGTCTTTAAAAAAACACAAATAAAGGAACATACCCTAGCTGTTTAATAAAAATGTACAAGCAAAATCAAAAGCAATATAATAAAATAGGTAACTTAATTTCTTTAAATAATTGAAATTATTTATTGACTATATTTTGATATGATACAATATTAAATACTACGCATTTGTAGATTTTTTTAAATCGATTTTATATCGATATAATTTCAAAACATCGATTACTGGAAACATGTATATTATAAAAATACTACAAACACCAAGTAACAACTCTATATACTACTCAACTTCCCTACAAGCTTAGATAAATAACATCAACCATATTCATGAATATCGCCATAAAATAGCCAAAATAAATACTAAATATATGAAATCCGTTTGAAAATATTTAATTCAAATTAAATAAAAATTGAAAATACCTCCTTGTAACGAATTTAACATAACACTAAAGCAACGTTGTAATTTAGTAACAGTGTACAGAAGTACAGTCAGGGCCCTTCGCGGTGTTCCATTTTTAGAAAAATACGTTATTAACGAAATTTATTATATAATTTTTCGTACACACGTTAAAAGTCTGCATCCTATTGGTTATTGTTTCTGTGCTTACGTAAAGTTTAAACGTCTTTCGCTTTTATAGTGGAATACCGCCAAATTCCTTGATAGTACGTAATAACGCAATTATGAGCTTCCTCTTCTTTTAGAATGTTTTTATATGAAGTTTGACAGAAGTTTGCTACTAAAGACAGTTGATCATGTGACATTTATAGTAAGCAAAATACAGTTTGTCCCAGTCCCAGTAGTCCAAAAAGTTCGCTCTTTAAATTGATTATGATTGGCAAGCGAAATGGCGATAGTGAAGAAATTAAAAGAAAATAAATTGATAGTAAAATTTTAATACTGATTTTTAAAATAATACTTATTATCTTTTTAATAGTAAAAGATTAGGACAATTTTAAATTAGGATTTTATAGGATAAAAGAATTTATAACGTAGTTAATTTAAGATTCATCATTTAAATAAGAAAGACAAAAGAAATATGAACAAAAGTCTGTAGTCGGCAAAGACAAAAAAAACTTATTTGATATAAAGATGTTATATTTTGAGAATATTCGATATAATATGTAATAATTCAAATACGTTTTTATTTTTTTAATATAGCAACATCAATAAGGCATTATTTCGATGTTTTATAAATTAAATTAAAAATACATAAAAACATGAATAGCACAATTATGTACATTTTACCGCGCAAATTTGACATCTAACCTCAAAATAAAATTTAATTAAAAGCCATTTAAGTAAATACCTGTCACCAAGAAAGCTAACAAAGAATTTTCGCACCATGAAATTGGCAGCTTAACACTTTTTTTTAAATTCACAGTAGTGTAATCTTTTAAGTATGTTTGTATAATTTAGGTAAACCTAAAAGGTCTTCTGATTTTTAAGTATTAGGTATCAATCCATTCGTTTTGTTCCCTAAAGTGGATATTATAATTATTGCTTATTTATTTAAATATTGTGTACAATACATAGTTTAAAGACTTTCGACTCTATTACATATAATTTTAAAGTTCATTTTATTATGGTATTTGTAAGTCACGTGTGATTTGTTCTGGAAATTATCTCGCTTTATTCGATTTTAAACTCTATTCTTATTGCAATAGGATTCATTTTAGTAAGGTATCTGGTTCTGATAATATTGTATCATATCATATGTCCTTGTTCTGAAGTTAAGGAAGGAGTTACGTATGACAGAGAGCATGTATGCTGCTGCCTCCTTCTCTGTTGAATTGGGTGCAAAACGAGAGCGAAGGAGACGGATGGTCTGACCTCGGAAGCAAGGCAGACCGGTGTCAAGCATCAGGGACACCATAGATATGATAGCTTCTTGGTACGGTCTGCAAAAAAAAATGTTAAAACATACTGATTTAAATATCTAATCTTACTTCTTACTATTTATAAATACGAATATATGAATGAATGGGTGTTTGTTTGTTTGGAGGTATTTTAGGAACGGCTGAACGGATCTCGATGAAATTTGCCATTTTTTTTAATTCTGCAGACGAAATCGTGGACGACAGCTAGTTGATAATATTCCTAGAACAACTTCAAAGCAAATTTGTATTGGACGCAGCATTATTTTTTAAAAACTTTATTACTGTACAAAAAAATAAAATAAATATTATGAAACTAGGTCTGTAGCTTGTATTAGTCCTATTTTACTGATAAGCTGAAATTAAAAAAAAATGTGCCAGTTTGTCAAAAGAAGCGTAGTATTATTTTGTCAAACAATAACAAACCTTATCACCTTAACATTAGGTTGAATCTCACCTGACAGCAAGGAAGGCTTGCACACAAAGCTCACAGAACCAGCGGAAGGGCGGGGCCTCCATCTTCCCGCCCATCACCATCACCATTTCATCAGTCAGTTTAATATCAGGTTCGAAGCCAAGGTTACCGCCCGGAGATGACTCAAACATGAACCCAAAATCTACAAACATAGATTACAGTGAGTTTCCACTATGATACATGTTCCTGCAGTGAAAACCTACGATTAAATATTTTTAAAATATTTTCCCTAGGTAAATTATTTAATTTTTGTATACGTAGATGTACGAATAGTGGGGCTGTGGGATCTAACGCATTACCTATATGTATTATATGTCCGTCTGTGTCCAGCATGATGTTGCCGTTGTGCCTGTCTTTGATCTGCAACAGGAACCCGATAACACTGTACGCCGCCATTGACGTCACGAAACATCTGCGAGCAGCCTGTGAAAGCACAAGTTTCCACTTAGAAACATGTATAAAAACATTGTTACTATTTTTGCGGACAGAATGAAAATCATGACTGTTATTGTAGTGGAAAGTATACAAATGTACAACAAAGTATACAACGTGTACAACAAAGTATACAAATGTACAACAAAGTATACAACGTGTACAACAAAGTATACAACGTGTACAAGAAAGTATACACATGTACAAAAAAAGTATACCTGGAACTCCCTGGTGGTCTCATCGCCGTACTTCTTGATGAAGTACTCGTACATGCCGATGTCAGTCTGTCGGCCGAGCTGGTCTCGTGACTTCGCGTTAGGCACGCACTCGATCACACCGCACTGACACACGGACAAACAAACAATTATCAATACATATAATTACTATTTCTAGTTGGAAAATGTCATTATTACTAACGATCGCCCTCGACTTCGTCTGCGTAGTATCAACTATCTTCCCGTCAAAGTGTCATCAAAATCTGTCCAATTGTTCCGGAGATTACCCGGAACAAACGCGGCATTGTACAGACATACAAATATAATGATATTAAAAAAAGCCGTCTCTGCGAAATTAAAAAAAAAAAAAATTAGTAGCCTGTGTTCTTCCAGACTATGTTCTATGTGAAACTACAGCGAGATCCGTGCATATGTTCTAGAGATACCTTCTCATAAACATCCATACATCCAAACATTCGCATTTACAGTATTAGTGAAAAGTAAGATATGGAAAGTCCAATTTTATTATTATGTATCGATTACCCTACTAAAACATCTAGGGGTTGTTATTACTTAACTTAGTGTACTTTGCAAACTCACCCCGGGCGCGGTGGCGACAACTTTATACGGGAAGAGATAGAGATCCAGTCCGACTTGCTGGAAGATGTTCTTGAAGAGGGAGATGACTTGCAGCGCGAGCATGTCTTGTCTCACGTCGTCCCCCACCTTGAAGATGGCCGCCTGCCACGTCTCCGCAGCTATTGATGTGAACCGGTCCTTACCCTCCTCCTAAATTACGAACGAATATTCATATTTTTGATACAAATGTCTTGAAATTTAATGAAGAAAACTTTGAGGAGGATAAAAAAATTCTGAACAGATGAAACTAAATAAAATCTTATAATAAATATACTAGTGACGTACAATTGGCGGTTCCTCTCCCGACGCTATTGCCATAGCAACGGCCTCCATCTCCGCAATACCGTACTTGCGTACACGGAACCGCGCCAAGTACGGAGCCTTCGCAGCACTCTGCATCGGAGTCCCTGAACATAACATGAATTATTAAACCCTTTTTCCACTAAAATAAGACGTTTTTGTTTGCAAAAAGAACGTTATCATTTCGTCTGTTTTTTATGTTACTGTGTAACTCCGTTTCTGGTGCCCAGATTTGATTTGTAGGTGGAAATTATTTTTTATTAATTTTGAAACTTACTTAAACACTTAAACACTAGTGCACTTTTAAATTTATAAAATAGATTAATGATATTTTTTTTATTTACTAATTTTAGAGTGTTAGTAAGAAAATCCGACACTGTGCCGGTGTATTGGCGCAACACTAACCTTACTAAAATATCGACGTTTATGTCCCCTCACTAATCATTCTGACACTTGACTTTGTAACGAAAGCGCGTCATTCGCGACAAATGGCTAACTTATAATGACTAAAAATAGTAAGTTACGTACCGCTTTTATAGTCTATATCAATAACCATAGAGTCTGGATTCGAAGGAAGGTAACATCCTGGTTGAACCTAAAAAGTAGATGTTTTTATTAGAATAAAAAAAAATTCAAAAGCAATAAAATAATTCTACTAAATGTTGGTTTCTGACACCAAAATATCTTCATAAAACACTCGCCTTCTCTTTTTTTAAAGGAGTAGGGGGCAGAAGCAACCAATCGCCTAAGACTATTACTTCCATGAACATCCACAACGCCAGAGGAACCTTAGATATTGCCGGCCTTTAAGTAAGGTTCTTTTCTTGAAGACCCCTAAGTCGTAACTGATTGGAAATACCGCTGAGGACAGGGTATTCCACAACGCGGCTGTGCGATATTGGTTTTAGAAACCCACGGTAAATCAATTTAACTTACCTTGACATTTTTAAGTGCCTCCAAACAGGCACGTTTTCGTTCAGCACCTTTCGGATAAGGTCGTATAATTCCGCTAATATTTGTGATCTGACTGAAGAAATCAAACTCTCGTTCGTAGAAAGCCTTAGCCGGCCCTGACAGTGTGTCCACTATACTCTTTGTTAACGACTCTAGAATATCGTAGAGAGCCACTGGAAAAAAAATAATGCACTGAAAAACACATTTATATGTATTTATGACTAGATGTCGCCTGTGACGCCGTCCACGCGGTTAAAAACTAATTATTAGCCTATATGTTCTTCCAGACTATGTTCTGCATATAGATGTCATAGGACAAATTTATGCGAGATGCAACTTCTGGAGATCCATACATACATCCATCTAAACATTCGCATTTATAATATTAGTAAGCAGTAACACACATAAAATGAAAAAAATTGGTTGAAAGTCAATGAAATTGGGAGAAAATCTGATAGATAGGTGGCGCTAGCGTCAAGAGTGATCTGTCACCTGTCAAACATTTTATACGTCATTCTAGAGAATTAAAAAAATATGTATTTTTTTGCAATAAAACTTTGTGTTCTTAAAAATACATATCTTTGTACTTTTTTTAAGTAAAATTAGACGAAGTTGGTATAACTTGTCTACAGAGTACTTTGTATTTTGTATAATTAAAATAAAGCGCTTTTTTTACATCTGTGGTACATCCAATATTGACTTTAATTTATGTAGGCTATCGTAAGTTACTGATTTTCACTCACGGTTAGACATTGCAATTTCAACTCTATCGTATATCTCATAAAGCTTATTATGTTAAAAAAAACTTACAGTCTTTATGGTGCATCTCTTCATCAGTGTACATATTAGTGTGCATATTCCAGATGAGCTGGTGCGCCACCACTTGAGACTTCTTAGCCAAAGACTTGATCAGCTCCGCTACATACCCCATCTAAAGTACAAATATCAAAATAAAAAAAGCACTCCTGACAGAAATGAACTTTGCTGACGAATACATTATGTATGTATAAAAAATATTTTTTAACTACAATACGAGAAGGAATCTCACAGAAAAGACAGGGTTACTGTCTTTTCCACAAAAAGGAAAATAGAAAAAGAAGAAGAAAAGGAAATTACCCCCTCCTACTTTTTTTTTACATCATAAGATGACAAACGAGCGAGCGGCCACCTGAAATCGCTGAAATAGCGAAGTGACCGTTGCCTATAGACATACGCATATGCGTTGCCTACCTTTAATCGACTGAGGAGAGGATGCACAGAAAGATAATATTTTCCTCATATTAAGAAAAATAGTCTATTAGACTCCTGAAAGTCTCAGTCCTAGTTCAGGAGCCAAGGCTAAACTATTATGTACGTGAGTCTTACAATAAAGCATTTATTTATTTGTTTGCTTGCTTGTTTTTTTGTTTGTTCGTTGTGTTTTTCCAAATTTAAGCGAGACCCATACAACCGTCATAGTGACCTTCAAATTTCCGTCCAAACATTCGCATTTATAATATTAGTAACATAACATTAATTAAGGAGCGCCAAATTTCATCAAGATCCATTCCGGAGATATCCATCCATCCAAACATTCGCAGCAATGTATACTGACCGTGTCGTGTCTGAGAGCCTGCACAAGTTGTGGTATATACAGCAGCACGGCAGAAGATGGGTAGGAGGTGAGCGCGTTGACAGCCGCCTGCGCTGACAGCGGGTGCGGCGGGTACTGCCGGCTGAAGTACGACAATGCTTCCACCGGGCTCACACGTGCCCATGTCACCATATGCACCAGCTGCAACACAATAAACTTAGCCTAGCAAATAAACAATATAGATATATTAACAGGACCTACACTTGTACAGTACTTGTAGAGCTTCGGTGGCTCAGGGGTCAAGCACTTGCAATCTGCAGGTCCTGGGTTCGAATCCCGCCATGTACCAATGTGTTTTTCTATTTCCGATTTACATATGTACATTTATCCATCGTTCTTACGGTGAAGGAAAACATCGTGATGTTGCACATATCTGAGAAGAAATTTAAAGATATGTGTGAAGTCAACCCGCACTGGGCCAGCGTGGTTGACTATGGCCTAGTCACCCCTACTTAGGGTAGGCTCCGAGCCCCTCGGTGAGGACGTATAGTGAGCTGATGATGAGACTTGTACAGTCGCGTTTGTTCGCGGTGTTCCAAGTACAGATAAATTGTTATCAAACATTAATTTTGATTAATTACACTGTAAGTCTGTCTATTATTTTGAGTTGAATACTATTATAACGGCGAGACTTTAGACTTTTACTTATTAAATTTTCTCGTAATACAATTCTGATTAACTTCGTCATTATCTTCAGATAAGATAAGAAAATAACTTTCCAGTTAACTAAAAGAGAAACAAAGAAATGATAAGGTTAAAAAAGACATAAGAACTTTATTTGTAGGCCATATTGTGACATAGCTTACCTCATGAGCATCGCTAAGTAACGTCTCTGTAGTGACAAGATACTTAAGCGCCTGCGGAATGTGACACACTGCGGTCGGCTGCGACTGTACTTTGCGTCTGATCTCCTTCACTATTGCTTCATTCTTCAACCTAAAGAGTTGAACTCATAAATTATGTAACTAAGATAAGTTAATAACATTAAAAAACGCGTAATGTGTAATCCATGTGGTGTGTAATGTGTAATTTCAGTAGTGGACAAGCCATGATTGTGTAATATATAATCTAGTCTCTGTTGAGTGTATTTTGTAAATATGTGTAATACAGGGTGTTCTTTTTTAAATGTGTAATCTAGAGTGTGTAATCGGTGTAGTATCTCTAGTGTGTAATGTACCTCTCAGGTAGGAACACAGCGAGTGCGGGGCTGATGTCCCAGGCGTGCTTGGCGTAGTCTCGCCAGGTGCGTTCAGTGTTAGGCTTGGATCTCCAGGTGGCGATGTTATCCTCGCCCGGCACCGCCTGCTCCGGTCTTGCGTGAGGATTGTGCCACGTCACCAGCAGCTCTATCTCCACAGCCTACATACAGATAACAAAGACACAACTCTGAGTAATAAACAAAATTCTGCAAAATGGTAACCAAATTAAATTCCCGTCACTTGTCTTTCTACAATACAAATATCTATTACAAAAGAGTTAGCAATACAATAGCAATTTATTTGATTGAATTGATAAAAAAAAACATGAAATGTAACAATATTTATTCACCCCAGCTCTCTATGTCTGTATCTCTCTTTCTCTCTCCCTCTCTGTATATATCTCTCTCCCACTCTCTCTCTCTCTTTCTAATTATATTTGTAAGTACAATGTGAGATAGTTACCATAAGTTCAAGTATCAAGTTCCTCTTCCTGACGTAATCCTTGACGAAGGTATCCTGAGACTTGAGGAGAGGTTTGACGCTGCGGTTGGAGCGCTTGCCGGCCGCGCTCCCCGCGCCGCTACTTAACGTCGTTGTTGACATCGGCACCTGGGATACATTGAACTTGGGATATTTACTGGACATGGACCACTTCTTAAAGTAACATGTCTTACTAATATTAAATTAATAAAACACTTAGTGAATAGCCTATGTGTTCTTCCAGACTATGTTCTACATCTATACTAAATTACAGCGAGATCCGTTGAGCCGTTTTGGAGATACCTTTTGACAAACAGCCATCCATCCTCACATACATCTAAACATTCGTATTTATAATATTAGCGAGAAGTAAGATGCAAATTTTTAGATGGATGGATCTGATTAGATATCTCCAGAAAAGCTAAATAGATTTCGCAGAAATTAGGCATAGATGTAGAAAATATTCTGGAAGAACACATAGGTTACTAATTCAGATTTTTTTTAATATCAGAAATGCGAATGGTTGACTATACAGATGGATGTTTGTTAAAAGATATCTCCAGAAGGACTTCACGGATCTTGCTGAAATTTGGCATAGATGTAAACCTTATGGGCTACTAAATAAGACACATATGTGCGGTAACCAGTAGAACATATAACAAGATGATAATTACCGTATTAATCCACCCTGTTGTCTGTCGACTGCCGATATCACTACTGTTAATAGACGATCTGTTGTCTGTCGGTGAATTAGATGTGTATATACTCTGCTGGCTGCTGGGACCCATTGTATCGAATTCTGAAAACATTTACAATATATCTATCTCTCTCACACATATGGCAGAGAAAGAGAGACAATGTGCGAGTACGTGCGTGTACGTTGAAACGCGTATACGTACGTATTTTTTATAGATTTTTTTATATAAGCAGATTTTTGTTAATTTTCTAATATTTTTGTACCATTTCAATCTATGCTTGTTGTTGCGGGATTCGAACCCCCGACCTTGTGATTGGAAATCCGTACACTTAACCATTAGGCTATTGCCGTTTCAATATATAGAATTAAATATTGTTATTAATCTCCTTTCGTAAACTAGAATTTTTTACAAATAAAAATGCTTGCAAAGTATACAAAAATTAAATCTAGAAAAAAATTAAACGTTACTTTAACTTATACCAAATTATATAACATACTGTGAAGTCCCGTATAACAAAGACATGTCTATCAATAATGAAAACTTAACAACAACTTGTGTACTCACCACCAATATCACTACTTTTCAAATATTTCTTATCCGAATGCATTAATTGCCAGAATTTAATCAACGACATAATATCCTCTCTGAGTGCGCCTGCACTTTTAGCTGGACATTGTAGACCTCGGCAGAAGTAATCTAAACACACGCTGTATACACGCTCACGTAGTATATTCCTTGCTAACGAACGTGGTAATATATCACCCTGTAGTAATGACAGGCCACAGGATAATAGCCTGTAATACATAAGACATAAAGTTCAAATTGGATTGCCTATGAATCTAAATCACATTATTTGATAGACCACAGGATTATAGTCTGTAGTGCATAAGACGTAGAATTCAAATTTGTTTGCTAATGAAACTGAAGAATTAGATTGGACAAGCTACAGGATAACAACCCGTAAAACAATAGACATAGAGTTCATAATAAATTGCTAATGAAAGTAAAGAATTAGAATGGATAGACCAAAGGATAATATACTGTAATATTATAATACATAGAGCTCAAATTAGAGTGCTTATTAAGCTAAAGAATTATTATGGACATGCCACAGAATAATAGTCCGTAATACATAAGACGCAGAATTCAAATTAGATTGTTCATGAATCTTAAACATTACGTTGAAAAGACCACAGGAAAAAAGTCCGTAATTCATAAGTAGTAAAGTTCAAATTAAAATGCTTATGAAATTGAAAAATAACATCAGACAGGCCATAGCATAATAGTCTGTAATACATAAGAGTTAGAGATCAAATTAGAATGAAAGAGATCGATATATTTTTGAGTACTTCCAATTGATTACCGTTACGATGTTTACTTACTTGAATCTAACTCCAGCCGCTTCTACGTGCCTGTTGATGTGATCTCTTATATCTCCAACAGTGATTGGTAATGACCTAAAAATTATTTTCCCTAATTAATATAATTGTAGCCATTTTTTACGTACTTTTGGTACCGCCCTGACTGTTTTTCGTTAAAAATCTACGAGTATACAAGACATATAATGTAGTTTATATTAAAAATATTTACGTAAATGACCTTGAACTGGGAGATTGGTGTTAAAAATATATTTTTTACTGTTTAATACAACTAGTAGTTGTCCGTGACTTCGTCCGTGCATGAATAATGTAGAATAGATTTAAAAAGTCTCTTGACAGACAGACGGATGAACAAAGTGATCCTATAAGGGTTCCGTTTTTTCTTTCAAGGTACGGGGAACCCTAAAAAATAATTTGAATAAGACCATAAAAATAGTAGCTGCTCTCCTCAGGCCTAGTCTAGATCGTCTGACGATGTCCATGACTGTAAGTACCTGTGCAGCAGACTGGCCAGCATCTCGACCTTCTCCAGGCTGTTGTATTTAGCTGTGTCAGCCACCTCGCACAGATAGCGCACCCACACAGCATGCGGCGCCACGAACGGAGGCCGCGGCTCCAACTTAGAACCTAACACAGTACAACTATAGTTTGTAATTTGCCTAGTCATATTGTAAAAGAGACAATTGCACAAAAAAGTTTACCGGCCAGTGTTCAACAAAAGTCAAACTAAGGCCATTCGTACACAACGCAACAAAAATATTAAAAACTAGCAGCATCTTAAGGTTTTTCGCGAGAGGAATGTCGGCAACACTCGCTATATACGACACTCTATGTATTGTTTTGAATAAGTTAGCTTAGCGACTGAAGATTTACGTTGTTCTGTGTACAAAGGGTCTTAGTATGTATAACATCCCTTACCTTCGTATGCGGCTAAGGGGCTGATTTCATCGTGCTGTTTAGAGAAGAGCCCCATCTTTCTATCCACAGTGCATTGCCACGCGGCGAAGATCTCCTGCAGCAGACGCAGCTCTAGATCCGGTCGCGCTGTCGTCAGCCACTGCCAGCATTCCACCGCTGTCGTCACCGCGTCCTCCGTGAATATGTCCACTTGCGACCATGCTACGATAAACAAACGCTTTAAAAGAAGACAAAAAACCCTATTGGTACTGGACAATTTGTTTAAAACCGAACTGTTTTACCGACATACACTAGTCAGTCGATCTGTTTTACCGACGTAGTCTCCACAGTCGATCTGTTTACCGACTTACCGACACTATGCAGTAAAGTGCGTGCAGTGGGCGAGGACTGCGCATGCGCAGACGTAGTATGTCGGGCGTGTACGAGCAGTGCGGTTGCGCGCCACAGTGCGGCACGGTGCGCTGTCTCGCTCCCACTGGTGCAGGCGTCGCGCAGCGCAGTGTGCAGCTTAGCTCCCACACGCCACACCGCCGCCTCGCCCCCACCCTCCGCGTGCACCGCACCCGATACCTACAGACAACCACTATTTAACATTGCTTTAATCCTAGCCCTTAGTGGGCTAGCACTACAATTATTTAAACAGGAAATGGATTGGATCGCAGTGAAATGCCACGACCACACAGAAGACAGAGGTAAAGTGGAAGTCATTCCGCGCACAGTCTGATGAGTGTGCCGGAGGCTTAATTTTAGTCCTTGAGAAGGGAAAATTAATTTGGAGAATGACGTTCGTCTCCTCATCCCCCAAATAAAGGTAGGCAACGCATCTACAATACGAATGGGCAGCGGTCGCTACATTATATAAAATATAACAGTAGTACCTAATAATACTTAGCACAACGAAAGTTATAATCACCCTTTAGTTATGTTAGTGCCGATTATTAATGGTGCCAGAGTTACTGGACGGGACGCTGTACATCTAAGCCTAGTGCCAAGTAGCAGTGGCACCATATAGTACCAGATTTAAGCATCACATACCTCACCAGCGTATCTACTACGTTGTGAGACTACGGCAAGTAGTGCCGCGGAGTCGTGTGTGACGCAAGGCGGGCGCTTGTCGAGGGCGGCGCGGGGCAGAGGTGCTGACGCTCGGTTTAGTCCCGCGGCACCAAGTAGTGCACCCGTCGCTAGTGCCAGCCCGCAGTGGTGCCATAATGTTGAGTTTGGCACCTAGAAAATGTATACTATATTTATGTAAAGACTAGCTATCGCCCGCCACTCCGTCGGCGCGGAATTAAAAAAATCTTAGTAAGCTGTGTTCTTACAGGCTATGTTCACCGTTCTGGAGATACCTTCAAACATCCATACATCCAAACATTCGCACTTATAATATTGTAAGATAAAATGTTGAAAAGATTATTATAAAAGACAAAAAATGGTCCGTTGAGTCGGACATCAGTTTTATATAGAAGTTGAATTTTTGAAAGAAACTTGTTACCTGATTCAGATATTCTTGCAAATGCGATCTGGTCGATTGTGGAGCCCATTTCATCGCCTCTTGTACTATACCGTGACAACGATCTGCGAAATCTTTTACTATACCCTACAGATAAAAAAAAATTAAACACATGTTTCATCTCTTTTTTTTGTTTTTTTTTTCTTGTATAAATATTTACCTCTCGGCCTTCCAATGTATCTTGCAGTTGCAGAGTGAAATCAGTGCCGGGAACTTTAAGCAGAGGTGTTTCCTGATTTGCGTCCAGTTCCAAACTGAAGCTTAGCACTTGCAGTATATCCAGCATTGACCATAGCACCTAAAATTTCAACAATGCCTAGAATAACATTTAGAAGCTTCTAGAATATTACTGTCACCAAGATATTGAATTTTGACGCGTGGCGACCTTGACAACACCAAAGCGTACTGTAAACGACTGAATTTTCTGTTAGATTGTTTGACAACTATTTGACATGTCTTTGAGATTCAAAATATATAATACCGCCATATGCAATTTTATAATCTAAAGCAATTTCCTGCAATTTCGTCCTCACGGAGACAATGTTACACGGGGGTAGCGTAGCTTCCCAACGTCGAAACAATTTTACAAAACAGTTCAGTAATTTCAGAGCCTATTCTATGTAGACAAACGGCTTTTAGGATATTTTTTTACGCATTTGTGTTTCCTCTGTGGCATATATCCTTGGGCGTTGATGAACACCTTGGTGTTACCACTCCTCGTTTGCCATCTTCTCTTATTAAAAATAGAGATAAACAGAGATGCAGTGAGTACCCGACAGTTCCACAGTAGATGAGGGAAGCGGTCGACGAGTCCCGCCAGCCACTTGTCAGCGACGCGGCGGATCTGCTTGTGAATGTGGTTGAAGTTGACCAGCAGGAACTGCGCGTGGCTCTCCAGCTCCCTCTCGCGACATTCGTCCTTCACTTTATCTGACATCACGTCTAGAAACTTCTGGAATACTTTGTCACCAACACTGTAAAAAAAAACAAAAATCGATTCAATTGTAATCGAATTTCGTATATATATAAAATCATAATTAGTAGGCAATGTGTTCTTCCAGACTATGTTTTATATCTATGCCAAATTAAGAGATCCATAAAGCTGTTATAGAGATTTCTAACAAAATCCATCCATCCATCCATCCAAACAAATAAGATGACACTAAGGGAAAGAATATGAATCGAATAACACGTCATTTTTCAATATCTAGTTAGTAATTTGGGCTACTGAATACCCATGAATAATGTAATCCACTTAGGTCTGAGGAATAAAAAATAAAAAAATAAAATTTTTAAATAATTGTAATTACCTTGCTACACATTGCCACATACCACTCTTGTCTTTTTGCAATGCCGTATCACTCAAATATTCAATAATTGGTTGTAAACTCGGTTCCGGAGAATTGCAAACCCTTCAAATCAAAGAAAAATATATATTTGTATGTTGTTTTTACATATTAACCGATATAGACCTAATAGTTATTTGTTTCAAAAGTAAATTGTAAAAAAGAAACGTTGTAAATTTAAAATGTCAAAGTTTGAACTAACGTCAAAGAAAATAAAAAAATATGTATTTTTATGTCGTTTTCAAACATTAACCCAAATAAACCTAATACAATTGTACCTTGTCTTAAAAGTAAAATTAAAATAAAAAAGTTGTAATGTCATTTTAAAATGTCAAAGTTTGAACTAACCTCTAACAAAAAATAAATAAAAATTATGTCGCTTTTAAACGTTTATCTAAATATACTTTATAAAAAATTACTTGTTTCAAAAGTAAATTCTAAAGAAACGTTACAATGTAATTTTTAAAAGTCAAAGTTCGAAATAACTTCAAATAAAATAAAAAAAAAATATCTATTTTTATGTTGTTTTCAAACATTAACCCAAATAAACCTAATAAAATTATTCTTTGTTTCAAAAGTAAATTAAAAAAAAACTTGTAATGTCATTTTAAAATGTCAAAGTTGTCAAACTAACCTCAAAGTCTCCAGCCAATAAACGCTCAGTAAATACATGCAAGGCGCAAACGTCAACTTATTGACATTGACAGTGACATCTGGCGGATGATCTAACAGATTGAGTATCTGCGTCTTCAGCTCTTGTAATTCAGTGAGCGAGACAGAATCATTTCTGACAGCTGAAGTGTACTGAAGTTCGCGCATTTCCGAACGCAATGACGTTTGCGAGACAAGGAAGGGCGATTTCACTGCTATCTCTTTCACGCCCGCGTACCACTCTTGTGGCCATAGACCTGTAAAGTGTTACCATACTTTTAATATTTAGACAAACAAAATTTGACTAGGAACTTTTTAAGTCCATCTTTTTTTAAAAAAAAAAGAATGTTTGTAATGACACCGTTAAGAATTTAAGGGACATTCGAGTGAAATTATTTTATGGTCAATATTATTTACAACTTGTAAAATGACTAACTTATATTATAAAATTCAACAGACTTTCAAAAAATTATACCAAAAGCGTATTTCCAATTAAATTTGAAACCAAATACAAAACCAAAGTCGCTTAAAATTAAAGCAAAATTCATCAAATTCAAACTAATCTAACACTGCATTCTAAAATTGAAAAGCACACTCTTTTAGGAATATAAAATCGACTCTTTACACATTTTAACGTGCATTTCCACTGTCGAAAGCATCCATATAAAACATATTGATAACTCATATATTTTAAAGAGATAGAAAGAGATCGCACGATGTTATATGAATGTTTCAGCTGTGTAAAACACATGATTACACAAAAATTACCCAAACTTTACACAACCGTGCAAAATCATTTTTTTTCACGTTTTTTTTAAAATTAACATAAGTATATTGAAATGGTGCTATATCGATTTTTTTATTTATATCTACAAATATCATTAAAAAAATGTAATTTAGAAAAATACGTATATACCAAGCTCTTTTCTCTATATTTTGTTTAATTACATATAACCACTGACTTTATTGTTCAAAAAATAAAAAATTAAATATCTATTAAAACTAAGCAAATAGTAAATAAAGCTTTTTCTATTAAATAAAATAATAGATACAAAAAAAGCTAAAAAAAAATACGCTTTCAAAATATAGCACCATTTCATTCTAAAACCACAATTCAAAAAAACCAAAAAAAAATCACAAACGACTATTTTTTTGTCTAAAAGCATATTTTACTCACGCTTTCGCATGGCTACAGGCGTGGCCATAGAAGAAGACATAACATAATTATATATCTATTAACAGCATAGTATATAAGAAATAGTCATAGTGTTGAGAATAGCTAAATTGAATCCAAATACAATATACTTAAAGTTCAAAATTGAGCAATTTACATTGTGGGGTTAAGTATTAAATATAAAAAGGTTTTAATGTGTTATTTTTTTTTATTTACCTGATTCGGCAGCTGTGAATCCCATAACGACACAATACAGCCAGAAATCTTTAAATAACTTGTGAAGTCTTGGTTTAGGATTCTTTATTGGTGGTAGCCTTTTAACTAGGACCTGGAATATATTTTTTTATAAATAAACATGGCTGGAAAAGTAATTTGACAAATAAATATCTTTTAGGTTTTTTCTTTTTTTTTTTTAATTTCTCATTGATTACTGGCAACACAGATTGCAAGCCAATTATCTATATGAGGTAAGAGAACAAAGTTCGCTCTAAAAACTAGGTCATATTTTTTCAATTACTATTATTAACTTTATTACCGCATGTGATTATTAACTATGTCCAATAGTGGGCATACAAAAGCTGATGATGATGATGAACTGACCGCTATAACAGGTATGAGTACGCCCAGGTTTCCAGCACTGGCGGAGGCCTTGAGTACTGGAGCAGGTGCGCGATCAGTGGCGCGCTCTCCACCCAGTCCGAGCTGCACGAAGAGCTCCAGCAGACGCGTCAGCAGCTCCAGGCGAGCGTTGGTTCCGCGAGCATTCGCAGCCACGTTCGCGAGCGCGTTCAACACCGCACCCGATACGTGCCTATGTACGTATCACGCGTTATTGCACGCATCAACGTAAATATCAACTTACTGCCTTAAAGGTTAACGCGCATTCGTTGACTAATTGCTCACTTTTTTCGTTTTATCTTTTATTTCTAAGAGCAAAACCCCTCTAAAAACATATCGTGCATTGCTCTTATTATCTTGACAAAACAGAAATAACAATATAATATACAAAGGTCTTTGTCTCAAAAGCTATCACTAAACGATTGGTAATGCGCGTTAACCTTTATTCTACTATATATTTAGTCTTTTAACATATTATTGATAAGTTATATAAATCCAGTCGAACATATTTGACCTTTATCACATTGCCTGTTAGAAAATAAAATGTAACTTTACAAAACGGACAAGTCGTTTGAAACTTTCCTTTGCTTATAAGAAAAGGGTGGGAAGGGGAGAGGACTAAAATTAGGTTAAATACTGTCACCTGTACTGTTTTCTATCATCTGTATGATGATACGCTGCACTGGCGGCCTCTACTGTGATGACGGTGAACATACGCATGATCTCATCATGTGCAGGTCCCTCAGGACTGGCCAGCGCCATACAGCCCAGCTGGTCAACTATCAACGTGTCCAACGACGACGGAGCCCGACATAACCTGAGTTACATTACTATCAGTTGGTTTCTGACACCAGAATCTCTGTATTAAACATATCACCCTTGTCACATTATCTTTGACAACATAGACATTTTAAACGGAAAATTTGGTCTCAGAAACCCACGGTAAATGCTTAAATTAAGATACAGTGTCATACACAAAGTCAATGATTAAACAGTCGCAATAAATATAAATATCCCATATTAATTTTGTACTGATTGACACCCTTAGTGCCTACTTAACTCTATAAGAAGCAGTTAAAGACGTTTAATAGTCACTAAAGAAGCACTTAGATAGAATAAAGAAATATAAACTGTAGGACGATAAAGGATTCTGAATACAACACAAACGGTAGGGCCTGTTATAACCGATGTCCAGTTTAAACCGGTTATAAATATAACCGGTTATAACTAGTTGATACCGATATCTGGTGTGAACATACCTCTGCTGGAAGAATTGTAAGATGGTGTCCGTTGTTTTCGGCGTGTCTTTAAGCGCTACGGAGACGTGGCCCAGCATTATCACTATGTTCGTACTTATTAGTGAAGATTCACTGAAACATGAAAAATCTTAATGATATTATAAATGCGAATGTATGTATGGATGGATTAAAGGTATCTCCAGAACGGCTGCATTAAAATCACTGAAATTTGGCATAGATGTAGAACATAGTCTGGAAGAAACATAAACGCGAACGGAGTCGCGGGCAACAGCTAGTATTTTATATCTGAGAAAAATGTGAAAAAATGAAATTGTTAGCGTAATTGGATGAATGGACCACTCTCCATGTGCAATACCACACAGAAGACACGCGTCAAGGTGAAGTTATTTCGCGTTTAATACCAGCATGACAATTTTTTTCACTCTTTCATATTAAAAGCAAATTCAACTAGGAAGGAGACATTTAGGAATTCCAATGCGCTATTTTATTGAAATCATTCCATTAACCGTGGATTTCCGAGTCCATAATCTTTGTCATAAACTTCAACAAAACAAAGGTAACAATATGTTTCAGAGGATTTCGGTCTCAGAAACCCACGGTAAGTTTACCAACAGATTTGTATACAGGTAGAAAGAAATAAGGAAGTAATTATAATTTACCTATCACTAGTTTCAGCAGTAAACAGTCTATTACTGACGGAGCCGACGAGTGCGGGCACACAGAATGGGTCCACAGTCAAAGCAGCCTCCAATGCCACACATAGATTCTCTATGGCCGCATCTCGAAGTTTCTCGAATGGTGTAGACTTCACTGGTACACCGGTTGATGTCATACCTTGTAATTCTTTACCTTGCACTAAATATTAAATAGATTTTAAAATAGACGGGGTTTTGACTAGGACATAGTCATTACTAGCCGAATATGGGTTGACTTCACACATATCTTTGAATTTATTTGTAGATATGTGCAGCATCACGTATTCCATCGCCGTTAGAACGTCGTATAAATGGGAAATCTAAAAACTACGGTATATGGCGGGATTCGTACCCAGGACTTGCAGATTAAAAGATAATTGCTTAACCTTTGAAGCGCCAATAGCCTAATGGATAAGGGTGCGGATTTCCAATAATGTGGTCGAGAGTTCGAATCCCTCCATTCGACTATTGTCGTAAACCATATCCTAGCACAAGCCTAGAGCTTAGTTGGAATTGTAGAAAGAAATATTAGTAAATTTACATAAAATCTACTAATATTTAAAAAAAAAACAAGAAAACAAAAACCTCTGAGCCACCGACGACACAATTTTATACGGCCAAAAGGGCGCTAGTGATCTGTCATAATTTAGTTTGACTTATGCCTACTAAGTTAGATAACGTTGTCATTCTATAACAGTCTTTCCCAAAGTGGGCGATAACGCCCCTTGTGGGCGCTGCAGGTCTCAAGGGAGGTAAGAGACCAAGAAAGAAAATGGGGGCGTTGTGTAGAGGCCTGGGGGGTGATTTGTAATTTTATTTAGCTAGAAGGCCTCTTAGACAACGACTGCATGAGCTCTCGACTCTCAACAACAATTTGTGAACATCATCTAATATGAATTAAAAGATTGCTTAAACTCCAATATGGGGGGCGCTAAAAATATTTATTCTCAAAGTGGGCAGTAGACAAAATAAGTTTGGGGTGGTCCCCAAAGTTGGTGATCTATAAGTAAGATTGTTTTATGCCTAGTTTTAGACATTATTAGTTAGAATTCTTTAGCGCGAATGGCGCGCTTTCATTACAAAGTCAAATGTCAGAATGATTAGTGAGGGGACATAAACGTCGACATTTTACTAAAGGTAGTGTTGCCAGTACACCGGCATAGTGTCGCATTTTCTTGATTAAACTTTTTTTTATGTAATTAAATACAGTAATACAAATACTCACATGTAACTTTCATATGCTCTTTGCCAGTCTTCTCTATCTCCAGCTTGTGTAGTTTGAATAATATCGGTGAAGGCGTCACTAAGAAATCTCTCAAACAATATATAGACGTATTGGCTATGGACGGGAACTTTGTAGCCAGTTTACCAAGACCCTGAAATCATATTATAAATGCGAATGTTCTGATGGATGTTTTTTTTTTATATCATAAGGTGGCAAACGAGCGAGCGGCCACCTGAAATCGCTGAAATAGCGAAGTGACCGTTGCCCATAGACATACGCAATTGCATATGCGTTGCCTACCTTTAATCGATGGAGGAGAGGATGCAGAGAAAGAAAAAAATATTTTTGCTTTCCATGCATCCTCTCATCCGGAAAGTCCACGTCCACTTCCCCTCCTTTCCTTATAAGCAAAAGGGTGGGAAGGGAAAGAGGACTAAATTAGGCCTCCGGGACGCACACTCATCAGACGAAACGCGGAATAGCTTCCACTTGAGGTGTCTTCTGTGTGGTTGTGGTATTTCACCGGGCGAGCCGGGACAATTCGTGCGAAGAAGGTATCTACAGAACGACGGCATGGATATGGATGAAATTTGGCATAGATGTAGAACATAGTCTAGAAGAACACATGGCTAATTATTAAGTTTTTTTTAAATTCCGGGCGGACCGAATCGTGGGCGACAGCTAGTAACAATTCGACTAGATAATTCCCTCGACTTGCCTATGTGCTCTTCGTTCAGTTCTACACCTTATTATGTTTTGTATATCAAAATCACATAATGACATCCTTTTTACAAGTAACATATGTTTTTATACAGATGTTTCGGCAATGGGAACCCTTATAAAACATATAGACAATTGCTACATGACTTACCTCTAGACAGACCATCAGTAACGGCATATGTGCCAATATCAACTTGTGATTATGATTTGAATTTATCTTCTCAGTCAATCGTCCGCACAGTGAATCCGCACCTTAAATAAAACCACATTTTATATTAAAATTAAAAAAAACTGTATATACATCTAAAAGAAGTTCACACACTCACATAAATTAGCTTAATTTAAAAAAAATACAAAAAATAAAGTGTCCCTTTATCAAACTACATTAAAAAAAAATTAGTAACATAATTTAAATCAAACCTAATCTAAATAACACACTGAAATGAACGAAAAAAAAAATAACAAAACATAAAATACTCTTTGGAAAAATCCATGCAACTTAAACGTCTTCAGATTTACTGTAAAAAAATATATTTCTATCTCTCTCGTTGACATCGAAAAAAATGAAACGACAAATTTCAAAACAAATGTCACATCAGAGAAATCTTGTAAAATGAACTTTATTCCGTTTACAATAAGGTTCATTGTTATTTGGAACATATGAACATGATTGTTAGTCAGTGGGGAAACTCAAACCTAAGTAAGATACCTATTAATATTGTTAAGGCGTTTATAAGTGCCGGTACATCATAGTCCTCATCCACTGTAATAAATATATATAAAATAAAATAATATAAATGATAAATAATGTCTAAGTATAGCGAAATAAGTAAGAGCGTCGGTGGCTCAGGGGTCAAGCACTTGACTTGCAATCTGCAGATCCTGGGTTCGAATCCCGCCATGTACCAATGTGTTTTTCAATTTCTGATTTACATATGTACATTTATCCGACGTTCTTACGGTGAAGGAAAACATCGTGATGCAACCTGCACATATCTGAGAAGAAATTCAAAGATATGTGTGAAGTCAACCCGCACTTAGCCAGCGTGGTTGACTATGGCCTAGTCACCCGTAATATATATAATATGGTATATATAATAGCGTAGGCACCGAGCCCCTCAGTGGGCACGTATAGTGAGCTGATGATATATAGCGAATCAAAAGCCTATAAGAAAGTACTCACACACTGAAGAGTTCAGGATCCAATTAAAAATTGCAATAAGAAAAATAACTACTAAGTTTCAATACATGAAAAAAGATAAAAGAAAAAACAAATCATAGATCAAGCCATAAAAGAAAAAGAATATTTTAAAGTAGTTTTTTCTTTATGTCGTTATTGTGTGCCAGAGGCCTATTTTTAGTTCTCTTTCTGAAGAAAAGGGAAGTGGATTTGGTGGAGAAGATGAGGTGTTGGAAGGAGAAATATTCTCCTTCCGTGTGTCCTCTTCCGTTGATTAAAGTTAGCCAACACGTTTTCTATTTAGCCGCTTGCCACCATATAACATAAAAAACTAAAGTACATTCATGTACTTTTTTCTTGTCGATTTATATTTCATTCTCCTAAAAAATCTTATTTGTATGTAAAAGTCAATAAATAACGATTAATTTCATAATAACATACCTGTCTCATCTCCTATAGCCCAGACAAGTAAATCCACACATGCGGAGTTTGCCATCACGTTGACTTTAAATTTATTGACAGTTGCAAAGTTTGTCTCCCTGTCTTCCTTCTCTGATGCATCGTGATGTCGACTCTGTAGCTCTGTTTGACCACTCAGGAATAAACATTTTACGAATTCCTATAAAAAAAACATAGTATCGATTGCTAAATATACAATTTACAATATTTTTTTTAACAAACTTTATTTCAGATGAATAAAAAATGTTATTGGATAGCTTTGATTTACTATTTTAAATTATTCGTTTGGTTATAAATTTTTACAAGAATATGTTTTATGATTGTTACTAATAAACTCAAAAACTACTTGGTTTATTTTAAAATTTATTTTACTGTAAATTGCTACATAATTCTGAGTAATATTATATATATAAAAATTTCATGTCGCGATGTACGAGTATGTTTGCAATAAACTCCAAAACTACTAAACCAATAATTTTCAAATTTTGTAAGCATCTGTAATATAGGGAAGTTTTATCTTAATTATATCTTTTTTTTTAATTCCTCACGAGCGGAGTCACGTGCCACATCTAGTAGACTATAAATATTTACCTGAACATCTTTGGTAAATGGTCCTGGTAAATCTTTCTGGTGTTGTAAAATCTCTCGTAGCAATGTCACCATCACCAAATTAAGTGTCTCAGAGAAGGATTTGTATGGGAAAACCTGAAAATATTTGACTATGATAATTTTCTGACATATAACATATAATATGTTATTATAATAAATACCTAATAATAAAAAATAGAACATTTAATTAAGAATCATTATTAAAATTAGACTAATAATGATTGACCATTAGTTTAAATTATAAAGTATATTTACCTGAATTTGTCCAGATGCATGAATATCCTCCGCTTCTTCATCCAGAAATGCCAACAAATCTTTAGTCAACAGCTTCTTAGCCAATGAAAGAATCGATTGTAAATAAGTCACATAGAATTGAACATTGATTCTCTTCTCCGGTGATTCAGAAAACCTCATATACGGGAATTGATTGAAACTCGAACCAAACTTATGAAAGAAGTACGTCGTAGGATCATAAGGCACTGAGCTATAACTATGCAATGACCCTCGTTTTAATGTACCACCAGTACTATCAGATGCGTCTGTGCCATTTTCCATAATACCTTCATTATTTGGATTCAAATTACCTGATAATGACCTTGGAATGATAGGTCTGAATTGATTGAACTTTCTCTTCTTATCCAACGTTGAATACTCGAAGTTTGGTTCTGGTTCTTTAGTTTTAACAGGACTTGGTGGTTGAGGGAACAGTCTACAAAGTAAAGGTGGGTCCACAGTTGCATATCTGCCCATAGATCGAGCTAGACCAATCAATGTCGGTATAGTACTCTTGCAGAGTTGTAGTTTGGAGACAGTGTTCTTATAATCCTTGCTTTCGTGACAACTGATTATGATCTTTGTGAGGTTGGACATAAGTTCTATTTGTGCTGTTATGATCTCTTCTCGTAGAGAAGCCTGCTTTGACGCGACATCAGATAGTAACGTGTTAAGACAGAAACTGAATTTTTCTGCCATTGGTATACCTTAAAATAATGTATTTATTTTAAAAACATATTGAGTATTTTACACAAACACAGGTTATTTACAGTACAGTTGAACCTGGATAAGCGAGAGTCTAAAGGACCAACTATATTTTTCTCGCTGATAGAGTTTTCTCTCTAACCTGAGTACCTCACTAATGGAGATTGTCTATCATGATCAGACAAGGTTCCTTGCTTGTAGAGTTTCTCACTTACCCAGTTTTGACTATATTGGGCAAGTCAAAATTTACCAAATAGTATAATATTAAAAATAAGAAAAGAAGTCTTACGGTCAGCAAACTTAATCCTGCACAATGGTTCTTCAAACTGTGCATTAGTTAAACATTTGAGGATCTTCAGAAAGTATGGTAACAGTTTATCCTGATGCTGGAGCCCGCTCTGCAGGAAGTACAGACCGAGTGCTATACTCGCCTCCTGACTGCGAGATGTAACTAGTAGATTGGAGCTGGCTTGTGGGCACAACATGAATAGTGTGTTCACCTTAAAATAACCAAAAATATTTAAATTTTTGTTCAATTTCTGTCAAAGTTGTTAAATGGCCACTACAGACTCTGCTAAGTGTAGATTTAGAATAAATTTACACTATTAAGGTGACTGCTTACGTAATTTTTAATGAATATAGGTGTGTCCTTATGTTTTTAAAATTGTTTCATTAAATTACATTATTATTTAATTTAATTTGAGCCTGGCCATCCAACGGGGAAATGCCGCCAGCCTCTTGGGAACCCTACCGTGCGACCGCAGCGATTTGGGGTCGATTTTATGTATCATTTAGTTTTATTTTTAGTTAGGTTTAGTTTTAGTATACAGTTTATAGTATTATTTTGGTAGTTTAATTAATTAGTCATTTAATTACTTATTTTAATATTAATGAATACTTTAATGTAAAACTAAGATTCAAATATTAAAATTTAAAGCATTAATATATTAAGTTAAATATTTAATCTATTAGTAAAAACTAAACTGTATATGTAATACATTTTTAGTTTATTTATTTTGAGTATATGTGTAGGAAGGGGGTAGATTCATATATGACAGCTGATAGAGATGTATGGTGGATTACATACTGTGCCGACCCTCAATAGGGATAATTCAGGTTGATGATGATTATATTGAGTACAAAAAAACAGTACTATTATTATAAAACTCAGTACAATTATACTAAGGCTTCTAAATAATAATCTTTAACAACATAAGTATGTCAAAATGATAATTGTTATGTACTTGCAAGGTTTCTCGCTATTGTTAGTTAAATAATAAGATTTGTTACACACTGAGTTTCTACTGCCAAAATATTCATGTGAACACATGTTATCTCTGTTTTTTCCAAATAGAATGAAAGAGACAATATTATGTTAAGGCAATATTTATTGGAGTTGTTATAATGAAAAAAATTGCATATTATACTTGTAATTATACAGTACATACACATAACTGTTGTGTAGTATCTTTCATTAACATAGATCTTACCCTAAGTCACTATATAACATAAATACATAAGATTTATTTACTTAAAATTGGAGAAAGTATATAATAATTGATGATATTTTGTTGATTACATGACATTATAAGTTGAGGGGAATAAGTTACATTAGAATTATGTTTTTTTTTTAAAAACACTACTTTTTTAATAAATTTTTATTTACAAAGTGTTTTCTGATGACTTATGTCATAGATGAGATCATAATCAAAACAAAACATTATCCCCACAGATTGACATCTTCTGCATATTATGTATTTAAATTTTATAAATAAACTTTTAATGATAATAGTTATCTTCCTGCTCTATTGTCATCGGATTAATTTCGACATTAATTGAGGAATAAACCAACTTGTGTTGTAATAATACAGACCTTCTCCCATGGTGTTGGATTCAAGCAGGATAAACAGCGGGCAAGATGCTGGACCGTCTGTCGGAAGAATTCGTGTTCGTCCATCGTGTTTGTTTATCTGTTTTAGTTTAATTACATTTTCCAATTTGAAATGACGAACAGAATACAATTATCGACGCCCCGTCTTACTTCATAATTTTTGACAGTTCACTTCAGTTTGTCAATAATGTGTTTCGTTTTACAGAACATTCTGCAAATGTCAAAATAACATTTGACGTTTGATGTTGGATTTGGATGAAGGTGAAGGTTTTATATGACCTATACAGTTATAGACGTACATCATACAGAATTTAAGTTTTAATTATTATTAGAGCACTTCTGTTGCTAATATAATAGTTTTATATCTTTAAGTGCCTCGAAATAAATTGTAACCCATTGAAATACACATAAAGGCATTCATAACACGAGCCTTTAATTCCGAGGAGTTCTATTTGGTTTAAAAAAACGTTGTTAAATAAGTCTTTGCGAAATAGTTGTTGATGAAAGATAATTTAGATTGCTATCACAATAAATGTTAAAATGAAAATAACTATATAAATGACTGAGTTTAAAAAGAACAGGATGCAGTAGTTATTAGTAATGACAGTGTTTAGATTAGTCTCGGGTGATTATTCGCACATTATCATTATTTACAGATAAAAATAACATGCAACATCAAAATAGCATTTTATATAAATAAGATTAAGTTGCATAGAATTTTATTAAACAGCTTTTCTTGGTAGTCTAACTCGTCGGTTTTGTGCAGTAAGTAATGGTTCATTAGGGGTGGTAATATATTATTCACAGCGACACTGATTTTTAATTAAATAACAAATCAAATGTTGATAATCTGTTACAGGCAAATATGTTCAAAAAAACTTTCATTTTCGCATTAGTCGTAATGCTTATTGGTGAGGTGAGTGTATCCTTTTAGTGGGTAACGACTACTTAATGATATGTTGAGCTTCCAAAATAATAAATCAAATTACTGTGTTTTAGTCATTACAGCAAGCTGGAGGTGGCGCTGGTGGGCAAGAAAGTAAGTATATAGTAACATGCATCAAACGAAGAGATTTTATATTCAAATACAAATAAAAGAATATATAGGTAATACATAGTATATGAATAACGAATCACCAATAGCCTAATGGTTAACGGGTACGGATTTCTGATTTTCGAGAGTTCGAATCCCTACCATTCAACTATTGTCTTAAACCATATCCTAGCACAAGCCTAGAGCTCAGTTGGAATAGTACAAGTAAATGGCTAATATTTTTATGACAAGAAAGTAACTGTTGGTTTCGAATGCCCTTGTTTGGCAACGTAATATTAATGTTGTCTATGTTATGTCAAAGAGAATGTGAGGGATGAAAACAATATTGAGCGTTGAGCCGTAGCTCAGCGGTTCAAGTCTATGTAATCTGAACATTTACATAGCTGTAGATAGCTGGTTCATACGCGACTATATACAATAATAATTTATCCGCAGGTGGCAGCATCGGGGGTGGTGGAGGTTTCGGTGGTGAGAAACTTATAGAATTAATTTTACTTTTTATCTTACTAATATTATAAATGCGAAAGTGGGAATAGATAGATGTTTGTTATGACGTAACTCCAAACCCAACATAACATATGGAAGAGAAGGAGAATACATTCGAATAGTTCAATAATACTATAATAGGCGAATAACTCAATGTTTTTAATTCCACACCTACGAAATCTTGAGCGACAGCTACTTTTCATATGTGTATAGTAAATCAAAATGTGCTACTAGGTGGTTTCGACATCGGCATGCACGCCGGAGCTGGCGCTAAGGGCGGTGCCCAGGGCGGAGCACAGGGCGGCGGCCAAGGCAGTGGTCAAGGCAAATAAGTTATAGGATTCCATGCAATATCACTGTATACCCATATTTATGATACATTTTTGTTAATAGTGTAGAATAAATGTAGTAAAAAATATAACACTAGCTATTAATTATTGAATTAAACACGCACATCCTAAGAATCACCTTGACATTAGTCATTCAACATCTAAATAGACAGATAATAGCCCATCGCAATCATACTACGTGAGCATACGAAACGAGACTTACCTGGTAACAGAAAGTTCGCAGTTCGAAACTCAAATTATTACTTTGTAGGTACAAATTGAGCCGATCAATGATCCGCATCATTGATCGGCTCAATTTGTCACTGATCTGCTTCACAGATCTTCAATTTTAGAGAATAACAATGCAGAAGGGTTGTATTACTTCAAGTTGATAGTAATTGAATAGTTATTGATTTAATTGTTCCTAATATACTTAATGGGAAAATGCTTAAATATAGAAAGATAAAGTAAATGAGTCAAACCAATGGAATTTACGAATAACTAATTTTATTTTGTACGTTAAATTTCAAAATGTTTCTAACAATACAGTTGAAGTAATTACAGTAAGTAAATAACTAAACAAAACTATACAAGCGAGTTAGATACTAGTAATTAGTATTATCTTCAAATGGTAATTATAAAACTAAGTTATCTACACTGTTATTATAATTATTTAAACAAAACCACTTAAATTATAGAAATACTGGTCACCATATAATAAGAAAACTTAAATAATAAAAAAAAAAACATGGAAATAACAACTAATATTGTATTCGAATAATTGTATAAAATTGTCAAAAACGTAAAAAAAAAACATTCTCTATGCTCTATTCTCTAACAACATTCAAAATCAAATGTTTCATATTTCCGCGCGCTAACTTCCCTGTTGACGTCATCGGCAGACTGTCAACAAACGCCACACCTCCTGTCAATTCTTTGTGTTTTGCCAGTTTACCTAAAAAGTAAAAAGAAAAATAATATAATTGTATGAAGTAAGATGTTTGTCTTTAATGGATTCTTTCTATTAATTTTATTAGCTACACTAGACATTCATGGAGCGTAATAAACCCTTCATTTTATTAATATTATAAATTCGAATGTTGAGATGGATGGATGTTTGTTTAAAGGTTTCGTCAGAACGTCTGCATGGATCTAGCTGAAATTGGCATAGACGTAGAACATAACCGTACACATAGTACACACAGACACACACACTAATTAAGTTTTTTTTTAATTCCGCTCGGACGGAGTCGCAGGCGACAACTAGTCGTAAATAAATGCTTCATAACAATACTGTCAAAAATTTTCTTAGGTAAATAATGTTTTAATACATTCATAATTCGAAAAAGGTTTCGAGGGTCATCAAGATATGTTTTTTTATTCGTATGAACCTCTTTGCAAATAAAATACACTTACTGGCAACTAAATCCTTTATATCTTTTGCGGTGACGTTGGAGTATGGTGCTCGTACAACAAACGCGGCCGGCCGCTGCCCGTCCTCAGCGTGTGGGACTGCAGTCACACACACGTGGTGTACACCGGGATGTTGCATGATCAGCTCCTCTAACTCTGTTGGTACTATCTGTAATAAATAATCTCGTTACTATCAGGAAAAGTATCAAATTTGTTTAGTCCTAGTACAGAATGTACAGTCGCTTCCGTTCGCGGTATTCCAGTTTCAGAAAATCACAACTGTTTGGAAGCAAGTCCGACACTATGCCGGTGTGGCGCAACACTAGCCTTACTTGACGTGTATGTCCCCTCACTAATATTCTGACACTTAACTTTGTAATGAAACCGCGCCATTCGCGCCAAATGAACTTTTGGTTTTGGTCTTATTAATCTTACAATATTATATTGTCGAATAAAACATACATGTGCATTCCGGCATTTGATGAGCATTTTAATTCTTTCAACGAAATATAAATTGTCATCGTCATCTCTGTACATGAGATCACCTGTCTTTAAGAAGCCGTCGTCTGAAAACGCTTTCCTTGTCTCTTCGGGATTCTTAAGGTATTCCTTGAAAAAAAACAAATATTTTAATAAACGTATAATTTAATATTAATAATTGTTATCATTTTGCAGCTGTACTTACAGTAAAACAAAGTCCTTTAACCCATAATTCTCCGGGAACAAATGATTCTTTTATTTCCAATCCAGTGTCAGGATTAACTAACTAAAAATGAAATTAAAAGATACGTATAGTTATAAAAAATAATAAGTTAACCATAAATAAGTACAACAAAAACATCAATCGAAAGTTCTTTTATTCCCGAGTAACATAATTATCGAACTTAATTAAGTACCTACCTTCATAGTATAATCAGCCATTGGTCTGCCGCAACTTCCCTTTGGTCCGGAAATATTCGGCAACAGCACTGCTCCAAGAGTCTCCGTCATACCGTACGCCTCCATTACAATTGTGTTTTTCTGAAGATAAGCCTAAAAAAATTCGTGACATACCTATTTATGCATTAATTAATTTTAAATCGTAATATTTGTTATATTAAACGTTGTATCGCAAAACGGAATCAATTTTGTGAGACAATAGCCAGTTTGACTTTTGCCTTCAAATAAAAAAAAAGAAACCAATTGCGCCGTTAACTGGACTTAAATAACTCGCGCGTAAAAACCATAAATTCACTTAAGCTATACCCTCAGTTCATCCGATACTTCAGGGTTTATCTTCTCTCCTGTTATAATGATACTGTTGAAGCAGTTCAGATCTACGTCATGTTTACGTCTCGTGAGCGACGTAATCAGTGATGGACCCGCCAACATCGTGTTAGGCTGGAAAACGAAAAAAATATATAAAACGATACTTTTTATAAGATTTAGTAAATTAGAAATGATGATACCATTACCAACCGTTACCATCCTTAATCATGAGCGCAACATTTTAGATAAAGAAGGGACATAAAAGAAGGAGGAGACATGTAACACCCTTGTGCAGACTTTCCTCCACCCGTCCAGTGAGCCAAATTTTGAAGTTATATGTGTTGCTATGAATAATATTTACCTTATATTTATTAATAATATCAATAATATGGTCAATATCAGCTGGCCTAGAGGTCTGCAGTTTGGTCTGTTTCATGATGGGCATCGTAATAGCGTTGAAGATGCCCGATATCCACTGCACCGGCGATAGGTTCAGACCTACCATTTGCCTGTGGAATAATCTAGAATTACACCTTGCTATTAGTTTATAACCATAAGCAAATGTATTTATATTAGTTCTACCATCATGAGGTTTCAGGTTTTAGCAAATTCATTGGCTTTATTTTTAACTTCATTTAAAAATCCAGCACCAGCATAAAATTTACAGTTAAACAGAACCAAACTAAGCCCTAAGAGGTTAGCCGGTTGTATAGAGTCGAAAGTGCTATTTCCACCGGCGCGACTTTTAAAGTATGTTGCTTGACTTACTGTACTTTAGGACCTCTAACAAATGCAGAGAATGATATGAATTTTTCCATGACGACACGGTGTCTGAACGCGGCGACCTTCAACGTACCCGTCGTACCGCTCGTGCTCGTTAGGAACACGTATGTCTTCTCCAGATCGAAATCTGCCACTCTGTTGTTGAAATAATCTATGTTATTGAAGCGATCTAATCTATGTTAAGTATCGATTGTTGGAAAGATCCTTAAGTTTGATAGAATTCAACGTTAGGCATCTAATTAATGTCAGCACCTAAATTATTTCTTATAACTTAATATCATAAAGTTAAAATTAACTCGAAACGATATTAACATAATATGTCCAATTAAACGATGACCTAAACAGAAAAATGAAAGAATATATAAAATGTCATTTTGTTTTTTCTAAGAGACATGATTTAAAATACATAATATGTATACATAAGATGCGGGCGGCACAGGACCGGGCATTGTGGCAATCGATGGGGGAGGCCTACGTCCAGCAGTGGACAAGTTTAGGCTGAGTATTATGATGATGATGATGATGATACATAAGTTTCAGCAGCTGACTTACTTGAATTCACTCTCCGGCTCTTCATCTTCATTTATCTCTAAGAAATGTTTCAATGAATGTTCACCGTCTTCGAAAGTTAATATCTTCAAATTGAGAGCTAAATCATCAGCCGCCTTCTTATAATGATCAAACGCATCGCGTTGACAAAACACTATTCGAGGTTGTGTTATTTTAAACAATGATTTTATTTCATCTGGAAGAGAGACAATAACTTTTACATATTTACTTTTATGACGCTTTATAGACTCTTTGTTTCTGTGAAGGAAATTAATCCGAACAAAAATGACCAAGCAAAAAGCTAGTCTTTAAATGGAACAGAGATTATTCTCCCCATTTTACTTCTAGTTTACGTCAGTCAGTTGTTTTTAGCTGACTTCAAAAAGAATGAGCTTATCTTTTAATAAGTTATTTGACAGTGGAAAATCCACGTACACTTCTGGAAACTAACCAAGCTTAAACAAGGGATCGACTCCTACGATCGGATGTCCGTTCATCAAGGCAGCATAGAACGGTATATGTAGGTCTATATGATTGTGTCCACCGACAGCCGCAACGTGTCCAGGCCGCAGCCCCTCACGCCGTAGTGCCCTCGCTAACCGCACTGACCGTCGCAATACTGACTCACGTGTTTCTTCTACACCAGTTGCTGCGTCTATCTACAATAATAAAATATTTATTATGTAATTTACGTATATGTAAAACAATTATAGATTCCGCAGTATTTACTTGTGGTGGAAAACATTTGTTGCACGGATGGGCCGGCTCACTCGGTACAATACCACGACCAAACAGAAGACAGATGTTAAATGCAGACAATTTTGCGTTTCGTCAAATGATTGTGTGTGCTTGAGTTCAAAATCTAATCCATCGGACAAAAAACTTGACAAATGGATTATTAGTGTTTTCATTTTTTCAAAAAAAAATATGAGAAAGACGTTTATATTTTATACGAATGTTCCGGCATTAGAAACCGGTAAAATCGTATTATTTTTTACGATAAAAAATAAACGAACCGCAATTTAACAAGATGAACTATATTAACGCCTTTTATATTGAATGAACTTGCAATTTTTGAGGACATAACGAGATTGCAAAGTACAATGTTTATATTTGTACAAACATTAACAGCTTCTTAGAAAAAAATATACAAGTCACTTCCAAACCTCTGTATTATAATATTCAAACTTAATGACTGTTCGCCATACAGGCCCACGGATGGAGAACTTTTCTCCTACGCAAGAACCTTTCATTTTAATCCTTTTATCTTTTACTGCACAGATTATCATCATCTGTGTCCTTAATCATGTCACCTTTCCATCCATCTCATTCAAATTTAACCTTCCCGCAATTTACTCATCAGCATCACCAGCAATTCAATACACCTCTATTTAGGGCCTTCTCCAAACTGGGGGTGACTAGGCCTTAGTCACTCACCCTGGCCCAGTGTGACTTGATTGACTTTACATATATCTTTAAATTTCTTCGCCGATATATATTAGCATCACAATGTTTTCCTTCACCGTAAGAATGTCGGATACATTTTGCGCAGAACGTTGCAATATACTCGATCCATAATTAATAATAAGGATGCATAATTATGCCTCAATATAGACGATTCTAAGAGTCAGTGCTTAATAACAAAACTACATGCCATTTGTAATGATTATAAAAAAATTCAAGGTTCTTCCGCTATAGATTTGAACAGCTTCAAACTTAGTTTTACGTGTTTTATTACATATTTATTAAAGAATTAATATGTGTTTATAATTTACGCAAGAAACTATCTCTTTGTCTCTTTTTATCAACTATGTACCTTCGTTAGAGATGTTTCCTATCAGTATGACGTGTACTATACTTCCAAATATTTAACAGTATAAATTACGCTAGTAACAACCTAATATTTCAAGGTGTATAAAATTAAAAAAAAATCAGAGAATAGTGAATCACTGCGAACGTCGGCGACTGTACCAACTTACTTAATTTGTTTCAACTTAAAAAAGGAAGAGGTTCTTATTCGTCTGCATGTTTGTGTTTTAAAAAATGTTTTTATTACTATCGTTATCTTTTGTTTATAATAGTTAAACTTTGGCGCAATAAGTTATGATAAAATTTTACATCTAATGGTAATATAAAAAATCTGGTAAGGATACAATAATTGCTTTACTATTTCAAACTACTTCCTAGAAAAAAATTAGAATGAGTACGAACAATATGTACCTCTCTCTTTCTCAATGCATCGCTTCCTCATTCCTAAGGGTCGCTTACTTAACGCCTGAGGGTATACTTACTCTAAAATTATTTACTATATGCAAACCTTAATATGTATTTTGCTAAGTTTATTCGTGAATTTTAATAAATTTTAAAATTAAACATTCAATTATATTAATAATGAAATTGATATAATAGGGTCGTAAATTAAACTAGACTTAATTAAAATTAACCTTTATTGATTTCCATCTTTTTTAATTTTCAAAAACGAATTTTATCAAAAAAAAAATCCAGAAAACTCCCTTATTCGTCGTTACGAACTTTGAATTAAAAAAAAACTAAGTAATTATAAAAAAAAGAAATATCGTACCTGGCAAATACTATTTGGATTATTTTTCATCGAATGATAGAAGACATGTCCAAGATGAGGATAATCTGTCATCATCGCTGACAATTGATCAGTTGTCATTTCAATAAAGCGCGGGAATATTACCATACAAGATACGACACAACAGCAGCGATAGACTGATTCACACTGATCACAGAGCAAACATATCCCTAGGTCACATATTGTCATCTCTCTCTACTATTATGAAAATAATTGAGACGACATATATTTTGTATGTTTCATTATTCATACGTCTTGGCATGTCTGTAGTTTCGAAAGGGCAATGTTACGTACGATGACTGATATAAAGACAATGCAATTTAGTGCATTGTGATAAAGCTCGCAGTGATACATATAAACATATAATTATTATCTTGTGTGTAGATAAGAGAGAAAGAAACTTTAAGACAATTATAGATAACTAATAACTAAAGGAAATTAAGCATCTACGTTTGCCGTTCAATTTCGTGGACGTTTTTAACCGATTTCAAGATTTTTCTTTTTTTTCTCGAACGAACTTAAAAGAAAGAAGTCATATTAAAAAAGAGAACTTTCTTAGTTTCGAGTGTATTCATGATATTGATTAGTTACCTTTTAGTGCATTATTTTGAAAGTGTTTTTTTTTTTAATTCGTTTTTTTCTATCTCTTTAAACAAGAAGTGCCACTGCAATAAAGTTCGAATTATTTTAGTTCTATTGTTGTAGATGAGCAAACAAATGACGACAAAAAATTTCCACGTCCCTACCGTTCGTTTCTAAGACCAAAATCGCTGTATATCGTTATCCTTGTCATTATCTTTGACAAAACAGAGATAACGATATGTTTGAATCGGGGATTTTGGTGTGAGAAACCCACGGCTAGTGTTAAAATGTAAACAATGATTTATCAAATATTATCAGCGTACTCTGCACACAGGAGTTTCTAGTTCAATTAATTTAACTAGCCGTTTTTACATCAGATAAAACTTATTATGTCGATGAAATTTAGATTCTTCGATAAATATAAAGGCTTGCTAGGTGATATAATTATGTAGGTTTTTAAATAGAAAATTTTATCTCCCAGACCTCTGCTCTCTCTACGCAAATTTGTTCTTGAATATTGTTGTGAAACTTCTTAAAAATGAAATTTGTTAGGTAGAAAATCCGAAAATATGCCAGTGTATTGACGCAACACTAGCCTTACGTCGACGACTTTGTAACGAAAGCACGTCAAATTGGGCTCAGGGGTCAAGCACTTGACTTACAATCTGCAAGTCCTGGGTTCGAATCCCGCCATGTACCAATGTGCTTTTCGATTTCTGATTTACATACATTTATCCGACGTGCTTACTGTGAAGGAAAACCTCGTAATGCAACCTGCACATATCGGAGAAGAAATTCAAAGATATGTGTGAAGTCCACCAACCCGCACTTGGCCAGTGTGGTTGACAATGGCCTAATCACCCTTAACTTAGGGTAGGCTCCGAGCTCCATAATGGGGACGTATAGCTGATGATGAATGTCTAAACTTATATAGAGATTAAACCTTGGTAGCTGGCATAATTCTTTAGATTTCAAAAAGAAATGTTTAGCTCCTGGCACTCGCCTTTAGTAAATTTATACTTGAATATCTTCTTGAACTTCATAAAGCGTCAATAGCCTAATGGTTAATGGTACGGAATTCCGATAACGAGGTCGGGGGTTCGAATCCCGCCATTCGACTATTGTCGTAAACCATATCCTAGCACAACCCTAGATCTTATTTGGAATGGTAAAAGAAATATTAGTAAATTTACAAAAAAATCTGCTACAAAAAAATATTGTTATGAAACTTGAAATATTGGGGGAAACCATTTTTCACACATTTCGGAAATCCCTCAGATTTGTATCAAATAAGTTTGTTATCAGTAAATTGTTCCTAAGGAAGTTAATTGTTATTTCATTATAATCACTATCTCTGATAATGGATATATTCTATTATACGCGTTGTCATAATGCTTTATTGGGAATAGCCCGCCACCGGATGCTCTGTGACATTCCACTGCCGAAACAAATCTATAGGTTCTATTTTTATTTTTTTCAAAGACAATAAAAGTGACAGTATTATTTATTAAAAAGTTTTGATAGGAGAAACCTTTTTGTTCTTCCTTAAGCGTTAAGATTTATAAAAACCTTCTGAGACGACCCCACATAATAAGGTCAGATTGGTTAGATAAGGTGCATTCGAAACGAATATCAAAATGTATGAAATTGACGAGCGACAATCGCGTGTCTTATCGAAAACTATTATCAGTTCTATACATTTTTGAAGTTTGCTGTGGAATGCACTTTCTCTAACCCCTCAGGAAGAAGAAGAAGGTTTCTCCTATAAGTTAACCTAATTCTCCTATAGGTTTATGAAAAATGCATTAAAACCTTTTGCGTTAATGTTTTACGGCCGACCGCTTGCCTGTCGCCAACCCTACTTGGAAGGTATTATTCGATAGCAGAAACAAATAGTAATAAAATGTTGTTTTCAACCTTAATGTTGTTTACATAAACCAATTCTGATTAACGATATCGGAGCATGCTAAGGTTATCTATAACTTTTTACTTTTACTTACAAATAAATTTCTTTTAAATGTAATCAAATAGTCAGGCCGATGTTTGAAATATACATAAAATTTTCGAATCGATTCTTGAGATGATGATTTGATTACTTTTGTAAGAAACGGAGTGCGAAAATTATTCGCCCACTAAACTCTAAAACTCAACAATAGATGTTTCTTGATTCGATTCGAGATCGAATATCGATTTTGACCGTTAATTTTTGTTTCATAATTGGTATTGGCACACAAGAAATCATACGTCGGCTAAGACTTGTTTTGACGAAGACTAAATTGTACGCAATAAAATGAAATGGAAATTGTCAAAACAATATTAAAATGACAATATTGCAGTTAGATTACACCTAATCTTTACAATATGTTTTCTGGGAATTATTTATTTTTAAGTTTCATTAAGTGCCTACACGTTTATTTTCCTTAAATGATTAATTACTGATATGACGAAAGTTTTCCGAAAAAATGACAAATGAATTGGGTGAATCTTTATGTCAGTTTCCACTTTTACACAGATCCAAAAACATTTCGCCATTTATTTTTTTTCTCTTTGAAAAAATAAAATGTTTTAGCTATGGAAAGCCACCGTTTTTAAATTAAAAAAAAATACTCGCCATTTAACAGAAACAAAAAAGTTCTGCTTACTAAATTAATCCTTTTTGCTGTCTTGTTTTATATATCTTATCTCATAAATAGTAGAGTTTTATAAACATTATCTAATATTAATAACTAGGTAATCCTTACTTCCCTACTAATATGTTAAGGCGAAAGTAACTCTGTCTGACTATTTACATACCTAAACTATTGAACGGATTTAAATAAAATTTGGTACACAGATAGATTAGACCCAGAGAAAAGACAGGCTACATTCTTATGATATGTCACACACCTAAGCCTCTCTCTAAGTCTAAATCTTTCGGACCTACCACTTAGATTTATGAGCTGACGATGAATGATTAAAAAAAGCCTTTCGATCAAAAAAAACAAAAACGTAGAACCAGGAGCTTAGTTACGCGGTAATACACATAAAAACATACAGACGAATTGATAGCCTCCTTCTTTTTTAATACTATTTATTTATACTTATTTGCTACTGCTAATTTATCAAAATCCCTAACGTTTGAAGTCAGGAAGTATATTGATACAGGCAATTGTCATATTTATCGATTGCCAGTTATTACAGATTATATCAGAATGTATTAATCATTATGATTTACTTTTATTTCTATTTAAAATGCCGATTGCTTGGCTGATATGATAAAACTTTTACTTATAAGTCACAATTAAATGTTTTAATCCAGTGGACGGAAAGATGTTGCAAATAACGCATATTATCCTTATAGTTTTAGCAACTAATTTGGTAAGTTTTTTTAACGCGTTAATTTGTTTCTTTAATTAATTTTTTTTTAATTTGACTACATTTTCACGGGAGTTTTTTTTACCGAACTTAAAAACGCGTTTTAATGGAAAGTTCATAGGTACCAAAATATCCGAAGCATTAATGAACGAGTATATATTTTGCGTTCTGATCTTACCGTAAAATTCAACAGCGGAAATCGTTGTTTTGAAACATAGATTTATTTTTGTTTTTTCAAAGATAATTCAAGGATTGGCAATATTTTTTGTATTAGATTTTCGGCAATAGGGACCTAAATAATGCATTGTCATCCCATCTTGCTCCTTCTAACTCGTTTCTTTTTGTCAGCGATTAAAGGTCTGACTTTCTCTAATGCACCTCACATAAAGTTATCATTTTTAAATGCCCATTTGCTATTTTTCGCTATAACAACAACTATTGTTAAATTTTAAATAAAAGTTGTTTTAATTGTCCGTTGTGAATATAAGTTTTCATGAGATCCTTTGTTTCGATCAAAATCGAAATAAGTAAAATTTCAAACATGGCCGCCATTACGATATTCGATTTTTTAACTTTTAAAGGTAAAGATTGTGAGATAAAGTTAAGTTATATTGTAAAATAAGTTAACTTACCTTAATTTTAGTATTATTATAAATGCCAATGTTTGGATTATGGATGGATGGATGTTTGTTAAAGGGTATCTCCAATGGATCTCATTGAAATTTGGCTTACATATAGAACGTAGTCTGGAAGAACATATAGGATGTTATGTCAGAGGGGGAACGCTGCCAGTATCTTCGGGACCTTGCCTAAAGGGACTCCTTTTAATAACATATTTTAGTGAATTATTCGTTTTTTTTATATTTTAATTTATATCATAGAGTTAAGACTATATGTAATTATAGAAATAAGGATGTATAATAAATTGACTTATTTATTATGGCTGTTATTTAAGTTTTTTTAATTCCGCGCGGACGTAGTCGCGGACGACAGCTAGTATATCTAATAAAAAAGATTTATAAACTTACGTAATTACTAATTCATGAATTATCTAAACTGATAGTTTGTAAAATTATAAATGGTTGATTATCTTTTTATCCAATCTAAAGCTGATTTAGATTGATTTAATGAATATTTTCAGGACTTTCCATTATTATTCTCTTTTGGTCTTTACCCAAAGATAATATGATAATATTAATCCTGCTTAAAAGTCGTCGGAAATACGATTAAGTACGTAAAATTTGATCAAACAAAAGAACTTCTTACAGGAAAATGTTATCCGTTTTGCAAAGGTTCCCATAATTCATGTTATATTCATTTAATGTTTATGTTATATTTTTACAAGATATAGCCCGCGTCTTCGTTCGCTCGGAATTAAAAAAAAAAACTAATTAGTGTTAGAAAGAAAATCCGAAAATGAGCCGAAAATGTCGACTTTTGTGTCCCCTCACTATTCATTCTGACACTTGACTTTGTAACAAAAGCACATCATTAGCGCCACATGATTCTAATAGTGTCTAAAATAAGTAGCTTATGTGTTCTTCCAGACTATGTTCTAAATCTATGCCATATATTTTGGCATGTTTTTGAAATATACAATTATTTCTCTATTATAGCAGATCCGAACGGTTTAACAGTAAAAAGTTTTTAATATGATTAATAATTAATACTTACCGTGACGTAATGACATGCGTCCCTCTCCGTAAAATGGATAAAGTAGTAATGAAGTGAATTATAGTGTTTGTATTCTTTTTTCTAGATTGGTGCAAAATATATTCCAGACTATGGTCAAGAAGTGATAAATGAAAGTAAGACTCATATTTTTATTTTATTCATATGAAAGCGACAAAATATTATATCTTTATGGGTTTTCTTAGTTAGGTTTAAGATATACCCATGAACGTAAATGTCAATAACGTGAAGCAACAATAATAAAACGCACGAAATATATTAAATTAAAGGGGCACGGTATTACAATTAATTCACTCTCAGTATTTTATATTCGACGTGTCGTGTTCGCGCCCTCTCTATGTCGTGAGAAAACGCGGGAGCCAATCCCAGTTCGAGATTTAGCTCCCAGGCTTTTGCGCCACATCTTACAAGATATATCTTCCAAGTCCATTTTCATGATTGAAATATTACTGTTAATCTTCTGTAAGAATTATTAATATTTACTACCACTCATCTCTTTCAACAAATAACAATAAGATGGAAAAAGGATTTCGGAAGAGAAAGGGCAAGGAATTGAGTTTTAGTTTTGTGTTTGTTCATTAGTCGATCCTCGTTGGGAATCGCAGTGGCTTGCACAGCCGGGCCAGTTCCCGCACCATGTGACGCTACGCATTATCACGCGGTACGGCTGGCCGAGACTCTGCAGTGGCGCCCTCATCGATCGCAGCTGGGTGCTCACTGCCGCGCATTGTGTTGCTGAGTATGCATCTTGTTAAGTTTTAAATTACATTACTGTGAACTGTTGGTCCTTGTTATTGCTTCTTTTAAGTTATTGGCTAAACATAATGACATTCAAGAAAATACTCTCCTTTTAAACTGACTGCATACGTAGATAGTAAAAGATCTTTTTTGACTTACATCCTGCCTAATAGGTTGTGATTTATCATTCTTAGTTAGTTAGTAATTAGATTATACTTACAATTTTTACTGCTTGCCTTACCAGTGCTGTGAGCGCCACAGTTCGCATCGGCGGCATCATAGGAAGCACCGGCGAATATGTCGCGGAAACACGGGAGTTCCACATCCACGAATTGTACAATACGATGTTCCCCACCGCGCAGCCCAACAACCTCGCACTATTGAGACTTAGCCCTGAGGTCGCTTTATCAAGTAAGTATGAGAGATTAGAGAGTGACACAAATATGATGGTACAATTACTCCTATTTTATTGATTTAAGCTCATGAAGAAGTTAATTATTTCTCTTTCTGTGTAGAAAACGTGCAAGCGATTGCCATCCAGGCATCATCTGACGCTAACATGGAATTTAGCGATGTTATGGTAAAAGTCAGCGGCTACAGAAGGAGAGTACCTACTGGTAAGTTACCTTCAGTGCTCTTTTTCATTTCACTAGTTTCAACGCTTTAATCCAAAGAAGTAAAGTGGCGATATCACAGTACATGACTGCGCACCGCAAACAACAATATAAGGGCTCGAAGTAACCGACTTGTGAGTCGGACTGATGAACATATACACTGTTTCAATGATGCATCATTTGCGTCCAATAGTGAAATATGCCATAATACTTAATCCGATATTCTCGTTCTCCAGGGCCAATTGAGAGATTGCATTGGTTATACCTAAACGGCATCACAAATGACATATGCCAGCGGATATACGGCACTCTCGTCAACAATGCAACGCTGTGTGCGAGCCAGGACGCTGTCACCATGAGCTCTCATTGCCTTGTGAGTATAATTTTATTTTATAGCACCCTTATTCAAATTCAAACTTGAAACTTCGACTTTTCTTCCTTCTATAGTGTTGTGTTTTATAACAAAGTGATCCTATAAGGGTTCCGTTTTTCCTTTCGAGATACGGAACCCTAAAAACGAAGGTAGAGATGGGACAGGATCAAAATTCGTTTAGGATGCATGAAACTTTTTCCTGCGACAAACATTACAGTTTCTAGAACTACCGTTGCACATTTTATTGCTTCGTGGTGATGATGATGATGATGATGATAATTAGCACCTTTCTCTTCTACAGGATGACGAAGGCGCACCTCTAGTTTATGAGAGCAGAAATAACGCCACCGTATTAGTTGGTATCACCTCATTCCTCGGTGTAGGACCCTGGCCTTGCGGAGGTGGTATGCCTGCAGGTATAAACATCTACGATATTATAAAACTACTAATATAACAACGAACCTCTTAATAAACACAAAAACCAGACGTATACCACCATTGTACTAAATAAATGTAAAGCAAAAGAAGAAGAAAATCTTTTTGATTTTATTATTCTTCTTCTTGAGATGCCTCTCTAATTAGCGAAGGTTGGAGATTAGTTCTATCTCTTGCGAAGTAAAACAAGCCTGCAATCTAACCAGGATTTCTTAATTAGTAAGGAATCTTGGAATACGTAAGAATGTCTTTGATAAATAATTAATGTCATTGTAATTTATTCAGGTTTCGTGCGTGTTGGAGCCTACCACGAATGGTTGACAAAAATCACTGGAATTACCTTTGATGTCGTAGAGGAAACCACTACAACCACCACGACAACTACAACTCCAACCCCGACAACTACAACAACAACTGTCGCTCCAACCACTACTACTACCTCAGCACCAACAACTATAACGACGGAGACAACGAATGCTACTGTCACTGACGCTCCAACTACAGTATCATCAACCAATGCTCCCATAACGACTACTACAACTGTTGCTCCCAACACAACTACTACCGAATCTTTTAACACAACAGTTACTGATGCTCCAACCACTACCAGTACAACACCCGTTCCAACTAATACTACCACTAGTGCTCCGATAACGACCACTACGCCGGTTCCAACAAACACAACCACTGTTGCTCCGACAACTACCACTGTTTTCCCAACTAACACTACCACCAGTGCTCCAACAACTAATGCTACTACACCCTTCCCAACTAATACTACCACTAGTGCTCCGATAACGACCACCACGCCTGTTCCAACAAACACTACTACTGTTGCTCCGACAACTACCACTGTTTTCCCAACTAATACTACCACCAGTGCTCCAACAACTAATGCTACTACACCCTTCCCAACTAACACTACCACTAGTGCTCCGATAACGACCACTACGCCTGTTCCAACAAACACTACCACTGTTGCTCCGACAACTACCACTGTTTTCCCAACTAACACTACCACCAGTGCTCCAACAACTAATGCTACTACACCTTTCCCAGCTAACACTACCACTAGTGCTCCGATAACGACCACTACGCCTGTTCCAACAAACACTACTACTGTTGCTCCGACAACTACCACTGTTTTCCCAACTAACACTACCACCAGTGCTCCAACAACTAATGCTACTACACCCTTCCCAACTAACACTACCACTAGTGCTCCGATACTTACAACTACGCCTGTTCCAACAAACACTACCACTGTTGCTCCGACAACTACCACTGTTTACCCAACTAATACTACCACCAGTGCTCCAACAACTAATGCTACAACACCCTTCCCAACTAACACTACCACCAGTGCTCCAACAACTAACGCTACTACACCCTTCCCAACTAACACGACCACTCCACCGACAATTACCACAACAACCGAATATCCCGGGATTACAACAGTAGCACCCAACACAACAACTTCCGCTCCAACGAATATTACAACTTCAACTCCGCCTGTTAACATCACTACTATTGCGCCAAACACGACAACAACTGCTTTGCCTACAATTACAACAAACCCTCCCACAAACGTTACAACTCCTTCACCACCGACAACAGAAGAACCCGAGTCAGACTCGTCTGAGTCAGATGAAGATTGGGATTTAGACGAGGATCCTGAACTAAACGAGCTACGCAAGAAGTTGGAAGTGAAGGTCAAAGTGAAGGTCGAGCTGTCGAAGAATAAAAAGAAGTACACACACAAGCACGAACACAACCATACGATCACGAATTAATCTTTGTTATCATTACTACGATAATCTAAATGTTTTTACAATGCTGCCTTATTAAGTGTGAAACGCAACCGACTCATTTTATAGTGCTTATTTAAATTAAATATTAATGTTATTATATATTTGTTTAATTATCCACAATCTAACCCCTGTACTTTCTACTGCACTGACACTTGTATTAATACACACAATAATCAAAGAGTATATAAAATAATAATGTACAATACACTAGCTTGTTGCCCACGACCTAATCGGCGCAGAATTAAAAAAAAATGGCCCAAGTTACTACCACAGACATAAACTGTATTAAAAATATCGTCACCTTTTGTACGAAAAACTTTACAGTTAATTCTATTTCTGTCTCTATTGTTCGTTCCTTCTGGATCATCCTCCAAATCTTAAAAATTTGCATCAAAATGGCACAAAATGGTACGGCTTATAGCCTATCCTTAATAGAGTTCAGTGTACCTGCAATAAAAAAAAACATGATGATTAACATAATTTTATAATCTGTTGGCATTAGTCATAGATTCTCTACGCTCTATTCTCTATTTTTTTTATTTTTCAGTTTATTATGTCAATTTACGTCATTCGCAACAATCATGGATAGGAGTTTGATATAATTTTCATTTATTTTTGTGTTTAAAACCGAGCTTTTGAAATGAAATGGAGGAATCGAATGTGAATGGTAAGGCTTATTTTTTAATCCTGTCTATTCACATACAACACAATAAAATAAATTTGGGTTTTCTATATACTTTTATTGTAATTATTTTGAGTGGGCGATACTTGTTTTATACTGAGAATTGCCTTTTGTTTAGACTTGACTTACCTATTACGATGAATTTCTAGAGTGCTTATTTTTATTGCAAATTATTCTGTTATATACCGAGCAAATAGTATGAGTTATTAGTTAATTAATAAATTTGAAGTATGAAAAATTACTTCCGTGTTTTTTTTCCATTGTGTATAGTTTTATTAAATTAAAATATTTAACCTTTGCATTATGTTGAATAAAGGCTTACTTTAAACTCTGTGTCCTAAATAAATCTTAAATTTACTTGGAATAAGACAACAATGCTTTTGTTACTAGTACTTGATAAATGTAACATAGCAACACATAACTTAGATGTGAGTCCTCCACTTAGTCAGCATGCTTTAGCATAACTTATTGAACTATATGTAACATAAAATAAACAGTATGTATGTTACAATACATTTTATAACAACATAAATTTAATTAACACCAACATCTTTTGAGAAAATTATAATAAAAGGAAAATGTGTAATGGGCTTTAATCTCAAAACCAGTCATTAGGTGTTTGTAACAATAGCCTGGTACTTATCATTATGCCAACAGGTAAATTTATATTAAATAATGACACATAATAAAGTGACTAAAAATCTGTATTAAATAAAGGTAATATCAAATTCTCTTTCATACCTTATTTAAATAGTTCAGAATGAGCAATTGAATATAAATTAATATCTTATAATAATCTTTATATATATATAATTCTTCTGTGAGTGTGTATGTCACTGAACTTCTCTCAAACGACTGAACCGATTTTGATGAAATTTTTTGTGTGTGTTCAAGGGAATCTGGGAATGGTTTAGATTCACAATTTTCATCAAATATTAACTTCATATTAATTTATTTAAATTAAAGACGTGTAGACAGGACAACGTCTGCCGGGTCCGCTAGTAATAATATAAAGATTTAGATGGATGGATGTCTGTTTGTAGGTATCATTAGAATGGCTGAATAGATAGGAACAAAATTTGGCATAGATGTAGGACATTTCGAGTAACTAATTAAGTTATTTTTCAATTCCATGTGGACGGGGTATAAGTAATATACTGTGATGTATTGACACATGTTATCTTTATTTTATTCAAAGAGCATGTAAGGGATGCCATTATGAATTTATTCAAATACTAGCTGTCACTTGCAACTTGATTCATAGGATTAATAAATAAACTCAATAAAAAGCCTATGTGATATGCCATACTATGTTGTACATGTGCGCCAAATTTATAGAGATACCTTCAAACATCCAGCCATCTAAACTTTGCAATTATATTAGTAAGATTACATCACTCGGAATCCACAGTTAACAGTTTATTAAACGGAGAGTTTCCACACAACAAGAAGGATAGATAAAACACTGGAAACATATTATTTTATGTTCTATGTAATTGATATATTTGTTACAGAATCCCTCAAGTGTGCAGGGTGCCTTAATGATATTGGTGAAGATGAATATATATCAGCGTTGGCACAAGACTGGCACAAAGACTGCTTTAGGTAATATTTACAACTGTACTAATAATACAACCTTAGTTAATTCTTATGTATGGATTGTGTGAAAGAGAATATGCGTAGGTAGGTAGATTCAGATATGATGGCTGATAGAGATGTATGGAGGAGTATATAGTCGGCCGACAATAGGGATAAGGGCAGTTTATCTATGAAATTTGAACAAAAAGGTTTAAATCATTGTTCCTTGTGTGGACAAAGGATTGGAACAGATAGCAGGTGTCAGTTTTGTCCTCCAAGTATGAAGTAGCCTTCAAGAGTAGAGTAAGTAGGCATTTTATAATTTAGTTCATAGCAAAGTTCGACCACATCATCACTTAACATTTTATTTATTTATGATTGCGACATGCTAAAAAAAAACTTATTACAAAAACAATAATGAACAAACAAACAAACAACACAAAAACCTCATACATAAATAAAAATTATTGAAATTTTATAGAGTGAAACAAATTGTGAAAACAACAAAAAATAAAAAAGGTAACGAAAGAAAGAAAAAAGAGGACATGAATTAAATTAACTCGCAACATCACGGATATATATATATATATATATATATTTTTTTAATAGGTGTGATTGTGGTCAAGTGCTAGCCTATTCCATACTAGCGGTCGCTTTCGTTTAAAAGTGATGTTCCATTTGACAAAATGTATTTGATTTGCAGGTGCTCGGTTTGTGATGCGTCTCTATCGACGTGGTACTTCGAGAAGGCGGGTCTACTTTTCTGTCAGAACGACTACTGGGCGCGTTACGGGGATAATTGCCAGCAATGTGCACAGGTTACTAATCTATATTATGCAACATCTGTACATGTTCACAGCGGTGCTGAATTAAATAAAAAAAATTATAAAATATGTAACAGCCTTACCTCCTCTAGGGAATCGAAAAAATATAAAATAGATGTTCAAACTACTTTCTTATAACAAACACAGATAACTTAAAAACTACTTTCAAGTTTTTCCATTCTTTTGTTTTACCTTTGGAATAAAAAAAGAGATTTATTGTAACCCCCCNNNCCGCCGCCAATCCCTAATATTAATATAGTTATCTCTGTTGTTTTCAATGACAATGAGAGGGATGGCAATATGAATTAGAGTAAAGCCCATCACACACTTATACTGCATGTGCAGTCACTTGAGTATTTGTATAGAAAATATATTGTAATAATTGCTTTAACTAATACTAATAGCTGTCGACCGAGACTCCGACCGCTCCGAAATAAAAAAAATAATTAGTAGCATATGTGTTCTTCCATACCATGTTCTACATCTGTGCCACATTTCAGCAAGATCTGTTCAGTCTTTCTAGAGATACCTTCAAACAAACATCCATCCATCTAAACATTCGCATTTATAATATTAGTAAGGTATTACAGGTACGTGTGTGAAGGGGTTAACCTATTAACAATATGTGTGCAGGTGATAACAGGTCCGGTGATGGCTGCAGGCGAGCATCGCTTCCATCCGGAGTGCTTCGCGTGTGCTGCGTGTGGTTCTCATGTTGAAGACGGAGAGCCTTACGCGTTGCTAGAACGTTCGCACTTATACTGGTCAGTTGTGTTTTATAAAAATAGTGTGTGTACATCATTTATAAAGACATCATCATCAGCTCACTATATGTCTCCACTGAGGTGCTCGGAGCCTACCCTAAGTAAGGGGTGACTAAGCCATAGTCAATTGATGAGTAAATTAAGCTTTAGAAAAGAGTATTAGTTGAACGAGCAATTTTTTTTTATAATTTTGTAAAGCGCTTTGTTAAACAAATTTTTTGTTATATTTACTTGTTTTGGAAATTCATAGTAGGGGTAATAAGGGTTTAAGCACTTTACTTGCAATCTGCAGGTTCTGGGTTCGAATCCCGCCATGTGCCAATGTGTTTTTCGATCTCCGATTTACATATGTAAATTTACCCGACGTTCTTACGGTGAAGGAAAACATCGTGATGCAACCTGCACATATCTGAGAAGAAATTTAAAGTTATGTGTGAAGCACCCGCACTTGGGCAGCGTGGTTGACTATGGCCTAGTCACCCCTAACTTAGGGTAGGCTCCGAGCCCCTCAGTGGGGACGTATAGTGAGCTGATGATGATGATGACAAATATAACAGTGGTGCGTGCTGCGGGAATGCAATGCGTGGTCCACGTGATGCACACGCTATCCACGTGCTGAGGCTGCCGGGACGAGCTCTGCGCCTCGCGCCCACCACTGGCTCCGGACCCGGCGCCGCACTCACCATCGCACAGTCAGTATTTCTTTGAATACCGACTATTCTAACTCATATATTACTTATTGGATGGATGGATGGATTAATGTTTGTTAGAAGGTATCTCTAAAACGGCTACATGGATCTTGTTGTAATTTGGCATAGATGTAAAATATAGCATATAAGTACGCATAGGTTACTTTTTTCCGCGCGGACAAAGTCGCAGATGTTGCCCTTGGCTTTATTAAAAAAAAAACTTGGTAAGTAACCTTTGTGTTCTTCCAGACTATGTTCTACATCTATGCCAAATTTCATCCAGATCTGTTAAGCCATTCCGGAGATACCTTCTAATAAACATTTATCCATCCATACATCCATATGTATAATAGTACACTGTATATTGTACAGCAAAAATTGTCAATTTGCTCAAGTTTGCAGAGTTTTTTTTTTATATTTTATACCAACATATATTTTATTTATGCACATTAACAAGATCAAAATTTAACATCTCATCTATCGTTCTAATATTTATCATTTAATTGTTTACGTATTGCAATAACAATGACATTACTATGCGTGCACAATAACATGATAACGAATAATATGACGTTAAAGACTTAACACTTTAAACATACTCTATGTTCCTTAGTCGTCTTATATTATTTTTCAATATACACATTTTTGTACACCATACTAGTTGTGACGTCATATCATTGTGCAAAATTCACTAATTATAAGACAAAGCAAAATGAACCTTATGCTATGGGTAATAACGATTAACAAATATAGCGGGCGATGCGCCAGCAAGCTGTCCGCGTTGGCGCGCGCGTTACTCCGAGCCGCGGTCTCCGTCTGCATACAACTCACCTGCCATAGGTACTATGATAGAAACTTCTAGAAGATGCATGCTAATATAAAAATGGAATCTTCTAGATGTATGTATGACGTCAGTAGAACATTCTAGAAACTATATACGAATTGGAAATATACGTAGAATCTTCTAACAGCTGTAGTATGGATTGTTAGGTAGACATAGAATGTTCTAGAATTAGCATGGTTTCCAGTGTGGTAGTTATGCCCTTCTTTTTCAGCTGGTGTTTGCAAATTTCGAGTTTCGTTTGAATATAGGGTGGATGATACTTTAGTCTTTGTCCTGGCTTTTGAAATGCAACTGCTATTTTGAATCTTATACCATTCGTGTTAAGTTTTATTTTATTTTGCATGTTTTATAGCTATGTGGTTACTAAATTTAGTATTAATTATTAATATTAGATTGCTTTTGTTTGTGTACGTGGTTAGTTGTGGACGCTTGGTTATTTTCTTTATTGACTTTTCATGGAATGACTTGAGTTGTTAATTTAAGACCTAAACTCACCCTTATAAGGAAAAGATAGAAAGGGCTAGTGAATTTGACGGAGACGGGGAATAATATTCTGTGCGTCCCCTGCTCCTTCAAGGTAGGCAATGTATCTGCAATTGCGGATGTCTATAGACAGCGGTCGCTTCGCCATTTCGGCGAATTCAAGTGGCCGCTTGCTCGCCTACCAACTTATAATTTAAAAATATATAGGATTGACTCAAGTTGTGGCGTGCTGACTTTACACATCGGAGACCGTGTGCTGGAGATAAACGGCGCACCACTCCGCGGCCGAACTATCACTGACTTTGATCCTGACGCCGTAGTGCAGGTATGCTTACATCTTGGTATATCCTGAATAAACTGGTTTGAACTAGTAAACAAAACCAATGTTCTATGTATGAAATTGCTAAGACTAGCTGTCGCCCGCGACTCCGTCCGTGCGGAGTCTAAACCAAACTTTATTAAGTAGCCTATGTGTTTTTGCAGACTATATTCTACATCTATACCAAACAAATATGCATCCATCCAGCCATCTAAACATACGCATTTATAATATTAGTAAGATTAACCCAAGTAACATGGAACAAGATTGGTTTAAGTACTGATTAAAAGCTCTTGCCATAAATCTGCTACTATCGGTTATATTTAAAACTATATTCCCTATTGTTTCTGGTAACAAAATGGTCCTTCGAGTCGGAAACTTTAACTTATTTTTTTTTGTAGTTAACAATAGAACATAATCCGGACACATTGAATATGAAGAGACCTTCAACAACAAACACACAAACTGACAGACATGTAGACTGTGACGATCGACCGAAACTCGAAGGGAAATCGCCCATTGAAAGGAAAATACACAAAGAAGACTTAAAAAAACACATTCCTAACAGACATTCCATTGATGCCCAAAGAACGATACACAGGGAAGACGAGGGAGCTAAGAAAGAGAGATTGTTTAAGAGAAAGGGAGAAGATGGTGGAAAGAGAGTGATAAAGAGACGGCAAATACCATCATCTCCACTTTTAGGTGATAAAGAAAGGAGCAGTAGTATGTCTAAATTACTTGATGTGTAAGTTTTTTCTATCAATTTATTTTAGAATATTCAATCAAATATGTCGGGCGCTCGGAACATAGCACGAGTCGCAGTGCAAATAAAATTGACCTTGAGCTGCCAAAAATATAATAACTATCGCTCGCGACTTCGTCCACGCGGATTTTATATAAACTTATCCAGACTGTGTTCTACATCCATGCCAAATATCAGCTAGATCCGTTAACCATTTCTGGAGATATCTTATCCATCCATCCATCTAAACATTCGCATTTATACATACATAATTTGACAGTAGTGTGGATGGTCCGGAAGCGAGTGGTGTGCTGTGCGACCTGAGTCGAGCGCGCTCCTTCAGAGCTGAGCCCGCGCAGGGACAGAAGGTCTTCCGAGCCTCAGATCTGTTGCAAGTAAGTGTACTACATATCCAAATACATAGAAATCTTTGAAATTACATAAAATAATTCAATAAACATTAGATCGTCGGTGGCTCAGAGGTTAAGCACTTGACTTGCAATCTGCAAGTCTTGAGTTCGAATCCCGCTATATACCAATGTCAATTTTGATTTACATATGTACATTTATCCGACGTTCTTACTGCAAAGGAAAACATCGTGATGCTGCACATATTCGAGAAGAAATTCAAAGATATGTGTAAAGTCAACCAACCCGCACTGGGTCAGTGTGGTTAACTATGGCCTAATTATCCTTAACTTAGGGTAGGGTCCGAACCCCTCGGTCGGGATTTATAGTGAGCTGATGATGAATCAATAAACATAAAGCTAAAGCACAAAATAGATTTAAAATTGTTAATATTGTTCACTAGGGGGAGCTGTTGGGTTCCGGTTTCTTCGGGCAAGTGTACAAAGTGACCCACAGAGATACCAACGAGGTGATGGTGCTCAAACAACTCTACCGTGTTGATGAAGACGCCCAGAGGAACTTCCTTAAAGAGGTACGTTGTATACGTTTTTTGTACGTACGCGTACGCATGTTACGTACAAAGGGGACGACGCGAGAAAAGTTTAATGTCTTTTAATTATGTACTTACCAATGCAATAAGGGAGAAAACAATCTTTATGTAGAAAATGTTAGCTTTTATACGCAGTTCCTACAGAATTAAAAAAAAATCTTAGTACCCTCTGTGTTCTTTTAGAGTATATTCTACATCTATGCCAAATTTCAGCGAGATACGTGCAGTCGTTCTGGTGATACCTTCTTACAGATATCCATCTATCCATGCAAACATTTTTATATATTTTATTTATTTAGTAAAAGTTAAATGATGCCAAATGTTTAAATAATTACATAGAACCAATAAGTTTTATTGAAATCAGTTAATTTTACATTTTTTTTACAATATTCTTTAAAATAAATATTTTCAGGTGGCGGTGCTAAGATCATTGCAGCATCCCAACGTGCTGAGATTTGTGGGCGTGCTGTACAAAGACAAGAGATTGCATCTCGTCACAGAATACGTTGCCGGTGGTACATTGCATCAATTGTTACAGGTATATTAATAAAAATATGTGTCTCGTACACAGTATATTATCAAATAAACAATTTAATGATAACGCGCATTTCTAAGCTTAGTTAAGTGCTGAGTCGACGAAGAGTAGAAATGCGCGTTAACCTTTAAACAACAACACAATTTATACTCGTGACTTACCGTGGGTTTCTGAGACTTAAATCTCCGTTTGAAATATGTTGTTATGTCTGTTTTATACAGAGATTTTAGTCTCAGAAACCCACGGTTAGAGGAGCATTTACAAAATGTATGTATTTTTGTGTGTAGGACAGTTCGCGTGCGCTGAGCTGGGGTGAGCGGGCGCGGCTGGCGCGCGACGTGGCGGCCGGGCTGGGCTACCTGCATCGCATGAATGTTATACATCGCGACCTTAACTCACACAACTGTCTCGTCAGAGAGGTACAACTCGTTTAAAGTGTTTTATCAGCTCAAAGTCATCTGTTTCCTTCATCGGTATCCCGCAAATTCCAATATTGTCTTCTGCGCAGCGACTTGCGCGAACTTAAGAACGGCCAATACATCTGAAAATAATTATAACATCTATACATTTCTTATAATAGTGTCACTAAGATATAAGACAAATCAAACATGATTTACCGCTAGACTCTAGGGTCTACCCTTAGTGTCCGTTTTGCTGTACTAAATCAACACTCAGAAAGATTGTTTTAAGAATTAAGTAGGACAATTATGGAATAGTCGGTGGCTGAGTGGTTATCCATGTAATCTGCAGGTCCTAAATTTGAATCACTCCATGTACCAATGTACTTTCAAATACATTTATCCGACATTCTTATGATGAAGAAAAACATCGTGACGCTTCATATATCTGCAAAGAAATTCCAAAGATATGAGAAATCAACCCGCACTTGCCAATATTGACTATGACCTAATCACCCCTTAGGGTAGGCTCCGAACTCCTCAGTGGGGACGTATAGAGCTGATGAGTGGTTATAGATTTTTAATGAATGTTTTCAGGATCAGACAGTGATAGTGGCGGACTTCGGTCTAGCACGTATAGTACAGCGTACAGCCAGCAGCTCACTGCCGCGCGCACATCACGCGCACGCCTCACTGCGCAGGAAGAGGTACACGGTTAGTACTATATATTGTTGTCTCTGTTTACTTCAAGTGTATGTAAGGGATGGCAATATAGTAGTTGTCAGTCGAATCAATGTAAATGAGAAGTTTGGTTTAAAGAGAAAACACTATAAGCGAGAAATTTATCCGGGCTTGGTTAGTTTAGTTCTTAAGTAGTTTTGATTTAGGAAAAAAATCAATTTTTTAGGAGAAAAATGATCTTTTTCTTTCTTAAACTTAAACGTTTGACACTTTGTAGGTGGTGGGAAATCCGTATTGGATGGCTCCGGAGATGATGAACGGGAATGTATACGATGAGAAAGTCGACGTGTTCTCATTCGGCATCATACTGTGTGAGGTGAGTGATTTTTATTATGATAGTGTCAAACGAGACATCCGAATTCGCCGAAATGGCGAAACCACTACAGAGACATCAGCAATTGCATATGCATACCTTTAGTCGACATAGGAGGAGAGGCACAGAAAGAGATAATTTCCCTTCCCATATTTTGCTGGCGTCTACTACTGTTAATATATGCATTTAAATTAACCATCTCTCTTCCTTTTTCCCTAACTAACAAAGAAAAGAATTCAAAGATCGTTTTATAATTTTGTCAATAGATAATTGGACGAGTATCAGCTGACCCGGACTTCCTACCGCGACGTAGTGACTTCGGTCTGAACGAGGCTTTGTTTGTGGATAAGTTCTGCAAACCCAACGACTGCCCGGAACCCTTCTATAGGGTCGCATTCCTCGCCTGCCAGCTAGATCCAGATACCAGGTATTTGGTATAAACTAGATGTCCATCGCTAATCTAGCCGGATTTAAAAAAAAACTCAATAAGTAGCCTATGTATTCTTCCAGACTATATTCTACATTAATACCAAATTTTATCAAGATCCATGTAGCCATTCTGGAGATACCTTCAAACCAACATCCATCCAAATATTCGCATTTATAATATTAGTATGATTTTACATAGTTTTAACAATCTTTTTTTAAAAAACAATAAAAATGGTAAGATTGAAATGGAAATCAACACTAAGGGACTGTTGAAATATATTAAATAGATCGTTAAATGTCTCTGTGTGGCAGTTACTTATCGATGTCCGAATCATTACATTTATTTTTAAAAGTAAAATTGTTATTTTCAGGCCGCCATTCGAAGTGATGGAGATATGGCTGGAGAGTTTAGTCCTGCACCTGACATCCCCTGGTCCCCTGCCCCCCACACTGCTGGCTGACATCGAGCAGTACGCGAGGGGAGCGCGACAGGGGGCGCTGCCGGGCAGGGGACACGCCACACCCGAGTCCTGCCCACACAATGATGCGGGCATCTTCTGCACCAACAGCGACTCCTGCCCCGCCTGCCTCTCCTGCCACTCCTGCCGTCACACCTCTCCCAGTGGTACTCCTACTGGGGAATTTGCGGAAGGAGTTATGAAGGTAAGGTTACAAACAGTAAGAAAAATATTATATAGCAATCTCAAATACTTTTTATCAAAAAGTTTTTAATCTAGTTACCATGAAACCAAAAGCCCCGTTTAGAAACTCTGTTTTATCATAGATAATGATATGTTTTATATAGAGGTATTGGTCTCAGAAACCTACTGTAAGAGCCATCGTTGTCAATTAGAAAATTACGTAACTATTTCTTCGAACTCTTCAGTATAGTTTCAATGAAGTATAATTATAGGTTTATAATAATTTTTCAATATTTCAGTCTCAGTCAAACGCGAGCGTGTGTGTATCCGAGTGCGGTGTTGGTGTTGCTGGTGGTGGAGGTGGTGGTGTGGGTGGTGGTGGACGTGCGCTGGGTAAGTGCGTGTCAGCAGGTCAGCTGGCGCGCGCCGCAGTGGCCCGCAGAGAGGCACGCTCGCGCTCGCACCACGCACTCGCGCCCGCACTCACACACGCACCCGGGTACATACTCAGTGCCAGCGGACGTCACATCAACATCACTAAGGTATCGTCCTCTTCACACTACTACCTGTCGCCCGCGACTCTGTCCACGGAGAATTAAAAAAAATACTTAATTATCATATGTGTTATTCCAGACTATGTTCTATATGTTTGCCGAATTTATGTGAGATCCATTCAGTTGTTATGGATATACCTTTAAGTAAACATCCATCCATACATTCGCATTTATAATATTAGTAAGACTAGATAAGATAAGATAGCTCAAATAGAATTGACTATAAAATATTTCGAAATCTATAAATATTAATAAAATTTTAGTGTCTATAAAATATCGAAAAACCAATTTATAGATTTTTTCTGTCTGTATATGTCCGTAAAGAAGGGTAGTTTGTTCCGGATAATCTCGGGAACGGCTGGACCGTTTTTGTCGGGATTTTGGCTGGAAGGTAGCTAACGCACGCGGGCATATACGCTTTTTTTATTTAATTAAGCGCTAAGTCACGGGTGACTGTTAATAATAACTCTTGTCCAGAATGCATGTAAATATAGAATAATTATATTTTAGGTGGACGATATTAATGAATGGCTGGATCCACCGCAACCTCTCAAACGAACCAGCCCCGACTACCAGCTCAACAACATACTATCGGAGCATCCAAAAACCAGAAAAGTAGAAGAGTCAGTAGACTCACTAGACGGGAACCTCCCATCTTTTCTCAGGAACCAATCAGTTGAAGGTCTAGAGTCTAAATTCAAGCACGACGTGGACACTCCTCTACCCTTCTGCAGACATTACAGCATCCCAGATAATTGCGAATCTGTTGACACTAACAGTGATTCTTCAGACGATGATCTCACGGACATCAGTGATTGGTATAGAAATATCTCATACAAAAAAGTAGAAGATGACACAAAGAATATCCTCGCAGGTATCGTAAAGAAAGGAGAAAGCATTTTAGCTAAAAAAGCAAGCTATGATGTAACAGATACACCAAAAAATACAGATTATTCAAAAATAAAAATAGAAGATGTCAAAAATAATGAGAAAAATTCCAATAGACAGGAGAGTAACGTTAGAAACATCCCAAAGACTTTAGATGTACAGAAATCAGTGGAAAAACCTAATTTCTTCGCAAAGAAACTGCTTTCACCTAAATTGAGTAGACTATTTAAGAATAACAGTGGTGAAGTTGTTAGAAAGAATAGTGCTAGTGATAAAGAAGAAAAGTCTAGAAGCAACTTCTTCGTTCAGAAACCTTCTTCGCCGGGTATCGTGCGGTCTTCTTACAGAGTCAGACCAGCTGATGATGAGAGGAAGACAAATGTGAATGATGTGATTAAAAGTGATTTGAAGTTAGCTAGTCTTGGTAAACCAATGACTCCCATATTCCGTAGACATTTGGCGACAGAAAAACCTGATTTTGTTGATTGTAGGTATAGTTGTAGGGATCGTAAAAGGACTACAAAAAATGATGAGAAATTCATTGAAATTGGTAGAAATAGAATTAAAACACCTATTAATGTTGTCGAAAAGAATTTAAACCCTTTAATAAATACACATGTAAATTCTTTAGCGCCTGTACAAGAGAAACAAATTTGTGAAAAAGGTAAAACAGATAAGGAGGTACCAAAAAAACGTGAATTAGGTATATCGAGGAGTAATTACGTAAGTTTGGCGAATTTAAAGATTAATAATAAGCAAGAGTTAGGACAGATCGCTAAAGAGAAAGCTAAGAGTGCTTTGAACGGAAGTCCCCCAGTGGAAAAGGTGATATAGATAATAAGTTTGGTCCATCGAGTACCATTTGTGCCACAGATTAAGTACAAAACGTAGAAAAAAATAGTATAAGTATTTTTCTATATTTGGTTGTGGAAATTTATGGACCGTTAGAATAATAATATTAAAAAAATATAGTTTAAAATATTGCTTTTTTGTTGGAAACAGTCTTTAACTTTGTTAGAAGTGTAATTATGTGAAATTTATATGTTTTGAGTTTACTTAGTACGTTAAATAAAAATGGTCCTTCAAGTCGGATATCTGTTGGTCAAACAGTGCTCGATGGACCAACGGTGGACAGATTTATCGTGGGTTTTCGGTGTCGTATTATTTACCTTCGTATACAAGACAACGTAAATCGTAACTAATATGGTTGCGTCGCTAAACCGCGTGGAAGTTGAATCAATGCGAGTCGTCTATTCCATCAGTACATAGCGACATATCAACTGTACAGATCTACTCCGCCATCTTGAAAATAGTGACTTTTCTCACGGCGATTTTGATAAATTAATTGCAAACTGAACTGCAAACGTCTGTCTTTGGCGATAACACCTAAAAATGTCGGCAATGTGCGCTGTATGAACCTCTATGATGTTACGTACATCATAGAGAGTTGCTTATTGACTCAAATCGTCTAGTATCCAAGATTTACGTTGTCCTATGTACGAAGGGCCTAATGGTATAGGCAACTTAACGTAATAATGACTTTTTTAAAATAAAATAATTGTATTTAAAAATTTTGTATCACGCTGACGTAACAGAATCAATTTATAATGAAATAAATTAAAATACTGTCATATTCAGAGAAATTAAGTACCTAAGAGTAGAAATAACTTCCATTAAATCTTTACTAAGGACCTTCCTTAATATCTCTGAGTGATGGCAGTATATGGTAGTTGTAGTTTCAATATGTTTAATATTTAAATCTTGCCATGTTGTATTTTATATACATTTGTTGAAACTGTTATGTACTTATATACTTGTAAGTTTCAAGTAGCTTACTAACGCATTGATTCATGAACACTGCCTACCCCAGCTTGGAAAGTTTTTATTCAATCATTTATATATAGTCCAACCTGGATAACCGCGAGTTTTATATATTTAAATTTTGTATGTTTGAAATGCTTTCTAAAGTGAGTTTCCACTATCTAAATAAAAACATATTGTCTCATCCATTTCAATAGAAAAAATAGAGACAACATGATCAGAAAAGTCCGATTGTATACAGGAAGATATTAAGTATAAATAATAGTATATTCCAGTCTGCTTTTGGGGAAGTTAAATTTTGTATTTAATTTTTCAAACTTTCGTGAGACATTATACTAAACTGATATATAAACGCGGTTAAACACTCACGTATATACGTCCGGTGGCCGCACCGACTAGTTTCGAGTCCTCGGGGGCCCTTCATCAGGATGAACTAGGTGAGTGACCACTCATCCTGATGAAGGGCCACCGATGGCCTCAAAACTAGTCGGTGCGCCACCGGACGAATATACGTGAGTGTTTAGCCGTGTTTATATTTCAGTTTGAATTTTATACGTTCAAATGCTTTGTAAGATTTCCACTGTCGTAATGAAAACATGTCGTCTCATTTATTCTTATAGAAAAAATAGAGATAACATTATCTAATTAGTGTCTTGTCAGTGGAATTTCATTTTAAATCATGCTGTAAAAGTATTTAATACAGTGCCAAAAATAGTTTATAAGGAAATAAACTTTAATTGCTTATAATAAGCTTCATTTTGCTTTACAAGTGTTCATGAATCTAACTCAATAGTGCTTTATATTACGATTCCTTTTTGCAATAGATTGGTTAAGAAAAAAATTCAGGTAAACGAGACAGTTATTGGCATTTCATCTCCTAGTTTCTGAACTTTGTTACTTTATAATCTCACTAGTTATTTTATAAATTATCACCAAATTGTAAACAACCTAATTTCAAGTATCTTTCTAAAATCATTTAAACTAAGTTTCTTTTGTCAGTTTATAATATACCTAGTCCGATTATAAACTAGGAAGTTGGTAAATGTTTGATCATCCCTGATTTAATATAACCGTGCCGGTGCCTTCGTAAAAGACTGTATAGTCACCAGTAGAAACATCTAGAACTAGAAATAATTATACTTAAAACTTATATAAATCTTAAAACAACATCAAATCACTATGTTGTCTATACAAAAAATGCTAATTTCAGGAAATTCTGCGTCATTCATCGACAAGGCTATCTGTACCGGTGGCCATAAACAATACTAAATTATGACAGCTCACTAGCGCCCCCCACAAGTTCCTCTTTGAACCACCATAGCAGCGTCTCTCACCGGTCCAGATATCCTTGTTTTACTATTTGTAAATCTTCGTTCATGAGACAGTTTTGGTACCATATGAAAAAAAACAAAATATAATTAGAAAAATCTAGCATTGGTGTACAAATACTGCTACGATTACTTAGGCTTATAACACACTGAGGCATAAACTATTTCGTTTCGCTTTAACGGTAGTGTGTTAGTGGCCTTATATTGCCTGTTTAGTTATTAAAATAGTATCGAAGCTATGTTGATTTAGCAAGTTTATATGTCGTATACAATGGTTGATTCAGAAAATTGTTAAAATTTACAGTTTTTTGTAACGCAATTTATAGCAAAATATCTAGAATATGATCACATTGTATAAAAATCCTAAAAAAAAATATTTTCCAAAAAATAATCATCTATTTAATATGTTTTCTCATATATTATTTATCGTACAATTCCGTCTCTTATGTTAAGCTTTTATAGATTATTGTGCCATTATAATTATTAAATTCTCGAATAACGGTACGCGTACATTTGTCCGCACCGGACGCACGGCACGCAACGGATTGCCTAATAACGATCTTTCGATGCGGATGATGGATGCAACGCTTTGTAAAATATGTATCATCAGCTCACTATACGTCCCCACTGAGGGGCTCGGAGCCTACCCTAAGTTAGGGGTGACTAAGCCATAGTCAACCACGCTGGTCAAGTGTGGGTTGGTTGACTTTACACATATCTTTGAATTTCTTCTCAGATATGTGCAGCATCACGACGTTTTCCTTCACCGTAAGAACGTCGGATAAATGTACATATGTAAATCGATAATAGAAAAACACATTGGTACATGGTGGGATTCGAACCCAGGACCTGCAGATTGCAAGTCGAGTGCTTGACCCCAGAGCTACCGACGCTCTATGTATACAAAGCAAACTAAAATCCGTTGCCGTGCTTTCGGTTCGTACCAATGGAGGCCTGCCTTAAATATAAATACTAAACTATGTCCAATCGGTTATTTTCGATAAATTGGCTTTAAAAATTGAAATGATATTAATTCGATCTAATTTATTAACAATTAATTTTAATTTGATTTTATTAAGATATTTTTAAGGCTGAATATTATTTTGTGACACAGGGTGCCATATTGTATTTGAATGTCATTAATGCTTTGGCTGAAATTTGAGGAAATGTTATTTCAAATTTTACTAAGAGTTTTGTTAATAATATAAATAATTCGGATATAAACTTGAACGTGATCGCCTTTTGGTCGAAATTCGACAATAATGCACATTTTTTTTTAATTAAAAATTGCTTTGTTTTATACACCAAAAAACTGCAAATAAAAAAAAATGACAGAGATTTGTGTCAAATCTCACGTTCGTTTTTTCGCACAATTTTCTTAATATGTGGAACAAAGATTTTTTCTTTTTATATAACATGGTTTCAGTCAAAGCATTTGACGGCACAATTTCTCGCAATAATTGTCAGTGTATGTGTTTGTATGACTTGAGGTCGTGCTCATGTTTTCGTCTATCTGTGATACATTTTGTTTGTAAAATGTTGCAATAACAAGTATTATAGGATGTTCTTAGTTTAAATTAGATTTTTTCTTATCGGATGCTGTATTTCGTAGACTTTACGTGGAAAGTACTAGATGTCTATAGCAATTTCGCTTTGTTCATATAATTTTTGCTGAAAAGAAACATACTCTGTAAGTAATTCTTTTACTTTTCACGTGATGCAAGCTACAGGGTGCTCTATTTTGTATTAAGTATATTTTGTTCGGTTAATTCCAGTCCAATATATTTGTAACACATTAACCGCTGTAACAACGAGTGTGTCCGTCTCCTTGCATTCCAGACGCCTTTATATTTCTATATGTTAAGTACAAAAGAATAAATGATATATTAAACATTTTTATTTGTTGCTATTTTTCCTTAAATTTCACAGATTACTGTTGTTATACTTTAAATTAATATATATACGGCCGAATACTGAAAAGATATTTTCAAAATTCCATTTAAAATTGATGTCTGACAAAAAAGTAGTTAGTTTAAAAGTACGCGTCCATTGGCCCGCACCGTACGCACGGCCGGGATCGCAGCAAGTCAAAGCATATCCGTTTAATCCGCGCGGGCCAATGTACACGTACCTTAAGATTACTTTTATTATTCGGCAGTGTAACTTTTTTTACTAGAATGTGATTGATGAAATTTTTTAAATAAGTATTTATAACCAATGATTTGAAGAAGGTTGAATAAAGGTAAGGGATTCTATGATAAAAGACCACTATTTAAATCTTCACGGTAATCTTTTATCGTAGTAAATAAATATAAAACGATTGATTGTAAAATATTGTTTATTTCGTAAAACAATGAAGAGACATCACAAAACAATTGTGTATTTCTAATTTTATATTAAAATAAAATGTGTAATATAAATATATATGTATTTCGGGTAAATCGGTGAGTATTTTGACGGAGATTTAAATAGAGTGCAGTATTGTCGTTATTGGACATTCAGTTTCCAATGAAATATGAAAACAAAAATGTACAAAAATGAGCAAAATTTCTCCAAAAATGGATATAATTATTTTAAACTAACTAATAAACAATGATAAAAGTTAATAAAATCCTTACAAATTTTGAAAAACTCAGGACTTATAAAAGAAACCATTATAATGATTCAAAATAACCAACGTAATTAAAATTCAACGTCTACCCACAAAATACGTACAGTTTAAAATTATACATATAGCACCGCAGAAGGAAAATAAGGTAGATTAGATAAAAAATAGAGTTTGTGCCATAATGGACGTGATTTTCCTTCAAAACATTAAAAAAGGTACACGAAAGGTAAATAGACAAGTGCGATTGATAAATTTAGAACTACCTACCAATTTTTGTGCTTACTTTTAATTTTACACATAAATATTCGAATATTATTATTATATTTAGAATTGATTTAATTGTAAGTATAAGTACTAAGTAATTTAGTCTATAGAGCATTATACTAAAAGTACACTCACAAACACATTTAACTTTGACACAATAATTGGAAATTCAATGTCAAAGTTTAGGAACACCTAGTGTAAAAATTATATCAAAAATCATTAAGGGCATCACAACTAATCTAGTCTAGATAAATCAGGTATACTTGGTAATTTAGAAATTACGACTTAACATAGTTTCAGACATGTATTTTCCTTATTACTACTGTGAACTACGTACAAATAAGACGAAGGACCATCAGAAAATAACTAACCTTATGGCGTGCTAGATGCCTATTTCCAGTCCTTTTCCCATTCCCATGCTTTTCTAATAAAGCTGGGATCGGAAAGGATAGATACTGTTTTGTACATTTAATCAGTGCATCAAAAACTTGTTGATATCTATGGTTAGCGGTCGCTTTCTTTATTTTAGCTGCTCCACGACCTTATACCATAAAGATTAATATAGTAAATCCATATTTTAAATAAGCTATTATTTTAAATTTTAAAATTAGCACGTAAAATTCACAAAATTGTGTTTAAAATGAAAAACAAGATGGCCTCCGCCTCATTTCCCGCCAAATGAGTGCTTACGTTAACATGCAATACGATATGTGCGATTTAAAATTTACCATAAATTTAATTTAAAGCGTAACAAACTACATAGAAAAAAATAAATGCATTACGCTACGTAAGAAATAGGAATAGTGTAATATTAAATCAATAAAAGTATAGCCTCATGGCGAAACGTCTAAAATATGTATAAAAATCTGCTAAAACGTTTTTGGAAACATGTAAGAGAAATATTTATTTAAAAAAAATTCTAACAAAATATAAATTTAAAGAAATTTGCATTTAATGAAATTATTTACGTGCTTTTTTTGAATAATAAGTAGGAAAATACGAATAAAGAAACGTGACGTAATTTTTTTCCTCTTTTTAAATTTAGACAAAAGAATTATAACTAATTGTACATCACATGCATCATAATTTAAGATAGATCTAGATATAATATGAATTATTAACTGAGATAAATTGCTGGATTTTGTAACAATAAATTTATTTCTTCTCTAAACCATTTAGTACTCGACTGTACTCGTAAATTCGATTCATATCCGACAGTGTGAAAATTGACATTTACCAATAAACCGAATGCTTTTATTATTTTAAACAATCATTATTTACCGTGGGTTTCTGAGCTCAAAATACCCATTTAAAACATATTGTTATCTCTGTTTTGTCAAAGATAATGACGAGGATGACGATATCTTTTATACAGCGTTTTAGTTCTCAGAAACTCAAGGTTAGTTGCAAAGATTATATTTCATTGGAGTGCTTTCAAATTTAAATTCTTATAAAAAAAAAACATTCGAAATTTTTGTTGTTATAACGATGTTTAAAAGTAAATGTTGTTTAGGAGCCTCCCTAAGTGACAATTAGCATCTTTGAGTACGAAATTTATTAATACTTCTAAGAAATAAAGGTATTTGTATAAAACTCTTTGAATAAATAATAAATTTAGTAACATTCAAAAAACTGTATCGGATTCGAAGTATCAAACACCATACCTTTAGCACCAACTTACGATTTTGTTAAATTCTAGTCAAACGATTAATTAAATTAACGCTTTATACTAAGATTACGATAATAGACTAAACAGTCAGGTGTGCTGAGCCGACTAGTTCTTAATCTAGACTTAAGAAATGTCTACACTAGTTTTAAAGTAGCATCTATTTAATTTTTATTTTAAAATTTGCCAAGAAAAAAATTTCATTCTATTGAATCTAATAATATTTGTAGAAAACAGAAGTTTGACTCCTATTTTTTGGCACTAAAATTGGCGCTATTTATGTATAATTTGTGCTATTTTTATATTTAAATGGCACCAAAACAAAATAACTTTACTATCTATATAATTTTACATAATGAAATACACAATTCACATTATTCGTTGTTTCAATATATATATTAAACTTAGCCACCAGCTAAGTACTACTAACCATGAGTTTCTGAAACCTAATTCCCCATTTAAAATATATTGCTATCTCTGTTTTATCAGAGATGACAGGGATGACGATATATTTTATACAGAGATTTGGATCTCAGAAACCCACAGTTAAAACATGAACATTTATCATACCAAACATGTAAATATAAAAAAATGATCCAAAACAAAGAATCGAGAAACAATAAAAGTACCGAGGAACGTGTACAGCTAGTATAGTAATATTCAAACTTAATGGTGACTTACAATTTCAAATTACATGATACTAAAGACACGACCTTTAAACCGCCACGAACATTACATCAAAAAAAGGCGTTACTATGGTAACGCACGTTGCTATGGATACGCACCAGATACAAGGAGTGACAGAATCACGTGACCAAAGTATGTAATCAAGAGAAGGGCATTATTTTGTTGGCATGCTGCCATAACGCCGGTAGTGCGCGTGGCTAGCGCGTCGGATCTGCGGCGGCGATGCGCTGCCGCAGTCGTGCAAACTTGCCGTGCACTAGGCGCAGCTGCGCGCGCAGACGTGAAGACAACTCGCGCTGTAGTGCTTGAACCTCCACCAGCTCACGTCGCAGCTGCTGGTACTCCGAACGAACCTATACCGCAACCACAATCAATATATTCTGCTTTATAATTAACCCATTCCAAATGAAAGCGGAAAATTTAATAAACATATAAACGTCAAATTCCAAACATGGCGGACAACACTGTTTTATTTTTTTTAAGTTATCTAATTTTAAATAGATAAATAAGAATAATATAAGAAAGAATGTTCTATAAATATGTAGGATTTTAAGATTTTTAAGAACAAATAAAGTTCTGTATTCTTTACGATTTTTATTAAAATATATTATATATTTTTTTATTATATATATTTATAAATATATTTTATTTTTAGCTTTCATTTGGAACAAGTAATATTTTTATACAACACTCCAAACATTCATACATCAGTTTGACCGCAACCACAGGTTTTTGAACACAAAAAAATGACATTTTCTCAGCAAACTGGTCATAGAGTAGTAGACCAAGCGATCTGTTGCTATCAAATGTAATGAATGGCAACACCATTTGAAGTATATTATGAATTATGTGGATAAAAAAAAAATACAGGTCAAAATAAAAATTTAGGAAGCAACAGTTTTTTGTGTCTGACATGAAATAAAGATAGCTTTTTTAAACAACTTTTTTTTCTTTCAAATAATTCAATTATTAATCTTAAATAAAAACTATCTTTATAGTAAAATTCTTACTCAGCTGGGTCATAGATAATAGAAAAAAAATTAAACTCGAAATTAAAATTATTTTTATTATTATTTAAATAAAACTCATAATTACTAATAAAGAATATTTAAACAAGTTAAGAAAGACATCTCTTTAAACCAACATTAAATTCAAAAATTTATATTCCAAGCATCAATAGCAAAGTTTTAATAAATTTGTGAGTTCAAATCCCACCATTTCACTCTTATCGTGAACCATAATCAAGCCAAGCTTTGTTGAAAAGCAAATCCATCTATTATTTGTACCGAGAAGAAATAGTTTCAATATTTATAACAAACCCAGCTGGTATAACAGACACATGAAGAAATAAAATAAATAAACCAATAATAACATTGATAATATTATGACACCCCTATAGAAAAACTTTGGGAAGCTATACTGAAAAGCAACACCCTGTTTATTAGGTTTTTTTATGACAGCTTAAATTTTGTACCACATTTAAGCCAGTCTACTTCAATAAGCAACAGCTTCAACATGAGACTTCTCATTTATTTAAAGCCAACTTTACAAACTACCAGTCATATTGTGGTTAATTTATTTTAATTGTCTCTTAGTAAATCTACACTAAGGACACGATGAAAAGCCTCAAGTTGTGAGTAACATGACACCTTGACATTAATATTACTCTGACCTTTTATCAACCCTAAACCCAAGGAGCTGAAAATAAAACATATGTTTTTAGATATATTTTAAAGAAATATTTAAATATCACAAATTAGTTTCAAATGTAACTGATTTATTGTTGGTTTCTGAAACCAAGATTCCTGTTTAAATAATATTTTTATCTCTGTTTTGTCAAAGATAATTTTAGAGATGAGAATATATTTTATACAAGGATTTTGATGTCGGAAACCAACAATTAGTGTATTACATCTCTCTACCTAACATTCTTCTCAGCATTAATCAGCTTTTTGTATCATGTAATACAGTTTTTTTTGCACTTACCTCAGAGACAGATTTGAGCAAATTCATAACACAGACTTCCTGGTTGTCGACTGGCTCAGCAAGTTGCTTCTCTACAGCATCCATCTTCCACTCCATCAGGTCCAGTTGTTGATCTGTGCACTTTACCTACATAATGTGCTTACTTTTAATATGTGTCAAAACCTTATTTAAAAAAAATAGTATGATATATTGAAATTTCTTGAAATAGTTAATTAGATGTAATATTTTCATACATAACATAACGCTAAGTTCTTTTTATTGAAGACCTTATTAAAATTAGAAACAGAATCTGTATGTATTCAAGATAAACAGAGTGTTGGTTTCCTCATTAGCCAAAAAAAATCTCAATGGACATGCCTACATCAATGCCCTTTACATTTCTCTTAACCGAAGTTATTTATATATAGAAGTCGGCTCATTGACCTAAATAAGGTACCGCTCGCCCTGCCTATGTTTACTTAAGAAAAAATTATCAATTCTCACCGTTTCCTCCAACTCCACCATCGTTACCTCTTTTTGAGTCATCTTTCTCACAAATTTTAATGTTTTTATTAATAAAATTAAAGTAAATTATTAAAAAAGACTAGAAATAAAATGACCATTTTAACAAGAAATTGAGATTGTCAGAATTGACATTGACGTTTTAAATGACATTTACGTTAGAGTTTGGAAAGTATTTGACATTTCAATTTCTGCACAGATATTTGGATAAACATATGTTTTTAAACACAGTTTAGCTTACAATATAAAAAAATTGAGAAATTATATAGAGCGACAAACTTATCTGGCCAATCTGACCAAAGCTGGAACCCGAGAATCAAAAAGGCTGCTGGTAAAATAACTCGCTTATCCAGTTTCGACTGTATTATAGAAACCTGTGGACCGAGTTATTGAAAGGGTCACCTATTAGAATATTAGAGAGATCTACAAAACTAGGTTAAATATAGAATTCAGTGATAATAAAAGGCAATATCAATATTTATATACTTTTATTCGTCTTTATACACAAAAGACATACCATAAACATTAATTTGAGATGTGTTACGTAAGTAATATTTATAAATCGAGTTCATTATAAATTTCTACCTGTACCGTCCGATCGTAGCCATTTGAAGCAATATTTAAACCATCAATGTCCACTTATATTAATAGAATGATGACAATCTGAAACTACTGTTATATAAAAACTAATCTATAAAAATAAGGATTTGAATAGACTGCAACTTGAGTTATTTGCCTTACTGCTGCACTAAGGATCGTTAAATCACCCTTAGTGTAGATTTAAATCGACAAACCTACACTACAAGGCTACTAAGCGCTTAATTAACGTATTTTATTGCAGCAGTAAAACTTATTCGATGTTGTTAGTTTTGACAACAGCGCCATCTATCATATTTAAATTTACTTGGCTTTTTTCCACGCGGTTATTTATCACACAAACGTAATCGGTTTAATTTTGAAGTTTTTGACGTTTTTGGCCTCTCTGCCCCTTGCTATATCATGTTGCTTGAATCTTTCACATTTCATTTAAACTACTTCTAAATTAAAAATTGTTTCAATATACAATATGTTGTTTCTTATCTAAAATGTGCATTATTTGGTTAAAACATGATGATTAAGGGTCCGTACACATAAACGGGGGCGAAGAGATCAGATATTTTGAAAAAAGGTTTAATTTTACTTTTAATTGCCATATAACTCTGCTCTCCTCTCCGCCCCTGTCTGTGTGAACGGAATCTAACACTTCAAATAGGGCAAGTACATAAAGGGTCGAAAATTATTGTTTAAAAGGTAGGTAGTTTGAGATAACTTACATCACACAAAACTTGGTTAAAAACTTTGTACAAATAATAAATTCGTGAGTCAATTTATTTACTTTAAAAAGACAAATCAACTGTCAACGGGGCTAAGAAATTATTCTCATTATCGTGATAAAAATTGTTTTTTTTTTCGATAATAATTAGTGTCATAAATTTGAGAGAGATTACTAAAGACTAGGGTCTGAAAACTTAAAATTTAATTTCTTACATTTTTTTAAGGATACATATTAACTTTGAAATATGTATTTAAAACGACGTTATCAAATAAATGATATTTTATCTACACTTTTTAAGGAAATCACTTCTTAAGAGTCTTAATTTTTTTAACCGACTGCTTTATCCTTAGTCAAATCTATAGTTAAAACAGTAAAGATAGATTTGTAGCTCTGTCGGTAAAACAGTCACGATGTTTGCTCTGTCGGTAAAACAGTCACCGTTCATTTTCTCTGACGGTAAAACATTGAACAGTTTATTTCTATTTCTTTAGTCCACAAAGTGTCAGTTTTGCAATAACATCGACTAAATACATTGCAAGAATATAAGTTTAACTTTTTAATTGTGAAGCAATTGTCAATAGGATTTATACTGTCGTAAACTTAATATATAAAAAAATTCATACGATCTGATCACAATAAGCCACATTGAAAAAAATTTACAGACCAGTTTTACTATGAAATTAAAAAAACGGCTATTTAAATAAAGTCTATATAATTATAAGACTTTATTACGGTAGGCAACATCTTAGAACGTAGACAAAATGTTGCCATTTGGCTACTGAATATACATTAATGAGTTAAAAATTAATTGTAAACAAAACCTTAACAAAAAAAAATAATAATTTCAGTCAATGTGTAAAATATCGAGTAAATTAACAAGAAAAATAATCACATTGAACACATCGCTCTTAAATACATCACTTTCTCAAATGACTAATCACAAAACATAGGAAACGAAACCGGACCACTACTTTAACCCTCATCCTCTTAATATAACTAGAAGTATCTACATACAAATAAATTACTCCATAAAAGTCTTAAGACCTGAATATTCGGGGATGGTTGGGGCAAAATAAAATCAGTCATACGGCCGTATCGTAATTGACCAAGTCCAGGACCTGGTCCGAAGTATAACCGTCCTGTAGGACCAACCTACTTTAGGACCACTTTGGTCCTGAACTATGCGCTAAATGAAGAGAGAGGAACTAATCGCGGGCTGCGAGCTAATCTAGTCTTTATGTAGACTGTTGAGGGTTCATTTTAACGCGTCAGATGTGTCGAATTTCTGCTCGGTGACGGACACCGCGTCCGACGCTAACGCCTCCTTAAGCGGTTCAACACAATTCTTTGGGATAACTGTTCCTGTAAAAAAAAACATACGCTGTTACCTACGAAAAAAAAATTACACTTAAGGTTTCTAAAATTGAATCGATATCCAATCTATAGACCTAGGATAGACATAAATATCCCTAGGACAAAATAATACTGCAGAAGATCTATGTCTAAAGAAAGTAGATAGAAAAATAAAACATAACTATTTGAGTAATGATGGTGACCAACTTACCAACAATCTTCCTGCCGTCGTCCGTCTTGATGCGTATGACCTGCATCTTGTGCAGCGCAGCGCGCGCCGCCAGCGCCGCCTCCATGCGCGCCCACACCGCCAGCACTGACCCCGCCAGCACGTGGTGAGTGCGCACGCGCAGACCCACCTGCACATACAGATTTCCCCTTTCAGAAACCTTAAGTCTTTCGTAGTGTAGATTTAAGACGAAAGGTCAGAATAAAAGACTACCTTAACATTCAATTAACGTCTCTGAGTAGAGTGTGAGTAATTTTTAGCATACAACAGAGAGTAAAACGTGTACGCACATGTGTGCGTGCATTTTTGCGTATCCGTACACGTGTACGTGTACGTATGTGTTCGCGTTCGTATGTTTCAACATGTGTGTACCTCGCACTCTGAGGCATTCCTGCAGGCGGACCGCCAGTACGCGTGGCTGCAGACTCGCAGCGAGGCCGCGTACTGCGCCTTCCACGGGCCCTCCGCCTCCTCGCTCGTCACCTTCTTGTATTTCTTCTCGATCTCCGCGAGAGATTCTAGCCGCAGCTGGAGACCAGTGTTCGGTCTGCGATGACAAACAAAAATACAAGTTATTACACAATGATTACAAAATCTAATAGATCTTACAAATATTATAAATGCAAATGTTTGGATGGATGTTTGTTACAAGGTATCTCCAGAACGGCTGCATGGATCTTACTGAAATTTAGCATAGATGTAGAATATACTTTGGAAGAACACATAAGCTACTAATTAAGTTTTTTTTACATTTCGCGCGAACGGAGTCGTGGGCGACAGCTTCAATACTTTTAATAGGTTCAATGTCAGCTCATCTTGCCAGATTAAGACGGAAAAAACTAATTATCTTATAATTTTAATACGTGCTATCGTACGTGTTTATTTACGTCATAAATTACCTGTATATTTGGAACATGATCTCTTTCTTTGTGGGCCGATCCTTCCTGTTGTTGGGCGTATGCGCTGCGACACAGAGCACGGCGGTGTGCTTGTTGTTGCGGGCAGCTTGCGACAGGTAGAAACCCTCCTTGGGGCTTGTCAGCTCAGACTCTTTCTCCAACGCCTCCATCCAGTCCATGCCGCGCTAAGCAAAATGTGGAAATTTTAAATTTATACATATCACAATAAATTAATTAAATTCTGTCACTTTAATTGTGAATCAATTTTAATGAGTTATTTGGAAGTATTGAAATCAATATTTATCATTCTCCGCAACTTTAGAAATAACCTAGATACTAGAGCACACACGAGAGTGAAAGATATAGATGATTAGTGCGAGAGAGTGAGAAAGAACCAAAATAACATGATAATGGGTATGTAAGAATGAGACAGATAGTCAGTAGACACCGTTTAAGGGACGCAATAGTATGAGATGTATTAAAACTGAGATAGCACGATAGTGCGTGCATGTCTTAGAGTGAGACAGGCACGCACGATAACGCGTGCATGTGTTAGAGTGAGACAGGCAGCTAACGTCAACACCGTGGTAAGGTAGCGAGACGATGAGATGTTGTAAGAGTGAGACAGCATGATAGTGAGTGCGTGTGTTAGAGTGAGACAGTTAGCTGACCTCAGTCTGCACAGTGATGAGATCGACGGGCGCGCGGCCAGTGGCGTGCCGGCGCAGGAAGCGCACGCAGGCGACGCGGCGCACACTCTCGCCCGCACTACCCAAGTCCAGGATGCCGAGGTCGAAGCGGCCGCTGCGCTTTGCTATACAAAAATGTATATATTTTACTTTATTTAAATTAATTTAACGGTACGGTAATAATCCCATATTTTTGTATGACATTCTCACCTTGCTCCATAACAGCCGCCAGCGTGTCTGTAAAGTATTTGAACAGCCTATTTTGTAGCTCTACCGGCATACCCAATATCCTGTTTAAGAACTTTGACATGTTGTTGTAATCCTAAAACATAAAAACAATACAACCAACTTTTAATTACACAGGTATTAGACAAATCAACATGATAGACAAAGTAACAAGGAATGAAAGAGACAAAAATATATTTTTCTTTTTATCTTACTGGACCGGCTATAACTTTGAAATAGCCTTTAGCGTAGTTCCGATTTAAACGCGCCTACTAATGTTACATTACAAATAAATCTATCTACATTACTAGCTTGAATACCCATCACAGCTACAAACCGCTACCATCAGTGTCAAAATGGTGAAAATCAAGTAGGCACAAAATATTACGTCTTATAGCCAGTCCATAATCTAGATGTAATTGATGTTACCTTGTCCAGTGAGAGTACTCCGGGCGCGCTCTCACTGTTGACAATCAGACCGACGCCGACAAGTGCGACAGCTACATCCTGGAAGAAGTCTCCGGCGTAGTCTCGCGGGGGCGCCACCAGCGGAGTGTCGTACTTCATTATCGCTTTCATCACCGCCTCCAGGGCAGTGCGACCTGAATGTTATTCATCATCTCCTTAGCCTCCCACTTAGGTGGTGTCGGAGCACGAGGTGTTACGAGTAGAAACCTTAATATTTTGCCTTAATCATCACCATTATATCAAAAAATATAAACGGTGTTTTAGAAAATTAAACTTTCTCTTCATTTGAGTTGCTATTTTTATTGCAGCAAATAAATTCACAGGAGTCAATTAATTCAAGACATGTCTTTAGATCTTTTTGTGTTTCATTTACTTTAAATTATCCAAAGCCGCATAAATAACCAAACCACAACTATTGACTTTGTAAATTAGTTTCAGTTTAATTATTTACATTATTTCCCTTCCCTCCTGGTAAAATTATCAAGAATCTTGTAATCTTTTATCAAAAATGTATACTGACCATATTTATTATCTATATTAAACTGGCTGAGATCCCTTGTTTCAGTGGCGCGGCGGTCTCCATGCGTGAGGGCGCCGAGGGACTCCAGCCGCTTGGCGACTGTTGAGGCGAAGCGCCGCTCTCCAGCCAAGTCAGAGATCAGGAAGATGTATTCAGGTGCATTCACTTGATTAGAACGGTGGGTACGACCTGAGAAAAAAGTTGCATACTACTTTTATTCCTGTATGAGACTTGCTAAGCAGATTTATTTGCAGATTCATACCAAAAATGATGCTAAGATGATCACATTTGGTACATACATTGCTTACTTCAAATTACACAGCACTAAATGTCGCCCGTGACTGTTCTGGAGGAGTAAAAAAATAGTAGCCTGTGTTCTACAATTATTCCTAATTACAGCGAGATTCTTTGAGCCGTTCTTAGGCTACGTAGTATTAAAAATCCATTCATCCACACTCGTATTTTTTTTATATCATAAGGTGGCAATCGAGCGAGCGGCCACCTGAAATCACTGAAATAGCGAAGTGACTTTTGCCCATAGACATACGTAATTGCATATGCGTTGCATACCTTTAATCGACTGAGGAGAGGATGCACAGAAAGAAAATATTTTCACCTTCCATGCATCCTCTCATCCGGAAAGTCCGCTTCCACTTCCCATCCTTTCCTTGTAAGAAAAGGGTGGGAAGGGAAAGAGGACTAAATTAGGCCAAGTATTATTATATTAGGCATAGTATTTATAATATTAGTAAAATTTATGGTATTGTATGGCACTCACCAAATTGCTGTATGGCCCTGTCAGCTGACCACGGTAACTCTAATGTTATGTGAACTCTCCGCCTTTGATTTCGAGCTCTGTCAAACAATTTCAATACATCTTATATAATCTTAAAATAAATTATATACTTTACTACAATATTGCAAAAAAGCAAACAGTTTAAGCAATTCAAAGAGTGACAAGTCATTACGTGAACGACGTATATTTACCTCCTATCACTCTGAAGTGAAATACCACTGGATGCCGCTTCAGATATAATAGCTACGTCCTTCTCGCCGTCCATGAACCGCTGCTTCTCCGTCAAGTTAAGAGTTTCCAGAGGTACGTCCGCCTCCGACCTGCTCTCGTACAGTATCTGACCCTCTTCTGTCTGCACCACACGACCCTTACGACCTGTCATCTGCATGAAAAAACTACGTTAGTGGCTCAAGGTCATCAGCGTACTATTGAATGTCTCTTCTGCTATTCTGTGCAGCGATTCGTGGTATATTCCGAGCCGTCACTATATTTGAATACCACTATACTAATTCAATCTTTGTTAAAACGTCTATCGCTGACAATTTAAAATTCTGACGAGTTATTTTGTCTTTTTACAATAAATTAGTGTTCGATTATAATGTAATTTATCAGCGTACTTGCAATGTACTTCTAAACAAAGTTTAATATTACTTGATACTAGATTTATATATTTCAAGTATCAAGATGTACAATTCCGCCTACACATAAACTATTATATCTTGACACGTACCTCAGCAACATTCTCAGTACCACCCAGCTCATCCACCAGCTGGTCGAGCGTGTTGGGTGGCAGGCGGCGGCCCAGCTTCTCTATTGCTGCAAGAAGTTCCTCCTTCATGCTGCACGCGCGCTCGATTGCCGACCGCGGTGGAGGCTGGTTACGACTGGGTCCTGGTGTATCATTATATGTTAAGAAGCACTCAGAGACACATAAGCAGTTTTTAAGTGTTGATTTCGCCTGTCGTAACTAACATCCATCCATCTAACTATTCGCATTTATAATATTAGTAAGATTGTTTTGTGATGAGGGTACTTGTATAAATTGTGTATTGAGGGTAGTTTACCAAGGTATAGTCCATTAGTGCCAACAGGTGTGCCAGTGAGGCTGTGTCCGCCGGCCGTAGTGACGGTGACGGTAGAGGGCGCGGTCGTCTTCCTCTCAAACATCGTCTCAATCTTGTCCTGCGTGCTCGCCGCCTTCTTCTTAGGTGATGCCGCTTTCTTCTTTTTTATCGGCTTCTTCTTGCGATTGATCCATGGATCTGTATCGTATATTACAATTATAAACTAAACCGATTTAAAAAAAATGTTTCAAAGCTCTTTATTAGTAAGTGACCTTAATTGACCCTAAATGCATCGATTCTTTTGTTTTGTCTTAGTTTTTTTTAATTTTCTATAGTATAGAACAGCGCCATCGAACGAAATTTAATGCTATTACTATGTTATTACCGACCATCATCGCTGTCGCTCTCTCGGCCCGCTCTGAAGGGATTTGAGTCACTCTGATCGGAGTCAGAGTGGCGGCCATCATCGGAGTCCTCAGCCAACTCGTCGTCAAGGTCATCGTCGGAACCACGGATGAACTCGTCCGAAGAGGAACCACCACGCGCTCGCTTTGCAGCCACGTTAGCTTGCTGACGGGGCGTTACTGGAAGCATATTAGCTTTTCAAATAATGTATGAATCTGAAGTGGAGACTTAAGTAAGATACAACAAGAAAAAACAGTTATAATAAAAAGAGAAAACTTACACTTCCTCTTTGAGGTGTTAGCGTCGTCACCATTACGTCCGTTGTGCGCGGGCGCATGTGTCACAGTGGCGGGCTTCGCCTCCAAGCCAAGCAGTCTGTTGATGCGCGTCCGGTCCGGCGCAGGGAAGTGTTTCTCTACCAACGTCTGGAATACGCCCCTGGTAACAACCGCGAATGTTTAGTATCAAGTTTGATAAATACAATGTCATAAGTTTTGATGTAATTTTAATTTTAGGCAACGGTATTTTGAATACAAATTCAAAATACGATCTTTGGAATACATTTTCAATAAAACTAAACTTAGTTCCAGTCTCTGAAAGCGAAAATGGTACACAAAAACACATTTTATTATATCATTGTCTATAGTGTGTAATATTGTGTACATGTCTGTAGTGTGTATTACAGTGTACATGTGTGCAGTGTGTAATTTGTACACACTTGGCGGTGGAGACAAAGTCGCTGAGCTCGCCGTCATCCCGCTCGAGTTGGTCGAGGGTGCGCGCCTCGCCCGTGCTCTGTAACCCGATCACCACGCACTTGCCGCACTTCACCGCCTCGCGCGCCGTCACCACAGCGTGATTCACCTACAACATACAAACATACATACATACAAATGTTTGTATGACAATCATCTTCCTGTCCTTTTCCCTACAATGGGTCGGCACAGTATGTACTAGTTTTTTTTTGTGCTCTTCCATACAATTGTTTGTATCACATACCATTTATTTGTTTATGACGAAGGTGGATATTAAATAAACAACACTTCTCCTACATCTGCAACAATCACAATAATTATATTTGCTATGCCTTTTTCTACAGGAAAAGTGCTAATAAGAACAGAAATTCAACATAAGAGACCGTGTTATTGGAATCTAAACCTTATTTTACAGACATAAAGATTAAATTTCAATATTTCTTAGTTAATATAAAGTGACATAGTGATACCTTGGCAGCAATACACAGGTACTTGAAGAACCGTTGATGCGCTGACCAGAACTGTCCCCACATGGTCTTCTTCATGCGTGACTCCGCGTCTATCAGCTCCGCTGCTTCTGTAAAACGCTGCATTGCCTCCACCCACTGTTGAAAAAAACCCATATTAGTCTCCAAATGTAATGTCTATGACGTCACTGACATTGTGACGTCATAAAAGCCCTTTTTTTTAAATGTTTTATTTGTATGTATTTGGCTCAAATCTAGTCATTAAAATTAGATCTACTTCCTATTGGCCTGAAATTTAATACATGAATTTACATTTCTTTGCGATACAATATTATATAAGAAATTTACAATTTTAGATATTATTTGATGGAAATTGTGTCGTCTGTGTAATACAAAGACTAATCGTAACAAAACTTACCAAAGCGACGGCTTTATCGTATGTCTCCTTGAAGGCATCAGACAGCGGAACCTCTTCTATCTTGAAGGTGACCCCGTGGAAAGAGAGCTGACGCGCAATGTACATGCCTCGGAGTTTCATGTCCATCGCAACTATCTCCATAGCTCCCACACCTCTGAAGACAAGGTTTTTTTTTATATTAATGATATATTTTTTAACCATCATACTAATATTATAAATGCGAATGTTTGGATGGATGGATGTTAGAAGGTATTTCCAGAACGGCTGCATGGATCTTGCTGAAATTTGGTATAGATGTAGAACATAATCAGAAAGAACACATAGGCAACTAATTATGTTTTTTTTTCCCGCAGACGGAGTCGCAAGTAACTTCTATTTTTTTTATTTTTTTCCATTAACTATTAACAAACCTCTTTTCAACAGCATTAATGAAATCCATAAATGTAGGAAAAGGCGTGCCTTCGCCCCAAATGCCAAGGCGCACCATATACGCCATGTTTCTTGGTTCTGAAGCGCCCGTAGCTGAGGCATAAACGACTCGCGCTTTGGGCAATTTATTCTGCAACTCTAGTGCAGTGAGACCCGTCTTGGTAGCTTTGCCCGACCCCACCGGGCAGAGATTCTTCGCTTTGTGACATTCGTCGAATACAATCTGTTTGGTGTTTAAGGATTTTACGGATAGGAGATATCTATTTGTTAACTTTAAGTTACCAAATACTGTACATCCTGGATAAGGTAGAGTCCAAAGGACGCTATATTTTTCCTATAGGTCACTCTCCAACCAGAGTGTCTCGCTTGTGGTGGTCAGTTGGGACCGGACAATGCTTACATAGGCTTCTTGCTTATCCAGATTCAACTATTATTAATATAAGTAAAGTGACACAATAACTGATTTTCCTCATTTTTGATATTCACTTTCGCATTCAAACACAAAGTAAAATAACACTTATGTCTATAACCATAAAGGATACACATCCATCAAAGTCTTCACCGCACCACTGGAGCAGCTGCTTCAACCGGGACCTGTACTTGGTGCTGGAGGACTGAGTCTCCCCTATCAATGCAGAGTACGTGCAGAACACCACCCCCTTCTTCACGTTGCCGTTCACAGCTGATGATATCTTCGCGTATTTGAACTGGAAACGAAGAAATACAAGTATTTAGACATCTTTGATTCACTACGATTTTTAATTTCCAAAGATAACTTGCAGTTTAGCTTTGACTAGTTGTCGTCCGCGACGCCGTCCATTTGTAATTTAAAATACTTAATACTCTATGTGTTCTTCCAGATTATGTTCTACATATATCCCGTAACGATGGATAGTGGAATGGATAATGGATGGATGGCTTGCTTAGAGATATGTCGAGAACGGCAGAACGAATCTCGCTGAAATTTAGCATAGCTGCAGAACATAGTCTGGAAGAACAGCTACTTATTAAGTTTTTTTTTATTTCTTGCGGACGGAGTCGCGGGCAATAGCTAGTACAAGTGTCGCATTTAGTAGTACCTTGTTGAGGGGATGTACTTCAATCTTGCCAGCTCCGATGTCTCGCAGGTCACGTTCAGCATCGTACTTAAGGTCGTTGGAGACAGACACCCAGATGGCGCGCTTGCGACCCTTCAGGTAGTTCTCAAAGATGATGCCCGCGATCGTACGTCCCTTACCCACACCAGCACCGTCACCTTTAAACAATTACATTTGTCAAATATCAAACAATCAAACAAAATTTCATCAAATTTTATATTTCTTGTCTTGGTTTCTGAGACTCTATTTGTCAACGACAATGATATCGATATATTTTATACAGAAATTTTGGTCTTAGAAACCAACTGTAAATAAATTATAACAAAACCCAAATAACACTTATTCTCTTTATTATTTAACTACTAAACTAATTTCTTTCTTACTTTAGTAAACATTTCTCGCAATTAAATATTTCCGATAACAAATTTTGACATTAACAATTTCACAATTCACCCTCTAAGACACTTTGACCTTACTAACAAAATACAAGCATCTCATAGTATACCTATGATCTACAAAATGTAAAATTAAAAAAATAAACTTGACAGACAGACGGACGGACAACAGAATGATCCTTAAGGGTTCCGTTTTTTTCCTTTCGAGGTACGGAACCTTAAAAAATTACAAATCGTTGAACAAAGTAAATCATAGCATACCTATGAGAAATCCAGCTCGTGTACCATCAGGCAGGGTATGCTCGTGAGCCTGGCTGGCGTACACCACCGCCTCCAGCTGCAGCGCGGACAGCAGCCCGCCCCGCACCGTCTCCTCCGGCAGGCTCAATGTATACGTCACATCCACTGGCTCCACAGACGACAGGGATGCTGTCTCCACTACTGGATCGGGGTGCTTACGACCCAGTTTCACTGGACACAATATTATGTCACATTAATTAATGCATTAAGAGTGAAAATCCTATAAATTATGCGACAGTCGTCAACCTCGACTCCGTCCGTGCATGACTTAAAGAAAATTGTTAATTAGTAGCCTATGTACTCTCTAACGAACATCCATCCATCCATCCAAATATTCGCATTTATCATATTAGTAAGATTATATCATAGTCATATTAAAAACCAACAGTGTATAGGTAAATGTCTGTAACCTATAAATGGATGATTAAGAAAATACATACATTTTGACGGCATGTAATCTGCGTATGTCTCAGCCACACCCATCTCCTCATCATCCACTTCTTCTTCTTCACCTTGCAACTGAAATATACGACACATTATTTACATCACAATATGATATTAACATAACAAATCTTACATTATCCGGCTCGAAGGACCATTTTGGTTACTGGCTAAGCTTCAAATAACCTTTTTCTTTGGATATCTATTAAATTAACCAGCTTTTTGTGTCAGAAGCAATATATATTACAAAGTTAGCTTGCTTTCAGGGGGGGAAACAAACTTATGTGGGATTTGAGGGTTCCGGGGTCTCCAAAAACACAAAATAGTAAATAAATAACCCTAAATGCTTTGATATTAACAATTCAACATATAGTCACATTATGTACCTTGTCATGAGGCCACATGCCAGGCTTAGGTTGGGCCCAGGGTGGCATCTGGCCATACTGTGCGACCATACCAGAAACCAGAATCTGATTTAGGTTTTGCAGCAAATAGGAGTTCATCCCTTGCGCACCCACCATCTCCACTGAAAATTATATGTTAACTATATTCCAAGAAACAGTGAATCTTGAGGGTTAATCTTAATATACAGTAAATATGTTAAAAGCGTATGTATAAGAAACAGAATTAAATAGATTTAAGGGTCCATCGGATTTTAGTTTCCTTTTACTAAAGTCAAAGCAAATCTGTTTAGTGCGCGATGCATTCGGCGCGGGTCTATACACGCGTACCATTAGACATATTAAAAGCCTATCTTTGTTATTTTAAGGCATTAATTCAAAATTAGGTTGCATTTGTATAAATAATTAAATCATTATTAAACAATCAAACATAACCTGGTGTTTTTAATTTCAACAGATTTTTTATACAATTATTATACGAAATCTTGCCCTTTACGAAACATTACAAAAACTTTGGGACTTTCCAAAGTTGGATTGTGACGGAAAACTTTGAGCCGAGTTTTAATTAACGTCATTGATAACATTTCAAAACATTCAAAGTTTTATGATTCTCGAGATTAAAATAGGATTGTATTTAAACTCACGTGATATTGTCACGTTGGAGCAACTGAGTTGGTAAATGTCGAAATAAGAACATTTTTAACATCGTAATGAATAGAAGTTGCGGTAATCATTACTTTTAGACATTATTAGTTAGAATCCTTTGTCGCGAATGACGTGCTTTCATTACAAAGTCAAATGTCAGAATGATTAGTGAGGGGACATAAACGTCGACATTTTAGTAAGGCTAGTGTTGCGCCAGTACAAAGGCACAGCGTCGGATTTTCTTCCTAACATTACTAGTTTACTAATATTAGATAAATAAATCATCATTTTACTATAAAATAGTAATATTCTAAAAATATGCATAAAATGAAACTGAAAACAAGTCTAATACTGGTTATATTTATAAAACCAAAAGATGTAAATGAAAAAAAAATAAAAAAATCCTTATTTCACTACAACTAGCAAAACACAATACAAGCATTAGAAATGTAAACAAAACCACGATATGAAAATTAAATTGTATTAAATCGAGGAAAAGCAACGAATTTGTACTACGGAAGACTGACAAAAAAACGTTATTGCTTAAGCAAAATGATTTAATAGCAAATTTCTTTCTTTATTAACCCTTAATTCGATGGTGTCCAGTGTGATGAACAACTAATTAAAAAAATACTGAACTAGTTTACAGAAAAATACGTATGACTTTACTAAAAAAAACAGTTTTTTTGCTACAAAAAAAATCGTCAAATTAAGGGTTAAGAGCTAAGATTGGAGGTTGGAAAAATTAAATGAAAATTAGTACTTATGAGTCATGCAGATAGCATTAAAAAGGTCAAGATTCAAGACTGAATTTGAAGCAATAAATAAAAAAAATATGGGAAGCAGTACCATATATAATTACACTTTGAAAGAAGAGTAGAGTAGACTAAAAAGAAAATCAAACAACAATATCTATGGATTAATAGGGTTGCCAGTCAATTTTATTTATAACTAAAATATCTCATCTATTATTATAATATTAGTATTATTACCAGTACAAAAATAAAATATCCTAAATCACAACAATATTTTATTTTTTAACTTTTTTTTATCCTGGCAACCCTAATTCCATACATTACTGGCATACAACCAAGTTACTCACTCTGAGCGAGTAGAGAAGCGGCATTGAACGCGGCCGAGGAGCCGGCACCGGCGAAAGATGGGACAGGACCCACAGACGGCACTATACAAAGGTCCCTTCATTATATATCATCAGAAATATTAACACTCATAAGCATTCCTAGTCACTTAGACATAGCCAAATTTGATCAGACGCATATCTTCAAAAATTTGACCATATACCCTATACAAAACTAATCTTTAACTATGTTAAGTATAAAATAATGTATTAACCTTTGGCAAGTAAACTTTTACATATGTTGTGTCATGACTTTTGTCTATGGAGTCACATGAATGTACTTCTCATGTCAGACTGAGGCAGACATATTCCGATCGTCCAGTAAAGTGGTAGAGTACCACGATTGTGGGTCTACTGTGGTATCGAGACATCATATATAATTCTAAACCACCAGTGCTAAGGCTTAGAAAAAACAGTACAAGCCTAACAAATATATAGAAATGCCAATTTCATCTCTATTCCTTTTTTTCTTTGATTTCTTTACCATATGTAAATGATCTGTTTTTCCTTCATTTATAAACTGTAAAAAAAACTTACCTACTCCACGTCCTAATGTTACCATAGGTCTGGGTTTATTTAGACCTGCTTGAATTTTAATAGGTTTCATATTAGATGCCTGTCCAAATGCCAGCCCTGATGCAGCTGAAATAATACCAAGGGTTAAATCATACTTTCCATGTTCACACTAAGATTTAATTTTAACATAAGTTTCTACATCAAACATCTTTAGTATGGAATTTATTAAAACTTGAAACCATGAATAAAAAAAAACTCAAAACTAACCTTAGTGTTGCTATTTTTTTTTATTTAAGAACTACTAAAGAAAAAACATTTGAATATAAAGTAGTTAGGATTACGGGTGATTCAATCAACTTAATGTTTACTTCATATGTCACTTATGTGCCCAAAAAAAATTCCGTACCATAATAATTCCACAATATGGCGAGGGTTTTAATATTCCTGGTCATTTTATACATATTATTATCTCAGGTTTACAATTAAATGAAAGGGACGACTATATGCTTTGTGTGAGAGTTTCAGCTAAATCTTATATCTTTAAATGAGCAATTCTTGTATATATATATAATTGGAATCTCGAAATCGGCTCCAACGATTTTCATAATATTTTGTATATAAGTGGTTTCAGGGGCGATAAATCGATCTAGCTAGGAATCATTTCTGGAAAATGTCATTTTATTCGTGTTTTATCGATAATCAACTTAAAAATAAACTTAACTTTTTCTATCGGTAAGATCGAAAAATATTATTCATATTTCATCATTTTATTAGTAATTTGTACTTAAATATAATTTCCAAAAAACACAATTAAAAAAAAATACCACCATGGGCATCCAGGTACTGTATACTAAGATTAACGTATAATCCTTCACGGACAGTGTAGTGTATGCATAAATGAAGTGTTGTTTGTCTCAAGCATACATGTCCTAAGTACATGCCGGAGAGAGGGGGCGTCAGTCCATGTCAGACATCTGGACCGGCAGCATGTGTCGACTGTGACATTCTTACTGCAGCACGAATGCTACCGATAGTTTCTTATAAAATCCATCCCTATGCTTACCTGCTAGTGGATTTGTAGTAGGTCTAATAATAATTGGTTGCGGACCAGCTGTGACTTTTGCTTTAACACCCATTTGAGCAGCAGCAGCCAATGTTTTTCCACCTCCTAAAAATTACAATAAAAAATAATATTTTTGTTCTAAAATACTTTGAATACTTATGTAATACTTATTTAAAGGAATAAGAAACAATATTTAGATAGTAGATAAAAATATTTTTAATGTTAATCATTATCTCTAAAGTAATATTAAAAAGAGGAAACATTTGTATTTTTATATTTGACAAACTAAAAACTACTGGATCAATATCAATAATTAGTTTGGCATAAGAAAGCTTGGCACAGTACAGGGATAGGTTCGCTGGTAATGGAAAGGCCATTACCATAAGAAGAAAGTCTATCAGCAAAACAGACTATATTTATTACAACTTTTTTTATTCCGTAGCAATGAAGACAAAGGCAAAAGCTTATTTTTTATTTTTTAAAAGATTATGTATTGGATGAAGCTTTTAATTATCAAAACATTGTTGTTACTTCATACAACTATGTTGTATTGCCTAAATGAACACAACATGGAAACAATCACATAAATATTTACACCAGAGTAAATAAACATATCATAAATCCATTCATATGCTCTTAAATTAACATACAGCATAGTAGATTCCAAATGTTTTTTAATATAAGTGGACAGAGTATGTACAGTAAAAAAAAAATACTTAATAAAAAAAATATACCTGGCACTTCCAAATTGTCTGGGTCTTCATCATCATCAAAGTCTGAATCGTCAGACGGAGTCGGTGGGTTGTCTTCATCATCACCAAAACCTCTTCTCTTCGACTAAAACACATTTACCACTGGTAACATACTTTTGTATATTCAAAGTAAACAAAAAAAACTATTTGGAAAACCCTATGTAAAAAGTCAGTAGTTACCAACATTTCAAGCTTATTGTAAAATTACATAACTGATAAGAAGTCTATTAAAATCCTATTTTATGAGCCATGAAAGTACCATACGAATATTAGGATTAACAATTGCCATCGACTTTTGTTCTCATGTTACAATACAAATCTCAATGAATCCACGAAAATTTATGACGCCACTGTTTCAATTTATCATCAAAGAATTTACGTATTGTAATAAAGTTTAATATTGTGCAAGAGAGCCAAAGACATTGAATAAAACATTCCCGATGGCGCACGTACCGCATTGCACTAGTGTGCTTCCACACAGGCTCAGTGCAATTATTAGGTCGTATCCTAATACTACACCTAGAACCTTCTAAGAAAATCAATACAGCCACACCCTGCTTGCATAATTAACACCTCAGTACCATCAACCATTTCAGAATTATAGTCAAAATGTATTCAGGTAATCACACATGTGAGAATGCCATCAGATCATGACAGTTTTTTTTTGGTTAGAAAACTTGAAAACAAAGAAAAAATTGCATAAAAATAGTATTTTTTCAGACTTCATTACATTTGCACACATTTTTTCACTTATTACACATGTAATTTCAAAAATATACAAACAATATCAGCTGAAAACACGACGTTCAACAAAGTAAAGTTCGTAAAAAAGTATCAAAACAAAAAACTATCATTACCATTTTTAATACTGAATTAACAGTTTTAATAATACAAATTGACTATTTTTTTCGTTAACACGGAAACACTATTTTCAATCGGTAGATTATCATTACACTCGTATAATAATTGCGTAAAATTTTCGATCTGCACTTAAGAAAAAATCAGATAACCCGTCGGCGGTCAATGCTTCCGCCATATTAAAAAATACTCAATCCAATTCCAAAGAGAAAAGAATTATGCACCGTTGTACGTTTGGATACTTTTGCTGACATTACTAAAGTGCTGCATTTTTAATTGTAAATTTAAAATACTTTAAACTGTTGAGAAGGTTAGAAAACTTAAAAATGATATCAAGGGAAAATTTTAGAACAATTTCACTTGTTAAATTTCGTGGGTGTGTATCCGAAAACTGTTACTCTTTGTCTTTGAAAATTGAATTGATTGCTTGCATCTTACATACTCTTTGTTTAAAATTTTAGCAACGTGGTCAGCCATATTGTTTTTCTCAAATTTTTAACAAATTTACGGAAAGTTATAGTGATTTTCGCTTGTGATTTTACATTCTTGTACTTTCAAAACTTTCTTTGAAATGGATTCTCTTGTCGGTTATGGGAGCGATGATGATAATGAAACTGAACGAGTTAGCAGCCATAGTTCGGTAAGTAATCTTGTCTTGGTCGGCCTTCAACAATAATTGCCTCTGCTATATTCGAATCTATAAAATTTAGAAATGACAATTTTGTCCTTTTGTTTAAAATATGATCCGTCAACTGGGTAAAGCATCCGTACTGTTTACCTACTAATATTCTTGAAGGGAAGTCATTAATACCAATATCATAAAGAGGAAAGATATTTATTTTTGTATGAACGTATAAACTCAAAAACTACTGGACCGAATTCAACAATTTCCTTTCCATTATAAAGCTACATCAGTAGCAATCATTGAGTAGAATAACCTATGTTTATCAAAATCTTACTCTACTATCTGTTTTCCAGTTTCACTTACAATGTCTTAGTGTGATCCCTAATAATTTGACTGTCAAATGCAAACAAGATCAAATACTTTTTGCAATTATATTAGAATATACATGTATGTGTTGTTTATAATTCCTTGATATTAATACAATTCTCTGCTTGACAATAGACTGATATTCTAGGTGGGTCAAGGTCCGAGCCAGCCAGCCCGCAGACGGGATGACGACACCAACTACGACGATGTGAACATGGAACTTAGTGAGGTAATTGTCACTTTATATCTTCAAACATTTACCGGGGCGATATGTCTATGTATACACAAGAAATTATATCCTAAATTTTGCACCCTTAGTAAAACTAAGTCGCAATGCTATCCTTTCTCTTCTATAGTTGTTTTACAAAACTTCTGTAAATTCAACAGAAATGTCAGGGGTGTCTTCCAAATAATAGATAATATATTTATTAAATTCTAGCAATATTGGTCAAAAAGTAAACATATATAATTCGTTGCACTCTTTTCAACGATGATATTAACACTTTTATTATTTTATATGTTACCCATTTGTAAATTGACACAAAACAAAAGTCAAATACCCCCCGGTGCGTGAAGATGGGCCGCCAACAATGAACGACATACGCGTGAGTACACGTGAGTACATAGAAATAAGAATACACCGTGAATATATTGTTACAATACATTGGTGATATATGGTAATGAATTGGTATCGGTAAAAAGAAATGCTATACTCTCTCTAAACTAACAATAGACTAAAAGATTTTTGTACATAAACTATTTGTAATTGGTAGCAAAGAAAAAGAAGACAAAAAGAATAATTGGCTTGTTCAATTACTATAAACAAATTGATATATATTTTGTTGAATCATAGATAAATAAATAATAACTAATTAAAAGTATTAACAGATAAGAAAAAAAAATATTTTTACATTAAATAAAATATGTGTTTTGGTTATGGGCTAATACTACTTATATTTGATATTCTATAATTTAACAACAGCAACAATTCACATTTTATTAAAATGAATCAAAAATAAAAACTACAAAGATATAAGTTATGAAATTACAATTAAATAATTAATCTTTACTCACAAATCCTTCGTATATAAAACCCAAAAATTCGTAAATATACAAAATAGAATATATCCAAACAAACTTTAGTAACAATTAGCAGTATATTAATAAAGACGTGTGACATTATGTTGTCGTAGGAATCTCAGGGCGAGTCGGAGGCAGAGGGGCAGTCAGAGTCCAGCTCACACCGCTGCCCAGACCGGCCGGAAAGACTCAAGAGATCCAGTTATCATGGCCAACAGGATAATGATCGGCCTAACTCAGGTATGATCATGTTGAAATGTAATATTACAACATGTGTTTTAACAAGTGTTTCCAAACAACTACAACTTAGGGTCCTTCAATAAGCCAGGGTATCACCATCTCAAAGGCCGGAAATGCATCTGTGTTTCCTCTGATTTTACTGTTGTCTATGGGCGTCGATGAACACCTCGCTGTACCTGCTGCTAGTTAGCCCCATTCTCTTACAAAAAATTGTACAAAGAATGAATTGTTCTATTAACAAACAAATGCCTACAATATGCTTTGCCGAGTGTTTACCATTTGTGTAGGTAAATTAGGAAAGGTTGCTAAACGATTTACCTCTTATATATGCATTCTTTGCACTGTACTCTATTAACATACACTTTTCAGATGATAGCCGAGAACGTGATCGTCGTGATCGCGACCGGGATCGTGATCAGGACCGCAAAGAGCGGAGACGCGAGTCCCCAACGCGGTCGAAGACTGAAAAAGATCGGGGAGACCGCGACAAAGACCGCCGCTCACCGCGCAAAGATGATAGATACAAGTAAGAGAAACATTTTTATTACAGACATGTTTTTTAATGGTCGATATATAATTTTCATTTTAGATTTAGTTAATCTAAAATCTGAAATTGTTACTAAATCCCAGGTTTTTTTCTAATTAATTCATATCTTACCAAAAGGAAGACTGATATTCATACCAATTACAGGTCTGACAGGAGTGACCGTGGCCGTGGATCTCAGGAGGGTTGTTCTCGACGCGGCCTGCTTGGGGATAGACCTGAGGATCGGAGTGGAGATAGTAGGGTAAGTTGATATTATTAAGTTTGAACCAGTAATACAGTGAAAGTATTTTAGTATAATGTAAAATTATGTTAATCTCTTTTAAGGTGCCTGCATTAATGGATCTGAAACCATTTGGAGGTGAACCTCCCCCAGGACTGAGTTATAGCAAGTCGCAGGACGCTAGAGATGCAGTCTCGCCAAGGTAATTAATTTTTTTGATGGACAAATACTTAAAAAAATACATAAATCAGGTATACTATTAAAACAACTTTATTTTAAAATAATTATTTATGTTTTGTTCATGATAGTTGTCAATATGATATTGGTAGATGATGTAAAGCGTATTTGCATTAGATTTTTTGAATATTCTTATGACTGTATTACAGATTCGTGGACAGAGAACGACGTGAGAGAGAAAGGGAGCGCGGCAGAGACAAGGAGAGACATAACAGACGTTCCGAGGAAAGCAGGTCGGTTTTCAAATAATGTTTAACTACCACAATATCCAATGAAATTATATTAAAAGAGCACAAAAAATGTACAGAGAAAATTTTACTAAATAGAAAAACCATGTAAAAAAATTAACATCCTATAATTTTATAAGAAATAGAGCTTGAGGTCGGACTTTTTAGAATCACGTTATTTTTTTCAGATCTGGACACAGGAGCAGGGAGCGAAGGTCAAGGTCGCGGGGTGCGGCGTACCCACCACCAACACACGCATCTAGGTATTTTAATATGACATTAAAATACATAGCATATAGACTTATAAGGATATATGACACAGGGCATAATTCAAATTAAGATAGCTTTTGGTATTGTTTCTTCTTCTTCTTCTCTTCTTTACTTCTCTCATTTAGCTAGATGTCCTTGTTTGACTCTATTATTGAATATGAGGGTTTTAAAGTTTTCAAAAACTTGGAAAGACTCAAAATTGTAACCTATTTTTACATAGAAGTTTTTTTTCCAGTTCAAATGAAAGACGTTCGTCACCACCATCGGGTGACTACCGGCCGTCTTCATACAAAGTGAATAAGAAATTGAAGGTTATGGAGAAAATGGGTAAGTTTATTTTATACTTTTTATTTACACATGTCATTGTTAAATTGTTACATTATCTGTTAAAATTAATATATGAAAAAAATCAATATTTCACAAACATGATGCATTTGTAAATTCAATTTTTGACATTATGATCCTTCCGCAAGAACGCGATTGTTCCGGGTAATCTGTAGAACGGCTGCACTGATTTTGATGCAACATCCACTGGATGACTGACCCACTGATTTAAGGCCGGCAACGGCATCTGCGGTTCCTCTGGTATTGCTGATGTCCATGGGCGTCGTTGAACACCTCGGTGTTCCCAATGCTCATTTGGCCCCTTCTGTTATAAAAAAAATGGTAGCTAATGTAGGCGAGAATATTATAGGCTTAGTTTATTCTGTGCTGATGAAGTGGCGTGATAGTATTATCATATTTGTGTTTGTAGGTCTGCAGATAAAGACACCGGATGGTTCGATGACGACAGCTCAGCAGCTGCGTGCAGCGTCACAGGACTCTGCCGCGCCCACGGGACTGCCTGCATACTTCAATGCCAGTGCCCTTAATAGCAACAAGATGAAGGATCAGGTTAGGATATTCACGAAGATTTTAAATTAAGACAACACAGCATATTATAATATTTTATCTCCATAAACAATAATTGTGTGCAGTGTTTAGTGTATATCTTACTTACTAATATTATAAATGTGAATGTTTGGATGGATGGAAGGATGTTTGTATATATATCTGGAATGGCTCAACAGATCTTGATGCAATTTGGCTCAGATGTAGAACATAGTCTGGAAGAACACACAGGCTACTTATTAAGTTTTTAAATTCCGCGTGGATGGAGTCGCAGGAAAAGATTTGACGAGAGTCTGTTTTTTAATGATAATAATGTTTGTTTTTTTTTTGTACAGAAACGCAAATTACTGTGGTCCAACAAGTCGAAGTCTGAGGCGGAGGAAGCGGCCAAGTGGAGTGGCACCCGCTTTGCCCAGGACTCGGATGGCAAGCAAGTCTCTAAGTTTATGAGGCTTATGGGCATCAAAGAACCAGGTAATAAAATACCGCCATAATTTTTATGGCAACTATTCTAAATAAGATCGGAGCTTGGGCTAGGATATGGTTCATGACAATCCTTACACTCAACAATTTGATTATTGACTTTTCGAGTTATTTATTTGTTTTTAAATTAATTAAATCTATTTCAGCTGCGGTTAAACCAGAGGTGGACGCAACTGCTGACCCAAACAAGAAACAAGAGGAATTGTTCGAAGCGATGCAGGCGCAGTACGAAGTGGCCAGAGCGACTACTCACACCATGCGGGGCGTGGGACTCGGATTTCAACGGGGACAGTTCTAGAATGTTCTTATCAATACTTTATATTTTAATGAAAATAAATTGCTGCAAAAGTCAGCTGTCACTTTGACAGGTACGTTTTGTTGCCATTTAAAAAGGCAAAGGCTTCCAGCTTGCAGCCACCGTCAATTCATAATTCTAAATTACAAATTTACTAAATGTAAAATGTGTTGTGGATTTATATTAATGTTTTGTACGAAAAGATAAATAATTTTGGCGTATGATTAAATGCTTTAAAATAGATTAGTTACAATTCATGTTGAATTATTGCGGAAATTTGGCAAGACTTCATATGTGACGTCATTTATATTTTAAGTCGCGGGCAGAAAATAGTTTGTTGCGTAGAGTTTTTAATGTAAGATTTAGAAGTATTGTATAACAATCATTGAATTTTCATGTAAATTAATATTTTGTGTTACTAAAAAGTATGTAGTTTTTTTACCTAGAACACCAATAACTTTACATGTTTTAGTAAATTAATTGTTAATGTGTGATATCTTTGTATATTTTAAGAAAAAAAAAGTTAAACGATGTATCTATACAAAGCCAGATTATAACATAGTGTTTGTTTTAATATAAGCGTAATGGATTAGATAAGTGCTATGCAGTAATCTGCATGTGCAGTTCCTCTCTGTGTTCCCTCCGCTCGTTTGCCCCCTTGCTTTTATAAAAAAATAATGTAAGAGACTAAATTTAGTGTTGCCCTCAAATTATTTGAGCATCGAACCTACTGATTAATATTCTTTTTCTCTATTAAAACTTAAATTTTCTCAATTAAAACTTACAGACTGTATGAATTTAGTTACTTTTAGTTGTTATAGGTTATGTTTAAGAAGTGTATTTTATCGTCTGATAAATGTAAATATTGTGATTGCATTTAGTTAATAATTTAATACTGATATAGATTTTTGTGTGATATACTTTAGTGAAACATATCTCATTGTATATTTGATTTATCTTTTGCGCACTTCTCTTCACTTATTTTATTGAATAAATATTATAAAGTTACATGTCTTTTTCATTTAAAATGTACTCAAAATAAAGTACGGTATTTTAAAGCCAAACATGTTCCTTAAACCATGCAACGAGACTTTTTTCCACTGTTCTGTTTCTGTTTTAACTTTAATAGTTTGTAAAAGAAAAAATATACAAACGTACATATCGTTACATCATAAATGTTGAAAAAGCTTCTAATTTACATTTATTAATATTTCGGTACTGGTTACTCATTGTAGAGAAAATAAATTGATTTGTTTCTTGCAATAAGGTAAATTTATTTCATAACTCCATGTTATTAGAAACCATAAATACTTACCATAAAGGTTGTGAGCACTTCACAAATAAAAATGTTTTCTCATTTTACAGCTGGCAATACTACGTGTTCTCTCGTCTCTGGTTGTGTCGGATGTTGTCGGTGGTTTCGGCTCGATTCGCGATATCGAAGTGTCAAATAGATTGCGAGATTTACCGGAGTGAAATTATAATATTTTGATTAATAAATGGTGTAATTGAAAAAGTATATTTTGATGTAGAGGATAGAATTTTTTAAATAAATTTAAATGATGATATAAGTGCGAATATAACCGTTATAATGGTGTAAAATAATTATTCCGATTGCCTCATGCTACTGTAAAAAACCGGAGCTTTAATTTCTTGATATAAAATGGACGAGGAGATCAAAATATGCGAAAACTGGTAAGTAAAGATTTTGGACTCGAGGTGTTTCATGTTGTGTCAATATTTATCCTATTTATATCTTAGTACGTTGTCGATTTATTTATAGAATAATAGAGCGCGTCTTACATCTGTTGCAAGATATCTGTCCGGTTGTTTACTTCATGCTTATAAATTACGATACTAATTTTTAATTTTAAAAATGATAAGTAGACGCTCTTCGCATTTAAGTTCGTCCACTTTTGTAGTTATAATTTTTCAATATTTTAATTTCAAGATGGTCCCGCCCGTCATTGTATTGCGAATCACAATTTCATTTTGTAAGCGAACATATTTAAAAATTATATTTGCATTGTTCAATATGAATCTTAGTATATAAAAAAATCCTTGCTGTTCGATACACAATGTGATAACAAAATGGTTCCAGACATGTTAAAGCTGTTATAGAAAACAGGAAATTTAATAATTGTACTCTTTGGTAAATCATTTTTATATTTCTTCTTTTTTCAACCAGCATTATTTAAATAGGATATAAATAGGAATACTGTTTTAATATCAATATGTATTGGGAGAATATGGATGCAAGTAAAATTCAGGAAAAATTTAATCTTTGAGAAGTTAAGTGAAGTAGCAGTGACTGAACTATATGATAAGAAAAAGTCAGGGAAGAATACTTGTATTAACATGTGGTTATGTATATTTGATGTTATAAAAATTAGGTAACAAATATAAGCCAACATTAATAAGGGAGTTACCGCTATAAGCAAGAAAAAACATGGTCCCTTGGACTTTTGCTGATTCATGAATTGATTTATGATGTTAATTATCACAAATAATTTATCATTGCTTGAAATACTTTACAAATATAACACCAAGAAAGAAAAAAAAATATTATGCTGAGTTAGGGGTATGGACTAAGATCCTTTAACTTTTCTTAGATCAGCCAATGTCTATATAGGTCTAGGTTCTTTTGTTCTGGCATAGTAATAAATGTAGTTCATACTTGTTGATTGACAGAGGTCAAGAAATTAGGACAAATGTCATTTGCCAGATGAACAGTATAGTTCATTGTGACACCCACACATGGTACAACTGACCATTGTATGGATTTAGCATGAAAAATAAAAAAATCTTAATGTATATACAAAATAAGATAACAAGAGATCTTTATATAAGAGCACTCAAAAATGTCTCTTCTATAATACATAAATAACTTTTAGTATTAGGGAAGACAAGATGGTTAGTTTTATTTTTTATGCGACCTTCATTTTGTAAATTTACAACAAATGCTATATATTTTAGATGCAATTTCTTCATTTCCAATGAGCTGTAAAAAGTCCAATAAATTTGTGTATTGTTGCAGCAACCGGGAGATTCCCGCGGTGAACTACACCATACATTCGGTGCACTGCGCTCGGAACATCCGCATGTGCCCGGTCTGCAAGGAGCCCGTGCCACTCACGGAGCTGGAGGAACATACGGAGAAGCTGCATAAATTGCGTAAGTATGCTTAATAAACCAAGTAACTGGTAGAACTCGTTTCCACTAGCGCTGCAGCTACACAGCTGAGGTGGCTTCATATGAGCAATGTACCATTTGGTATATATTAAAACTTTTTTCCACTAGGTGTTGACGACCGAAAGTGGGTGCTGTACTGTCAGAATTTCAAGTATCTTATAGCAGGATTGTCTGACCTCATCTCCCTTTTTCTCTTTACTCTATTTCTTATTCATTTCCTCCTATTAAGAAATAATGTCTATACATCTTGCTAATATAATAAATCAGAAAGTTTAGATGGATAGATGATTGTTAGAAGGTATCTCCAAATGAGCTGAACAGATCTCGCTGAAATAAGGCATAAATGTAGAACATAGTCTGGAAGAACTCATAGACTACTAATTAAGTTTTATTTATCCCGCGCGGACTGATTCGCGGGCTACAGTTAGTAGACTATAAATTATGATTACTCCATGTATGAATAAATCAAGAATGATACGTTACGTCCAAGCATCCATAATCTATACTGATTCTTGTATAAAGTTCGTGAGTTCATTTATCTATACTTGTCGGGCTATCAACAAGTTGTGACTTCCGTCCAAGCATTAAATTGCATTAAAACACATTTCTTTTTTGTTTCGTGTTGGCTCATTCTCAATAACAGATTGAAATTGGCATCGCCCGAGTTTTCACACATGGGTAGAACAGCAAGGCAGAGCAGTAGATAATTCAGTAAGACTGTTAACAACAGTGTTGTTCTGTCTTGGCTTATGCGAACAAGTCATAGCAGTGCTGTATTATCTTCTACATCACCGTTTAGCCCTCGTGTGAAATTAGCGTTATGTTTGGATTGTATAACAGTGCATTGTACTCGTAATTTGCCTTAAAGTTGATTCACACATCCGTCGCTGAGATGTCGAATTCGTGGGATTATGTGAGACACAACAATATTTCGCAATATAACAATTATAACATCGCTTGAGGAATCATACGGGATCTTAGATAGATGCCACACGGGGAGTAAAGATTCGCAGAATCGGTTAGAAATAACGCAACGTAACGAAATAATTTAGTCCTCTTTCCCTTCCCACCCTTTTTCTTATAAAGAAAGGATGGGAAGTGGAAGTGGACTTTCCTGGATGAGAGGATGCATGGGAAGGGAAAATGTTTTCTTTCTGTGCATCCTCTCCTCGATCGTTTAAAGGTAGGCAACGCATATGCAATTGCATATGTCTATGGGCACCGATCCCTTCGCTATTTCAGCGATTTCAGGCGGCCGCTCGCTCGTTTGCCACCTTAGGATATAAAAAAAAACGCATAAGCACACAACTTCGCTTAATCGCACAGAAATAGGACTTAGTAACTAAATATAATATAAATTTATAAACAAAAATAATTAATAATAAAAATATAAATATATGTATTCATAATCCACTGTTTTTAAATTCTATAACATTTAATACGTAGTTTTTATTTCATTGTATACCTATATTGATGTAATGAACCATCAATAAATAAACCATATTACTCAAATGAGTAATAAATTACCAAACCAGATGTACTTTTGTCCCGGCCACGACAATTCCTAGAATCGTTTAGCTGTATCGATCAGGGCGACCTACAAGGACGATTTAATGTTGCTATGGGCGTTGTATGAGTCGGTATGATGTAAACTGCGTAGGTAAGAGAGAAAGGGGATACCTCCCCTGGAGAGGGATAGGGGTGGGGGAGTAAAGTGGGAGGGACGGTATTGCAGCGAGCTTTGAGCTAGTAACTGAAGTATTGATTTATAGTCCCTTGCTTGTGTAGGCGTGTAGACTACGCTGTATATAGTATATATCATGTCTGCGTTTCTATATTCACTTGTAATATGTATTTTTATATATAAATGCGAATGTTTGGACGAATGGATGTTTGTTTCAAGGTATCTTCAGAACGACTGAATGGATTGTACTATAATTTGGCATAGATGTAGAACATAGTCTAGGATAACATAGGATAATAATTAAGTTTTTTTATTTCCGCTCTGATGGATTCGTCGGCGACAGCTAGTTATTATATAATGAAACTAGCTGTCGCCCGCGACTCCCTCCGCGTAGATATATATAAAAAAACTTAATATATAGATAAGTTAAATAAAAAGCAGCTCTTTAAGGCATAAATTTGAAAAAAAAAATAAATAAATAGTATCCTAAATCCGTCTCCTGGCTCTAAGCAACCTCCTCACCAATTTTCAGCCATATCGGTAAAGCCGTTCTTGAGTTATAAATAGTGTAACTAACACGACTTTCTTTTATGAATGCGAATGTTTTATGGGTGGATTTTTGTTAGAAGGTTACTCTAGAATGACTGTATGGATCTCGATGAATTTCGTATAGATTTAGAACATAGTCGGGAATAATATATTCTAATTAGGTTTCTTTAACTCCACGCGGACGTAGCGACAGAGAAAATTTACACATAAAATGTTACGAAAGAACAGTTTCCAAAGTTTTACAAAAATCGCCGTCAATTTTTTTGCTAAATATTGATGCAAAATAGCTTATTTATATGTAATAGTTAAGTATATTATTTAAATAAAATATATTTTGTTTATATAGTGCCTTGTAAGCAATGCGGGGAGAAGGTACGCGGGACCGATATGGAGGACCACATTCGTGACTCCTGTGACCGCACCATACAGTCTTGCAGGTAATACTTCGTACTTGTTTAATCTAACATTGTAAAAAAGGTCATAAAATTTTTACGGATAGAGCAATGCGTGCGGTTTGCGAGAAACTTCCTGCCTCGCAGCAGCGTTGTTGAATGGTCTGTCCTCGGCGGTATTTCCAAACCGCTACGACTTAGGGTCCTTCAAGAAGCGCCCTTATCACCATCTCAAACCGGCAACGTATCTGCGGTTCCTCTGGTATTGCTGATGTCCATGGGCGACGTTAAACACCTCGGTGTTCCCGCTGCTCGTTTGCCCTCTTCTGTTATAAAAAATGCGTCGATAATTAACATGGCATTGTAAAGACTTTGCATCAAAGTGGTCTTCGCTTCGACTATAAGATCACAAATAGGAGCAGGAATTGAACCACAATTATGATGCTTACAGGTGGTGTGAGCTGGAGTTGTCTCGTCGTGAGCTGCCTCTGCATGAGGGTTATTGCGGAACTCGCACTGAAGAGTGCGAGCAGTGCGGAGAGTTTGTCATGCATAAGTACAGGCAGCTGCATCTGGACTCGAACCACGGCTTCGTACGGCTTGACGATGGTGAGATACACATATATTTCTAACCCTTTCAGTGCTACTACGATTGTTATGTATGTAAACTGTCGAATTGGTAGCAGTGTACGTGTTATATACCATACAGTTTCATTCGTCTTTGATATTCATCATTATTAGCTCACTATACGTCCCCACCGAGGGGCTCGGAGCATACCTTAGATAAAGGATGACTAGGCCATAGTCAATCACGCTGGCCAAGTGCGGGTTGGTTGACTTCACACATATCTTTGAATTTCTTCTCAGATATGTGCAGGTTGCATTACGATGTTTTTCTTCGCCGTAACAACGTCGGATAAATGTACATATGTAAATCGGAAATCGAAAACACATTGGAACATGGCGGGATTCGAACCCAGGACCTGCAGATTGCAAGTCAAGTGCTTGACCCCTGAGCCACCGACGCTCTTATTGTCGTCTCTGATATTGCACATTGTATCTTGATAAGTATTTCTTTGAATGTGAGTTTGCACTGTGGAAACATTACAAAAACATCGTGTTTAACTTCATCAGCGCAAAATCAACGAAAAATAGCTTAAGTTACTGCCGCATACATAAACTACAAGCAATTCCGCGTTTCGTCTGATGAGTGTGCGTCCCGGAGGCCTAATTTAGTCCTCTTTCCCTTCCCATTCTTTTGCTTATAAGAAAAGGATGGGTAGTGGAAGTGGATTTTTCGGATGAGAGGATGCATGGGAAGGGAAAATGTTTTCTTTGTGTGCATCCTCTCCTCCATCGATTAAAGGTAGGCAACACATATGCAATTGCGTATGTTTATGGGCAACGGCCACTTCGCTATATCAGCGATTTCAGGTGGCCGCTCGCTCGTTTGCCACCTTATGATATAAAAAAATGTTAAAAAGTTGAGTTTCGCAATTAGAGGGTAAAATTCATCATCTTCGCGTTATATAATTTTTTTCTATCACAGACTAATCAAACTGAGCTTCGGTATGATTGGAATAAATTTGTTTCTTTTCAGATCCCGTCCCTCGTGCTCGTGTTAACCGACAGAGAATGGATGCATCTACTATAACTCCAAGTGTATTTGCCAGTGGTTTCGGTATGACGCCATACCAGAGACCTGCAGATCGTCTGCCTCGACTCCTAGACTTGCCCGAACAACCGCCAGCTGTGAACCCTGAGCTGGCAAGACTCTTCAATTCCATCACAGAAGCTCACATCACAAATGCTTACTACAATAATGCCCGTTTCAACCGCACCGTGAGCCCCCGAAGCCCTGACGCTTATCCTAATCTAGGACCATATAATGATGGTAGAATCCTGAATCAATGGCAACAGAACATAAGTTCAAATTGGCCGAGGAATAATTTTGCTCAAGTTAATGCACCGGGTGTTTCCGGTATCAGGAATAATGATTTGTAAGTACTACTCTACTTGTATTATTTTCCTATTATTTTGTTAATTAGATATTTTTATGAGAGAGAGAGACACAAGATTAATATTTTTTTTTATAAAATAAGATAGAATTTACATCGTCATTGTGTAAAATATCTTGTAGTTGTAATTTTATGTTATAGAATATTGTTAACATATAGCTCTTTAGCATATATTGTTAGTAAGAAAATCCAACACTATGCCGGTGTGGCACAACACTAGCTTTACTAAAATATCGACGTTTATGTCCCCTCACTAATCATTCTGACACTTGACTTTGTAACGAAAGCATGTCATACGCCAAGTAGCTAACTAATAATGTCTAAAAATATGAATACTATTTTTTTCAGTAAACCCCCACAACGCGGGGCGATTAAAAAGCGTAAAGCACCAAACCCACCGAATACACAGTCCCAGCCTGACCAGCCCCAGCCGCAGGCGGCGCCGGCTGCTAGACCATACTCGTTGTTCTCCTTTACTTCCAATTCCACACCTAACACTCCAATCTCTAGCCCAATGACTGGGCCAACGTCTAGTGTAACATCTGGTCCGATTCAAGGTCCAAATCATGGGCCATTCCCTGGTCCTTACAATCGACGCAACACACCACAATCACCGGATGACAACGCCCCGGGACGGGCTAATACAAACGATCGCGTTTCTGAAGCTACCTCAACTGAAGAACAGAAGGAAAGGCCCATCAGAGCCAACCCAGTTAATTTGCCAGGTATTTTGATACTAAATTTGATTTATTTATTTACTGTCACACTCAGAGACGTTAATTTGTTACTAAGGAAGTTATTTACGCTAGATATTTTTTATGACATGTTAAATCCAAGATTATATAAGCCATTTTTTGCTTAACTTAAAGGTGTATAAAATGTTTTACAGCAAAAAAATCTGAGATTGATAGAATTCAAAAAGAGGATATGAACAAGCCAGATGACTTTAAGGACGTAAAGCCGATGACTTCTGAGGAATTCATGAAGAGATTCAGACAACTGCAGCTGGATAAAACTGAGGAGACATCTCCCCCGGAAAGATTCTCCAGAAGGGAGGAGAGTCCAAGGGAAAGATTTTTCAAAAGGGAGGATAGTTCTCCCCCTGATAGATTCTTCTCCCCCACTCCTGGGGATAGATTCAACGCGATTAAATCCTCATTGAAAGAATTACGAAGGGGATTGAATGAGGTAAGATTATATTAAAAATTTAGTTTTTATACAACAGCCCCATCTAGTGTAGACATTTTTCAGTATTGAATCATCATCATCATCATCAGCTCACTATACGTCCTCACCGAGGGGCTCGGAGCCTACCCTAAGTTAGGGGTGACTAGGCCATAGTCAACCACGCTGGCCATTTGCGGGTTGGTTGACTTCACACATATCTTTGAATTTCTTCTCAGATATGTGCAGGTTGTATCACGATGTTTTCCTTCACCATAGGAACGTCGGATAAATGTACATATGTAAATCGGAAATGGAAAAACACATTGGTATGTGGCGGGATTCGAACCTAGGACCTGCAGATTGCAAGTCAAGTGCTTGACCCACTGAGCCACCGGCGCTCTTACTTTTGAATATACTAAATTATTATTGCCTTAGTATTGAGCTTAGAAACACATTCTGAATGTCATTATTTTTAAATATTTTTTATTGTTTTTTTTTTACAGGTCACAGCGCCGTATAACAACAATAATAAGTACGTGTCTTGAATATATTATTTCAGTTAAAGTGTTAAATAAATATTTCGTAGTAATAATCTAGAAAAACGAGCAAGGGGCCGTTTGAATTGCGAAGTGACTGTTGCCCATACACATACGTAATTGCATATGCGTTGCCTACCTTCAATCGACGGAGGAGAAGATGCACAGAAAGAAAATATCTTCCCTTTCCTTGCATCCTCTCATCCGGAAAGTCCACTTCCACTTCCCATCTTTTCCTTATAAGAAAAAGGGTGGGAGGGGAAAGAGGAGTAAATTAGGCCTCTGGGACGCACACTCATCAGACGAAACGCGGAATTGCTTCCACTTCACGCCTGTCTTCTGTACGGTGGTACCTTTAATTGACAGAAGAAAAGGGACCATAGGAATTAATTAATGTCTGAAATATATAAATGATTAAATCCTAGGAAATTACAGCTTTGACTACGTTTAGACTTAAAAACGTCTGTTGATGTTACTGACAGTTAATCTATATAATTAGTTCGAATTCTCACCGCTATAAATCGCTGACGCCAACGCCAAAATGGCGGAGATCAAACAGGCACTAAATACCGCATCTTATAGCCTATCCATTTATAAGAGTTAGCAGTTTTAATACTGGCAAAAAATGTAATCAAGGTTGACACTAATTTCTTTTGTTTTAGCGCAAACGAGCGTGGTAATGCACCATGTGACAAACCTGATACTGAGTCCAGCAACTCTACTTCTGATGGTGATGATGAGGTGGCTGGTGGGGTTCAGGCTGGTTGGGAAGATGAGGCGAGGGGAGGAGATGAGGCCGCAGGAGGGGAGGCAGCCTGTGCTCTGGATATCATCGATGTGAAGCTGCCCTGCGAGTTCTGCGGCGAGCTGATACAGGCCAATGATCTGGTGCAGCATCAGGTGATTGTTGGAATGTGCACTTTATTTTTATAGCGATAAGGTTGAAATAGATTTATTGAGCACGAACGTAAATAGGCGAAATATTATAGGTCTATTTAATAAATTAAAAAATAAATTCCAGTTTGATACCTTCACGCTTTCGTGAGAAAAAGAGTCTTGACAGACAGACGGACAGACAGTAAAATAATTCCATAAGGGTTCCGTTTTTTTCCTTTCGATGTACGGAACCCTAGAAAGTAATGAATAAGCCTAAATATGCAAATTTCACTTTATTCAATTACTAGTTATCATTCGCGACTCTGTCTGCGCGGAATTACAAAAACTTAATTAGTAGCCAATGTGTCCATCCAGACTATGTTCTATATCTATAACAAATTTCAGCAAGATCCATACAGCCGGTCTGGAGATACCTTCAAACAAACATCCATCTGAACATTCGCATTTATAATATTAGTAAGATTTCCGTATTTTTAATGAGTTAGGTCACAATATGTCGGTTATATTTTCATGTGACATGCACCGTACAGACTGGTTGCCGACCGGACTTGGCGCAGTTCCGCCCTGTGGTGACGCTGCAGGGGATGTCGGAAGACCATCAAATACCCTACATCCCCTGCGAGTTCTGCGCTCACCATCTACCACTGAACCTTATTGATGATCACCAGGTACGGACGCGTTGTATACGCGTTGTTGCCGCGGACTTATGCATCGAGTTGCAAAATGAAAGGGATCCAATTTAATAAATTATAGCTTACTAGCTGTCGCCCGCGACTTCGTCCAATCGGTATTAAATAAAAATTTAATGAGTAGCCTTTGTGTCCTTTCAGACTATGTTCTATATGTATGCCAAATTGCATCGAGATCCGTTCAACAGTTTTAGAGATACCTTCTAATAAATATCCATCCATACATCCAAACATTTGTTTTTATAAGATTTTCTTTTTTTTTCTAGGAACGCTGCAGCCGTATGATGAATCGTATGAACTAAGCTCCTGTCTTTCTTTCAAACTGTCTTTGTATTCAAATTTTATATTTTTTCTATACAATATTTTACAACGACCTAATTCATCTTCATTCTAACAGCCGCACTCACGGACGTTTGGTGACTTCGCTTAGTGTCGATTTTTACATAAGAAATTACGTAAAAATCTACATTAAGTAAGTAAGCCTTTGGGATAGATGTTTACGGTTAGCGGTCACTTCGCTATCTTGGCGAATTTAGGTGATCGCATACTTGTTTGCCAAATTACTATAAAAAAAACTTTGATAACTATTTATTTCGTATCATTCATGTGATCAAGAACAATAATTTTGTCTAAACTTTCTACACTTTCTATACTTGTTCAGGATATAAGTTTGTTATACAGCGTGTCCCAAAATCAATGATAAATCGGTACTGAATTATAGCCAGATCGATAACTACATGGGGAAAATTACTGAAAAAATCCATCTCTTAGGATAGGCAGGAATATGTTCATATTTGTAGGCACAGTATCTAATCATATGGTGTAGGGCAACAAATGTTAATGTCACTTTTAAATAAAAAGAGCTTTTTGTAGTATTTTTCCCAATGTAGTTATCGATCTGGTTATACACCAGTACCGTTTCATCGTTGAATTTTGAAACACGCTGTATACATAGTTATTTATTATTTATATAATATATAATTCTAGCATGTAATGCGTATATACTTTGTATAAGAAAGGTAAGTGAACGGAACTGCAGGGATGATATAAAAAACGAAAACAATCGTTTTATGTCAGTCAAACGGATTTGGATTGGATATAGGAATGGATATAAAACAGGAATGGATAGGATAAGTCTCTCGCATATATCTTAAATGTTTAGTATACTAGTATTTTAAACTCTATACACTTTCAAATGTATACATGAACATTGTAAACATATGTTAAAATAAAAAAAACATACAGACGAATTGATAACCTTCTTTTTGTAGTCGGATAATAATAGTATAATAGACATGACAAATTAATATTCCATGTGCGATAAAGCCACAGAGATATTGATCAATAGACATGACAACAAAACTTTTAACTACGATTTAACATTAGGTAAAGTAGTTTGTCACTATCGTATGTCAAGTGGCATTGGTTATTAAGATGAGACTTATGTAAGATTTTTGTATGGAAATGTTTCGAATTTCCACTCTTTAAATTATTTACTCTATGGTTGCATGCCATTTTAAACGGTAATTTTAGGATGTGACCTAAAGGTAATGTTACCAGGTCATTTAATTTAAAAAAAAAAAACAAAATAAACGCATTTTTTTTAAATATTTTATTTATTTTTGTTTGTTTATTATGTTTATATTTTTAATTTGGTATAGATTATTACATATTTAAAAGATAATTATTATTAAAAGTTTTTAGATATTAAGAATTTTTTCCAAAATTGGGCAAATTATTTGGCGCCAATTTTTATACGACCAATGTCTTAGGTCACAAAATAAATCATTTCCCCTATAATTAAGGTTACGATTAGTAATTTAAAGTTTATAGTACACTTGACAACAAAAGTGGTTTATGACAAACATTAAATCTTATATTTAATATTTTTTCTAATATAACTGATTATGTTATTTATCCTAATTTGTCTAGTAGTATCGTTTTATCTATTTTTATTGCTCTAAAAATGTTTTAAATACAATTTTTTTTCCTATTTATAAATTACACTGCAAGAGTGTACTTTTAAAAAGGCTTACAAATGCAACTCTTTTATTAATAATTTATTAACCACTTTTGTCGTCGACTGTACTTCGACTACATATAAATAAGTGCAGTTTCTTGAACGCTTTAATTGTGATTAGACAAATAGTGCCAAAGGCGAATAAAATCTTGATATACATATTTTTTATTAATGATTTTTATGCGTTGAAAATTTATTAAGAGATTTTGTTTTATTACTGAATATTTTTTATTATGACATTTTTTATATGTTAAGTGTCATCCGTGTCATACATTTAGGGTCCATAAATTCATTTTGTTAATTGTATGAGTTGAATTGAAATATTGTTACCGGCCATCAGGGCAGTTTATCCTTTAGCGTGGGTTTCCACTGCACCAAATTTAGTAAACCTTAAATTATTGATATCTCTCTTTATCTTTGAATCAGAGATAATATTCTTTTGTATATGTATTTCGCAAGTGGAAGTAGACGTTTAATACTTAGACAGTGTTTACACTGGTTATTAATTATAGTTTGACCGGGAATATAAAAAATCTCGACATATTGCGGAAAAATATAGAAATTCACTTCCTCATATTTAGCAGTGATGTAATAAAGAATCTTGGAGTGTCCTAGGATAGGATTTTTCATATTCTTGGTTAGGCTATTGGTGTATTTAATCCTAGTTGTTAATTCAAGCTCATATGAAAATCTAAATGTTAGTATATAAGTAAATGTTAATCTCATAATAACCAAAGGAAAGTATGTTTATGTATGTATATGTTTTTAAGTCTAATTGTGCGTATTTTATTAATTTAAAAAAAAACTTCCATGATTGTTTTTATTTTTTGTCTATGGTTGTTTCATTAAATGTCTATTTTAACGTGTACGAAGCAGGATTCCGGTAAATTTATGTTTTGTATATTGGTTGTCTATGGTATACGCAATGGAAGACATAGATGTAAGTGTTAACACACTAAACATGTCAAAGGAAAGATATCTTTCCAAACGATCTCATACTCTTCATATTATAAATGTATTTCTGTTTGTGTACCAATTTTTAACCATAGATAATAAATGTTTAATTGATGTCTATTATTAAATATCCGAATCATTCATCCATAGATTAAGGTTGACTGTCTTTTCGTATGTGTTTAAAAAAAAAAGCCTAATAAAGAATTTATGTATTACTCCTATATTTTGTTGTATTTTATAGTTACTTTAATAATATACAATTTAAATTAATTTATTTTTTCTAAATTTAAGATTTATACAAAAAATAATCGTTTTTTTTTGTTTGTTTGTTACAGGAATTAAATTATTTTTTAACACTTTCCAGCGTAACTGTACATATTTTTACAATATTTTTAACATCATTTATTCAAATCGAAATCAAATTATATTACATAAAAAATATTAAATCACTTTATACTTAAAAATAAATTAAGAAATCCTTATAAATTAAATCAGAAATTGACGAAGTAAGACTTATTGTGGGTTTCTGAGACAAAAATCTCCTTTTAAAACTTACTGTTATCTCTGTTTTGTCAAAGATAATGACAAGGATGACGATATATTTTATACAGAGAGTTTGGTCTCAGAAACCAACGGTTAGCTATAATACTATAATTGTAAATATGACTACGGTCAAACTTGTGACATATTGCTGCCTCTTTTTTGTCTGAGAGAATGAAAGGGACACAACTGCATTGGAGTTTTGGATTAATATTAAATCAGAAACAACACATAAAATATTCGTCAGGACATCTGGGCACTGTTATCTGTAGCTTAGGACAGTTCCATATCTTTTCACATCGACAATTCGATCTGAACTTTCTTCGTCCTTTTTGAAATTCCTCATTTAAACCTTTTCGACCATTGCTGAAGTAACTGGGTTTGCTAACTTCGTATATTGGCTTGTCTTCTACTATATTTGCGATGTTTTTAATATTAAGTGTGCTTCCGAAACTTTGATTGTTCAATATATTTTTGTTGTTGCTAAAATTTGTGATATCGTCAGTTTTGATTTTGTCAGATGACTTTTTATCGATAGTTGTAGGTTTAACATCTGATATGATTGTCTCTTCTGTTTTACTAGATTCATCTTTGGTAGAATTGACATTAAAATCAGACGTATTGTTAAATCCAGTATAGTTCATGTTAACATTTTTGATTTGATTTCCTTCATTGTATTCAAGTCTTCTATGTCCTGGTAAATAATTGTTTGCGAATAGACCAATATTGGAATATATTTCGGCTGTATTATCTCTATTTTCATAATCACGTGGTATAGATTCTGCCATTTTATCATATCCATCTGTTAATTGTTCGTTATAATCTGTGGTCTCTAGATCGATGTTTTCAGTTGTCATACCATAGAGGGCGCTGTACGGTCTACCCGTATTAATGAGGGTATCCGCGGTGGGGTAGTGTGCGGGTAAGTTGTATACCTCTGCAGGGTAGTCGAAGATAGTCGGCTTTACGTCAGCGATCGTCTCTATGCCCTGCTGAGGCGCAGTTAACGTTCGCCCGCACAGGAACAAGAATAATAGTGTTCTGAAAAATATATAACTAATTTCAATATTTTGAAAATACTGTTTGTGTATCGAGTAAGTGTAAATTTATTTAAAAAGCTGTCGCCTGCGACTCCATCCAGGCAAAAAACATAATAAGTAACCTATGTGTTCTTACAGACTATGTTCTACATCTATGCCAAATTTCATGAAGATCCGATCTATACATTCGCATTTATAATATTAGTAAGATAAGATTGTCAATGATGATGAGGTTGTTTAAATTCGTAATTCATAACCTTTGGTTTATTTGTTTCTTTTAAACTTATTTCTGTTATTTATTTTTTTATATTATCCGATTTATTTTAAAAATTAATCAAAATGTTTGGAATTCCTTCTTCATTAGCATCATGTTAATTTCGCATAGTTGTTTTATACTAGTTTTAAAATTGATTTATTTAAGTCAATGAACTCATTTACATATGTACGAAAAGTAAACAAAGCACAAGAGTCATGTCTCTGATGATAATCTTATTAATATTTACATGGATCTTACATGGATGGATGTTTGTTTGAAGGTATCTCCAGAACGGTTTAACAGATCACGATGAAATTTGCCATAGATGTAGAATATTGGCAGAACACATACGCTACTTATTAAGTTTGTTTTTAATACCGCAATACTGAGTCGCAAGCGACAGTTAGTTTAAAAAAAAGTTAATTTCAATCGTAAAAATAATGCTTGGATATTGTTATCCGGTATTTATATAGTATTTAATCTTTATTTAAGTAATATCATTCGATACAGTTATATGCTAATAGCAAATAATTTGCACTTTAAAATTACTCAATTTAACATTTCCTATATGAATTTTCTCAGGATGTTTCTGAAACTAAAAAATACAACGTCGGTTTTTTTGGAGGGATATCAATGTCCAATATAAATGTGAATTTCCACCGGCAGTGCACTTCTACAAAATGTTGTTGTCCCTTTTATTCTATTTGTGAGAAACAAGGATGGCAATGTACAGGCGTTCAGTCAAGATATTTTCGGTCATTAAAACCCATGTAATTATTACGCGGTTTTTACGATACTATTTTTTTTAATTAAATAACTCGTGAGAACAGGCACTGCAATGCCACAATGAAACAATATGAATAACAAAGTCATGTAAAATAAATTACATCCCGCTTTGCTGTACACAATAACGTAATACCCTTAACATGTTATTGTTGTTTGTTGCTAATCTATGGTAGTCTGTCAACAAGCTCTTGAATGAAACAGAAGCATCTCAGAGGCATATCAACTCTCACTATCGTTTTCCTCTGCATCTACGTAATCATACGAAAACATATTTTCATACTTCGAAATCTTTTTAAAAATGTTTATTCTTAAATTTGTAAAGATAAATTAAAAATATGGATAGGTAATTTAATTCCTGTCAACATTTTTATTTAAATGTTGTTGCCCTTGACTCCGTTCGGAAAAAAACTTAATTTAAACAAAAAATTCCTTGCCAAATTTCATCAAGATATATGAAGCCAAGTCATCCTTCCTACCAGCTAAACATTCGCATTTATAATATTAGTATGATGGAACGAATGCAATAAAACATTCTTTAATCTCAGTTTCATGATAACTTTGCCCGGTACAAATTCCTTGTACGCTAGCAATTACTACAATTACATTTCGTAGTTCCTTTGACACAAAAACTTTTATCATTGCATCGAGAACAATAAAACCTACATACGATATAATAGTTGGCATTCAGTTACTTCGTTTACTATTAAAAACAATGGTAAAAGACCTTCCTTAATTCAGAACGTCCGTTACGATTAAAAAATTAATCTAAAAGTAGAAAGGCAATGCAGATTGGGGGGCGTCCAAAAATTACGTGAGGTGTTTTTTTAAATTTTCTTCCTCTTCCTACCCCCTGGTGGCATGTCGTGAGATTTTATTCAACCCCATCCCCCAATCTCACTTGAGATTTTTCAAAATTTGATTTACTTACGTAAACGCGTTGGATTGTTATTGTAAAAGAAAAAAAAATGCTTCATGCTTTTATTTAATTTATATTTGTTTTAATAAGAAAAAAATGGTGATATTTGCCGAAACCCCCCTCTCTCCAACGTAAGATTAGATGAGATTTGACTCGACCCCCTCACCCCCCCTTAAACACCTCACGTAATTTATGGACGCCCCCTTGCCTTGATAGTAAGTAAAATTCTATGTATTTTGCTTCTCATATTTTAAAACTTATTATCACCGTTGGTACAAAACATAGTTAATCTCTTAGCTCTCTTAAAAAGTCCTCAACAACGTAAACTTGCCTCAGGGAAAAAAACAAAATATTTTCCATCAGTCTGTTAGCGATTGTGGGTGTATTGAACTTATCATTATGCCATTAAATATTATCGAAAAAGCTATTATATAAAAACAAATAACAGATGACAAGAAAAATCACCATAGACAAGTTATAGATTACTAGTTTGGTCGCCTAATTAATAAATTAAGCAGTCATTCAACCTAAATTAACCAAATCAGATTCATATTATCTTTTTTATTTATACATCTATTGGAAATCAAACCCAATGTATTTAAAAAAACGTATTTAGTAAAGAGACATGGCGTAGAGGTTCAATAAGCCAAATAATAATAAAAATCGTTTTTACGAAATAAAATCACATTCAGGTGGGCGGGAAACACAGTATAGTCGAGGGCAACAGATTATAAAAAAAAAACTGCCAGTTACAAAGTGCATGATCGTAAGGCTATGAATCTGTGTTAACACGGACCGAATGCGTCAAGTACATTCGTTGTTTAAAACTTGATGGTAATTAAAAACATCATTGTAATAAAAACAATGCTGTTTAGAGGGAAACGCGCCGTCCGCAGTTCACAAATATTCCGACTAATTTATCTATTTTATTTGATTTATATCTCCTAATGTTATATGTTTCCTAAAATAAAATCGATTTAAACAATAGTATTTAATATTTAATTATTTTTAAGTTACTTATTGATTTCTAAAAATGAAAACAATTTAAGTTATACCATTACCTTAAATAATTAATTGATTTAATTATTGAATTTAAACTTATTTTATTTCAAATAAATGAATAAATATTATATTTAATTCAAACTAATTAACTAGGAAGGATGAAGATTTTAAGTAAAGTGATTTAATTATTCAATTTTAACTTATATAGTGTCAACATTATTTAACTTCGAAAAATAAATATTATACATTAATTAAAACAAAAGAATATTATACACATCTTGCGCTTTTGTTATTTGTGTTCACTTACGCACTTTAAACATTTAACAATATATCCATAAGTGTAAATGCACAAAACACAATAATGACAGATGATATCAGCAAATTTTTTAATTACGATTTTTTAAAGTATTCTATCACCAAATTTAAATTAACCGTTATCAGGAATAAACGTTATAATAAGAAACATCACTAACCGGTACATTTCAATGCCGGTGTTTTCTTCGCGGGATTGTTCTGATATGGCCTCGGGGTTGAAGGATCCACCTCTATATATAAACAGCCTAGACGATACAATAAAACGGCAAATGCGACGCAAAAATATAAAAAAAGATGGCGACGTTGTTTTTTTCTCGGTCAACGGTAAGCAACTGCGTTCGAGTTGCGGCGGGAAGACATTGCCGTGCGCGGGAAACTTGACAGCTCCGTAATTACTGTGAAATCTTCAATGTTTGTCGGTTTTTGTCGATATGTTTATCGTAATGTTTTAATATTCTGACTGGATTTTTTTTAATTTACATGATTATGACGAGTATTTTATATTTCCATTTATCAATACTTAAGGGACCGTTAGAAGTAATTATAACATTGGCGAGAAAAACTAGGGCTATATAACAGCTAATTAAAATAATTACTCTTTATATCATGTATTACAAATATGGCTTTTATGTTTGTTAATGACGTTATGATTATGTTTTACAGCATTTTTATCAATTTATGTGTTTACATGTCATAAAACAATAGTAAACATAATACGTTAACTTCACAAATATATTTTAAATAAACAAAGCTTAAAAGTCGAACAAAATACTTTTTAGGCTTTTCATTTTATTAACAAGTAACTATATTTCTAAAATTTAAATAAAAAAAACATCAAGCCTAAAATAACAATAGTACACAGTCAAAACCTAATCACATAACTAGTCAAGACAATTATTCGTAGCCAATGTTTGTGAACTTGAATTATTTATTGTCTTCCATCTGTGAGAATCTCTCGCCAAGGAAGTCATAGACACTGGCAATGACACAGAAGTTACTGCGGATATTCATCTGACAGTGACAGTTCTGATGAAAACTAATTTAACGATCTGTAGAGTGCTCTCATCTGATTTTATGTGGGGTACGCGCACCAGGTTTGGTGCTCAATAAATCTAAATATAAGTATTTGATTTTTCAATCTTATACAAATAAGTAAACATTAAATCAATACCTTACTAAATTAATTGTGACAGGAAAAAATAGGAATATTAGATTCCTTTATATTGAGGTAAAATTAGCTCACCCCACTGTCATATAGATTTAGAAAATACAGAGACGATTTAAGTGACAACGGAAAGGACACGAACTCATGGCCAAACATTTTCCCTTTTTAGCTAATTCACGGGAACTCTGCGCGTAATTAAAAAAGAACCTTAAATAGTAAGTAGCCTTCATTTTCATCCAGGCTAAGTCTACATCTCATTACTTTCTTCCTACATCTATGCCAAATTTCATCGAGATCCGTTCAGCCGTTCGGGAGATACCTTCTCACAAACATTCACATTTATAATATTAATAAGGTTAGGTGTTAATAAATTTTTGGTTTGGCCGACTATCATAACATGATATAATTCATTAGTTGCGTGGGAATCTATGAACATAACTAAATAATGCATAACATTTGCGGATTACTGTTATTATAATTAGCATTTATTACATCTTTATCTTTATCCTCCGGCATTTCCTGCTTATTATAGCTAATTAGTTTGTATTTATAATAATTAAACCATATTGCGTACTGGCTGTCGACCGCGACTTATTCAGCGCGGAATAAAAAAATAAAAAGTGGCCTAAATTATTCCAGTACACATCTTCAGTAAAAGTCCTGTCAAAGTCAGTTCAATTGTTTTGGAGATTACTCGGAATAAACGCGGATTTGTAACAGACATAGTTATCAATTTATTTCTTATTTTTTTTCGATTAAATGAAATTAAAATGAAATAATACCTTCTTTATAGTTCAAATATAAGTTTTATATCTAAAGAAAAAGGTTAGGAAAAATCATTTTGAGAATTACGTGAAATTATATGAAGAGTCTCGCTAAAGTCTATTACAAGATTTTGCTAACACGTACTTAACAGTAGAATTCCTTTACCGTTACATTAGATATTGTTGTCTCTGTTTTGCCAACAAATATGAAAGGGATGACAATATGTAATAACAAAAGAGTCAGTGCAATGGAATTCAATGGTAATGTTTTCTTTTAAACTGCTCTATAGCAAAATCATTCTTGGTATGCAAAGATTTCACATCGTTCAATTATTCTACAGGAAAGTATCATATTGATATAGATCAATGCATAAATAAAAAATAAAATAAAAAACCGTAAAAGTTAATTGATTATTGAACTTGTTTACTTCCCATGAACAACGAACATTTAGTTCCTATATCCACTGAGCGATTAACCGCGTGTGACAGACCGCGTTTCTATGAGATCACGTGTGACAGTCGCGTGTGATCACCGTCTCGCGTATACCAGCTTAGTGGAAACAGATGCTAAGAATATGATCTAGTTCATGATTATTTTCCCATCGTAAATGTTGTTTGTTTATAGAAAGTATTTAAAAAACTGTATGTCAATTGTCATTTACAAATAGTGTGAGTTTTGTTATAAGACAGAGTTTTCTAATTTCTCTGACTATTAAAGCTATAAAGTAAGTAGAATATTCTGGAAGCAAATTGTGAGGGATCTTTGCAATAAAACTATTATTTCCTCACATTTCCAGGTTCTTTATTCATGTTCTGACAGATGTTCTTATTTTTCTTAAACTCTAAAACAAACGTCACTTCTCTTTTGACACATTTGTACAAAATAGGTTTTAATCTACAACACACTCCCGGGGGAGGCATACAAGGTTTTAAAACAATAAAATTATCACACAAAAAAAACAACAACTTTCAAATCAACATAGTATATAAAAGCGACCAAAACAACAGCAAGGGTCAGAACTTCAACAACATCTGTTAATCTTAACTAAAACCTAATTGGAGGCATTATTGTGCGTCCTGACCTCGTTGTAATACCTGAGGGAGGGTTATCGTTAATACTAGCATCACTCGTCACATTACCTGTGTCTGAAGGCCCTTTATGTATGGGTACATTGTTGAGCCATTCTTGAGAGGCTGCTGAGACTTCAAGAGGAAATAATCTTTGATATGGTCTCACCTTTTCTCCTGAAGCTGTTTTAACTCTAGCTGTTCTTGTACACCCATCTCTCCCTGTAAAGGTTTCTTTTATTATTCCAATAGGCCAATGTAGCCTGTGTGTTGATTCAGCTTGTATAATCACTATATCCCCTACTTTAGGCTCTCTCTTATTCTCTTTTCCTTTACTAATCAATAGTGATAAATACTCAGTCTTAAATCTCTTTCTAAAATCTTCTCTTAATTGTTGTAGATACTTGTATCTAATGTTCAAATTATTATGATCAACTTGATCTAAGTCCGGTGTATCGTTAGACGGTAAACCATGCAGGAACATCATTGGCGTTAACGGTCTAACGTCTCCCATTTCCACATAAGTAAGCGGTCTACTGTTTATGACTGCCTCACAGTCGCACAATATCGTAGATAGCTCAATCCAATTAACCGATGCTCTGCCCAATATCCTTCTGAGCATGTCTTTTACTAACCTTATCATTCGCTCCCACCACCCTCCCCACCAGGGAGCTGCTGGAGCTGAAAACTTCCATTGGATATTGTAAGAGCTTGTTTCTTCTTCTAACTCTTTCCAATTTACTTCCTTGAACTGGGCCTTGTAGTGTCCACCCCAGTTTTGTTGGTATTGCTACTAAATTGTCATCTAACCGAATGAAGTTTTCTTTAATAATGCAACCTAATTGATCCGATCCAATTAATATACTAATATCTTTGATACTTTCCGCTGCGTCAGTTAACGAGATCTGATGCCTTCTCAAGTTTTCTATCAGCTTTGGGTCTTGCACTTTGGGTAAACTTCCGCAAAGCACATCTTGTTCTAATGCTGTCATAGTAGTATGAAACTTATCATCTAAACTACTTACTCTAAACTTGAAGACTTTATGTATTTTTGCTGGTTTCTTCACACCGCTAAATAGCGAGTGGCTGAGGTTCTCGTTGCCTGTTACCTGAAGTCCAAGATCTTCTGCCAGCTCCCTCTTTATATACGTCCTCTGTGAACCAGAATCTAGAAGTATTCTTATTTTCTTCTCTTGTTTACCATTAGAAACTTTGACTACTAGCGTCTGTAACAAGGTAGTTATGTCATTACTTATGAAACTATTGTTTACTTCCTTATTGTTTTCACAATGTTTTTCTGTTGTGTTCTGCTCACAGATCTTCGGTTGTGCGTGGAGCTTTGGACATAACATAACAACATGTCTCTTACTACAATACATACATCTAATAAATGCTTTACAATACTTGGCGAGATGTCCTTTCTTTAAACATATGTAACACCCACCTTTTTCCTTAATGCATTTTTCTTTTCTTCCAGTGACAGCTTATCTGCTTTGCTGCACTCTAGTGTGTTATGACTTTTGTCGCAGAAAAAACAGACTATCACCTTACCTTCTCTATCATTCTGGTCCTGCTTCGTCACGAAACACGCCGTCGTCGGAATAACCTGTTTTTGAAACGTGTTACAAAAAGAAGACTTGGCAAGATTACATCTGGCCTGTGCCTCAACTTCATTTTCTAAGAATTCCATCAACTGCTTAAGTTTCGACCCTTTCTGGCTTGGTATTTTAGTCCATTGTAATAAAATGTCATCTGGTAATGATGACTCTATAAATGGTAATAAAATGCATTCGTACTTTTCTCTAACTATTCCTAAAGATTCTAAAATTTGTAAATTAACAGAAATTTTATCAAAAATGTAAATTATATCTAAGTTATTTTTTGTTAGAACAACATCTAAAATTTCTCGGACATATATTTCAATCAAAATTTCATCCTTGGCGAAGCGTTTCTTCAATGTGTCTACTACCTTCTTATAGTTCTCCTTTGTAGGCGGATAACTTTCCACTAATGCTCTTGCCTTCGAATGTGGAGCCATGCAATTTAATAAATAAGTAAATTTATCTTCGCTCTGGATTTTTTCGTCCAAATGAATTTTTTCATACTGCATCCAGAATGCGATCCACGACTTCGGGTTATCATCAAATTTTCGCATTTCTATTTTAGGTAGGTTCAACGGTATCTGAGTACATCCCTGTTTGCTTGAGCCTGCTCCATTACATTTTATCTCCAGCCATCTTTTCTCTATTTTTTGACAGTCGTTAAATTCGTTAGTTATTGTTTCTTCGTCGTAGTTGACGTCTTCTAACAAAATTTCTTGTATTCTTTGATCTAAACTTATTATAGCTTTGAATTCCCCTCCAAAAAATTCAATATCGGCGTCTGTAAATTTTTCCTTCGCCGCATGTCTGTTAAAAATACGTCTGAATTGACACCTTTCTCGGGTTAATTTTTTAAGGTCCATTTTTATTCGTATTCTTCGTGCTATCTATATTAATCCAAATCAATTTTACATGATTTTTTAAGTCACGGTCGCCACTTATATATGTGAGGGATCTTTGCAATAAAACTATTATTTCCTCACATTTCCAGGTTCTTTATTCATGTTCTGACAGATGTTCTTATTTTTCTTAAACTCTAAAACAAACGTCACTTCTCTTTTGACACATTTGTACAAAATAGGTTTTAATCTACAACACAAATTGAAAACATACTGTGTTTTATTTTTAACTATAGTTATTATTTATTTAAGTTTTAAGAAGCTTACGCACCGAGTGAAGACTAAAATATTCCTTTCCAACGTAAAAACCGTACTACTGTATGGGTGCGAAACCTGGAAGGTGACTAAAGCTATAACGCAGCGGGTCCAAGTCGGGTGATGAAGAAGACAAAAAAATCAATCTCACACAGTTTATACGTTATTCAATGTACATATTGTTATAAACTAGTAAACATGTAAGATAAAGACAACCGGCTCGTCAAGGACGGCATCTTGTCTTGCAACCAAGTTCAAGTAAAACGATCAGTTTGGGATGTACCGCGCCCTTCGAATTTCACAAGTCGTTGTCCAATTGTTTATAAATTCCGACACAAAAATTAACTTGATTTAATTCGATATTATTGAACCGACATAAATATTTGTTTTACTAGACAGAGTCGATTGTGTTTTAACATCTCGTAAATTAAGAAACTAAAATATACGATAATTTCGAGTTTACAATTTTACAATTTTCTTCAGCCAGCTTTATTTCGCATCTTTTTAGCACGTGGATGTCTATGGGCATCGAATCAACTAATAATACGCGATCTGCTGCTCCTCGTTGTTGATATTTTAGTTATTTTTATATTAAGTAACAGTAAACATTTCAGTAGTGAAGTAAAGTTTTACGTTCTGGCTCTAATCCGAAATAGAAAAATTTCGACACTGCGTTCCGACACTAAAGAAAAGTCTCGTAGCAATGGGCAAGCACACATAAATCCTTGTGTCGATGCACTCTGTTAATACGATATCGTGTTCTGAGAATAATTTACGAATGCATTTTAATGAAAATAGCCTGTTTTTAATTTAATGGGCTTATGTTTTCTGCTATTGACGAAAATTTTATTTAAAATGGCTACTTACTTATTGTTATAAAACCCGATAATTACGCGAATAAATTTGTTGTTGCGGTCATCAATATTATATTATTTCAACAAATGTAGACAAGACGTACGTACAAGATGAGTCGTACTTTAATTTCTAAGAAGTTACGATGTCATTGGTTTAGTTAAAGTTGGATGGAAATTTTTACGGCGAGAAAACTGTCGAAACACTTATACTGAAAAATATTAAAACAGCTTATAATCACATATATACATTATTAAAATAAAAACATTATAAAATAACTTCATACATTAATTCATTTCACGATAATCTTCTTTTGTTCTTCTGATTTCTTCTCAATCCGTCGCAAACTCTGTCTTTTGTTGCCCTTCGCTAGGCAGCTGGCAATATTATCAAGCAAACTGCCATACGATGAGCCGCAACTGACACGAGTTTTATTTCTTCTCTTTTCCGACAATCTCCTTGTCTTCTTTTTAATTTTACAGATTAAAAAAATTACAGCTACAACCGATATAGAGCTTTACAATATTAACAATAGACAATAGATGCAGATAAAGAGATTTAAATAAAAAATTTGAATTAAAAAAATACTGATATATTAAATACTAAAATAAAAAAAATAATCGAATTAATTATTAATACAACTAAATAAGAAAAAATGTAATACATACCCATAAAACAGGACAATATTTTTTAAGCTCCTATACAACAAATTCACAAGAGAACAATTGACCGTCGATTCTTTTGTGCCACCATTATAAATCCCTCTTATCTACGAGGAAAGCCGCGAGTTAATACATAGCTCTAATTAAGTACGACCAATGCCTTGTACGCCATATTGTACGACGCCATTTTGTTTTGTTGTCTAATTAGTGATGTCCATGTTAATTTAGAATTATTTTAAGGGTTTGAATAAAAAATATAGTAGAAAAGAAATCTCGTTCATGCGTGTGCTTATTTACTTTAATTGTTATAAGTAATATTGAAACTGCTGTACTCAGAGTCTTCAAGTGGGGACCACTTAGTGTATGTTCAGTATGAGAAATATATGTACTAAGGGTTCTATTTAATGGTTTAGTGGTAAACTAAGGCCGCGTCAGTAAGAACTGTTGTAAGTAAACATTACATAATATTTAGTTACATTCCTTTGACTTCTCGTGATAATTAAAAAAACAAAAGTGACTAACGGTGTATATTATGACCAACAGTCTTTTAACAACCATTAATAACTTTTTTTTTAATTTGTTGACTCTGTGGTATGTAAAGTTTATTTTTAAAAGTTGTTGTTTATATGTGACCAAGGCGTAGACAAAGATTTTGGAGATCCATAGTGCGGTTCTTTACCTCGGCTCTTTCACATTCGTACACACCATGAATTTGGAAAAAGCTTCTCTAGAGTTTGATTAATTATATTAGAAAATCTTGTAAAATCAATTGATTATTATCAAATAAATAATTGGTAGTACCATCACTATTAAAATATAAAATTTCATTATCTTGTATAGCAGGAAGGCGAGCCGGATGAAGTGGTCTCCCGCAGGAGATAGCGGCCGCGGTAACGGACACATGGTCCAACCAACTAATAGGCAATTACTGCTACACAATAAATGACCTCATAATTACGCACGATATTATTTACATGCACCTGCTACTTATGACGATATTTTATTTGTTACAAAATCAATCGCAATAAATATTTTATATTGAACTAGATGTGCCCGCGACTTCTGCCGTGTGAAATACTGTCTGAACTGTGCGGTACTGGACAGTACTTGGATATTAAAACATTACTTTATTTTTCTAAAATAAACGTAGCCTAGTTACTCTATATTACATTAGCTAGCTGCCAATAAATGTCAAAATCGGCAGCCATTTCTGAAATTAGCCAGACAGATAAAAAATGTATAAAATAATAGTTTGGAGCATAATCCGTATACTTCTTCATATGCTACTATGTGTAGACTAAGTTGTAGCAAGGAAGAAAGATATCCCAACATATCTCTCCAAATTGAAATCTTCAAACGCCAACATCAGTTTTAATGCTCGCTCGTTTCAAAACCACAAAGACAGGCGTAAAATGTAAGTTGTTTGTCACACATTCATCAGAAGAAACGCAGAATTAGGCCAAACTGTAGTCGTCTTCTCCTTTGAAAGGAAAGGGAATTGGCCTGTCTGAACTTCCCCACCTCTGTCCATAAAAATATTAAACGTATTTTCATTTGTAGCTAAACTCTATTTTTGTGAAATGAGGTGGTTCTTAGTATTAAAAAAGGCGTAATTTCGTATATCTATTTTACGTTTTTTTTACATAAGACTAGATAGATAAGTTCGGATGGATAGATGTATATTTGTTTGAAGACATCTTCAGAATGGTTGCTTGGATCTCGCTGAATTTGGCATAGATTTAGATCATAGCTTTGAAAGAGACATACTCAGATTTTTTTAATTCTGTGCGTACGTAGTCGCGGGCTAATTAAGTATATTTATGCATTTAATATATTTATATATATTTACACATCATCATGTTAATTATTAGATGGAGGAAAACCACAAGCAATATTATCGACATACCTAACCTAATAACGAAACGCACTAATTATGAAAACATTTTGGTTGTTTATTTCTTTTTAATGTTTTCCGTCAAAAACGTCGTCCGTATTAAAATTTTTATGTCACACGTTTTATTAATATTAATGTAATAATTATACATACAAACATTATTTACTAATTAAAACAACTAACTTTGTTAATCTATGATTTGAATAGAAATTTAGAACAAAAACTATAACTTTTCCTTATTAAATCTTAAATTTATGTTTTAATAAATGCTTAATAACAAAAAATATGACTTTACTTACCTAAAACGTAGTTGTATTTACTACCTAAGTTCAAGGTTACTACATCCAGGGACGCTGAATCGATTGCACATTTCCCGGGGGAACCACAACAGTCATATTCCAATAAGTATACGATTACTAACTGGCCTTTGTAAATCTATTTTTTAAACCTTTAGTTTTGGTAGCAAGTTTAAAAACGCTTCATTATTTTAGTTGTTCTAGCATCTTAAAACTCACTTTTACTTGACTCTTCTGGCTTAAGGAGGATTGCACTGTGGGGAAATTTATGTTTATGAAGGTTGATCAGCTGCCAATACGTCTAGGTCAAGGTCAATTCCGTTCTGCGCAAGTGCGAAGGTCAATGTTGCCAAGCGCCTGCAGTTAAATAATAGCAAAAATTATGTAATAAAGTTTTTTTTTATAAACTTGCAGGAGAAAATACTCAATTTTTAAACATTGGTTTAATAAAAAAAAACATATTTTTTATGTTTCATGTTTTAATAAGCATTAAAGCAAAATATTAATAGGGTTAACACCGTTTGCTATTTTAACGTTTCCGTCATTCGTGGTTATTTAATCTTCATGATTAAATTATTTACTAAAAAGTTTTTAACGTTATGTTGCAATCATTTATAAACATTAGCTTGATTAGTATAAAAACATGCGCTTTAACTCCATCGAGGAAAAAATTCATTTTAGCCTTTCTTATTATTTATCTTATACTTTTTAAATGTCTTCTAAATGTCAAACTGGTAAGTTTATCCAAGGTAAGGTTACATTTTCCATTGAAAGTGACTTTGCAGTAAGCAAACTTTATTATGTTATTATAGGAAATAAATAAAACACTTTATAAACATACTGTGCTATAATCTAAGTAAAATAACATATTAATAAAATCAAATAATACACAAATGACATACAAAAAAAAAAGAAATAAAAGTAAAACCAAAGATCGTGTCGCTTTCCATAAAACGGGTAGCACTTTTATACAGGCTAAACAAATCCACACTAACATTAGGCCCTTTACAATACAAAGCTACCAATACGAATGTGAACCTTAATTCCCGCATCATAAAGTTGAATATCCAATACCCTGCCCTCTTCAGTCCATTCACTATTGACAAATGTCATCCGAAATAGAGCTTTGCGCCGTCGTACTTAAGGCGGTGAATCGCTTGATTGCGTCAGCGTGACGTCACACGTCATCTGTCAGATTTGGCGGCATTGTGCAGATGGTTTGGCGCGTCTGCGAAGGCGAATTTTAACCTGTAAGCTTCAGCTACGAGCAGACTTATGTTGGAATCCGTCCAGTTTTGTGTTGGTACATTTTGTAGTAATATCATAAGGCCTTGAAAGTCTTTTTCCAGCATGAGTTTTTCCCGCCAGTGCAGTAGAAAGGCGGCGCATACGTAAAGTTGGAAGGTCGCGAACCCGTCCGATTCCGCGAGATATGTGTCCCAGAGGCGTATAGTACAAGGTAAAGGTATCTCTCTCGTTAGCAGGTTATTCATCCAGCGGAACGAGAACTGCAAATAGTCTACTCCGTGCGTCTGCAGGTGCTCGTGTAATTGTTGGTCGATACGACGTATCAGTTCTTTTAATTGATTTACCTGAAAAAATGTTTTTTGAGGTTAAAAAAAATTATATTCCCTTACTATGCTATACTCTCATAAAGGTGTTTAAAAATTGTGAGATATATATATAAAAACTTCAAAATAATCCTTAAGTTTGTCTATTCCAAGGACACCTTAGTATTTAATGTAACTTACTTCTACATTTGATCAAAAAAAGACTCTAAAAGTTACTTACTTTATACTGTATACCAAGTTGTGCAAATATATAATTATCCTGTATACTATCCAGGAACTTGGAGAGGCACCAGAAGGAATCCGCTTCTATTATATCCCGTTGCTCCTGCGTCAGCTCGTCCAGAGGAAAGTTGTCCAGCTCTTTGCCTGGCGCAGCCTCCTGCAGGAACACCATGAAGAATGGAGTCACCAGGTCGTTGATGCCTTGCACGTAGCCAGAAGCGGGATGTCTGATTGCCCATATGTACAGGATACGCTCGAACATCACCTGCAAATAATGAAATATTATTAATTTTGACTTAATTAATTAATTATAATTTTTATCATCTGTCGCTTTTACTATATTAAAGCTGAATACGGTGTAGTAACCCGGCCTTAGAAACAGGGCGATTTTAGGAAAATGAAACATTCTGCCAAGTGGCATTCTGGCATAATGGCCAGTGAACCTTTGCCTGTTTAAATATATAAAAAGATAGATTTAAAACAGTGAACAATAGCGCGGGAGTTTAGATGTCTCGAATAGTGCTCAAGATAATTGTTACGTAAATAGTGTAGTGGAAGTGAGTTTAACAACAAATCAAGTTATTTTGGCTACCGTGCAGCTGTTTTCAATTTATTTTCCCGTTTCGCCTACCGATCATTTTGCCCAATGCGAAAACAAAAAAATACCAATGGGCCGATCGTTCTATGGGCTTAACAGGAAACATAGATAATAGACATACATTGATTATTATTTAAACTGTTTTTGCCTTTGATTACAATATAAATAATGTGGTTACGGCGGAAATGCATCATATTGCAATTAGTATCAGGTGGTCGCCCGCAATATTGCCGCAACTATAACCGACTAACACGCACCGCGATTGTCTACGTATTTGCCCTACTTAATGCATAAAAACATATGGATAGACTAGTTGTCGCCTGCAACTGTATTAGTATAGAATAAAAAAAAAACTTAGTATAAACTAAGTGTTCTTCCAGGCTATGTTCTGAACACATTCACATTTATAATATTAGTAATTGGTAAATTGGATCAATGTAAAAAGATTCTGGAAAAACTAATAAAATTACATCAAATCTATCAACATACAACTTAATATATTTTAGTAGAATATAAACATGTTATTATAGAATAAAAATTTATATGTTGTCATGTAAAAATATGGAAATAATACAACTAAGGTCAATACACTTCTAAAACTTAGAAGTTGATGCCAAATAAATATGCAAATTTATAATTATAAACATATAATAATAATAAACATATTATAATATAACTAGCTTCCGCTCGGGACTTTGCGCACTAGAAAAAAAATTTAGTCTCACTATTTCAAATTACGTTCAGATCTGTTCCGCTATGGAGTAAATTTCAACACAGTATTTACTAGTTCAGGAGACAGAGCCCACAAAATTTTTGTGAAAATGTTTTTTATTTGGTCAATAAAGGATTTTTAATTTTTTTTTTTTAATAGATACCTGTACTGTAATCTGCTGGAACAATGCAACGAGCGGACTCATACGTGGTATATCAATATGTATCTGTCTGTATGTATCCTCTTCACGTTCCGCATCATAGTACTGTCTCACAAGGTGCTTGTAGTCTGCACGCTTCCGTTCTAATGTCTCCGCTCTACGCTCCGCATTTGCCGGCAGGTAACCAGCTAGGAGACGCCATGTTACAGCTCTTGTCTGAAAGTGTTAATCTAAACTTTACTAGTAGTAGAGCAACAATGGCTCAGGGGTCAAGCACTTGACTTGCAATCTGCATGTCCTTGGTTCGAATCTGCCATGTACCAATGTGTTTTTCGATTTCAGTTTTGTATATGTACATTTTATCCAATGTTCTTACAGTGAAGGAAAACATTATAATGTAACCTGCACATATCTGGGAAGAAATTCAAAGATATGTGTGAAGACAATCAACCCGCACTTGGCCAGTGTGTTTGACTATGGCCTAGTCACCCCTAACTTAGGGTAGATGTATAGTGACTAATGGTCATGAAAGTTTACTAGGGTTATAAATTACTTAATTTCACCTTTAAATTCAAGTATATCATTCTTTAACAAAGAACCTCTTCATATTAGTTTGGTGTTTTACTAATTATTCAACACATGCATCAATAAGCTAGCAATGTGTGAACAAATAATAATAATTAACAATATAGACTTAGCACAATCTTTGTTTAAACTTGTGGTAAGTAAATGCTTACTCATGAAATTATAAATGTTGCCGATCCACATATCAAAGCAAATAAATAATATTTTTTTTGTCAAAGAGATCAACTGTTGACCTTTCTATCAGTTTTAACAAACAATTATTAAAGTGCATAATTAAAACTCTTTGCATATTTTTATCTGATTAAGATGAGGAAATAATTAGGGAATAACATATTATTGGGTTCAGGAATTACATATCGAGGTTTAAGGAATGGAAACAGAGATAAAATCAATCAAATCAAATTACTTGTCAAAGATGAGAAGTCTGTTATATAACATAAATTCAGTGCAATCTCTTTCAACTAATTAGTGTTGTTTTAAACTAAGGTTATCACCACTAAATGATATTTTTAGATAAACCAATTACCTTGATAGGTATTCCTGACCAGCTCAATTGTTTCAACTCATCCAAATCCAAAACAGGACTTTCAAGGATTTGTTGAAACCTTTCTAGCTTTGATTCACTGCTTTCCTCGCGTGACGCTAGCGCGGACAGTCTGACGGGTCGGGGACGTCCAGGGTAATGTCTGATAAGTCCCGTACTACTCCCCACAGCACCACCAGTCCTTCTAATTTCATTTTTACGAACAGCCAACGCCTCCTCTTTAGGTTTTATATTTTCACTCTCTACTTTGACGTCACTTTTGTTTACATTTTTAGTACTATTCCTATGCGAATTTATCACATTTAAAGCTGCAGTTTCCGATATGGCTTTCGATATCTTCGCCTCCGCGATACCAGATATGATGTCGTCGTCTCCAAGATCCCAGGCATCATTCACAGATGCCTGGAATTGTTGATACGATGACCCAGACATAACCTCGTTCTTCTCCACCCTTTGTAAAGGTCTTCCAGGGATTGCACGTTGTGGTGTCCTCCAAAATGTATCAGACAAAACACTGTTCTTGTCATATTCGGCTTGGTAACTTTCCATAATAAAATATCATCAGGAACATCATAAAATCTTTACTGAACAACAAAATAAGAGAATGTTTGATATGACATATCACATGCACCATAGACAATTTTGTGTATTCATTTCATTCACTGATTCAGTTCGCAAATGCACAGCCAATACCAATAGCCAGACCAACACACAATAATGAAATAATAACATCGTAAAAAAATATTTCTGGTCCACATATAGAATATACGGAGTCTATTTAATTTATATATAGAAATATTAAAGTAAAAGCTGTCAAACAAATATCATGAAGTTGACAATCAAATTATACCACCCTGACTCTTTTGATTTTATTAACGTTTTTTTATAAGGAACAAGACACTATTTTTATTTTATTTGTTATAAAAATATTAAGATGTTCGGAGCCTACTTCAAATCAAATTACTTGTTACCAATACCATGTTTCTAAGGAATTTATTAAATCGATAACTGTATTAGTTCCAAGGATTAGTGATCGTGTGGGTTTCATCATGGCTAGTCCGAATCCAGATAATGATGCAGCTTCCATATTTGTCCATAAAAGTGACAACAAGGAAAGGAATTTTAAAAGTCCTGAACGAGGTGATACATCGACACGAATAAACTCTAGTGTCAAACCGAGTAAACCAGCGGAAATAATTACGGTTAAAGACTTCTTTGATTTTATGAAAACGGCATATCAAGTCTATGAGCATTTAGAAGGCAATGAAGACGAGGCTAAAATAAATTGGGAGGCACTTACTAAATTGACCGTCATAAATCATGTCATAGAACCACAAGAGAGAGAACTTTTGAGGAATACGGCACATACAGAACAAAAGCCAATAACCAGTAAAAGCGATACAGCTTTAGAAAAGAAAACTAGCGAGATAGTGCTCTTAGAAAAGCGGTTTAGTTACAATGATATCGAAAGTAACTAAAAATATAACAAAGTACTGTTTTGAACATGTAACTGGAACTGTAATAATGTTTTTACTGTTTTTAGGCAAAAAACGTTCTATTCATGGGGAAATCAAAGTAGAGATGCTTGGGGCCTGGACAGAGGCCAATTTAAACTGTAAATTAAACGATGTAAGTACAGTTTTTATATTTGTTAATTTTAATGTAGACTACATATGTCTGTCAATAGATGGCGTTATATAAAATATAAAATAAAATATTTATACTAGGTAATCAACGAAGGAATTTTAGACTCCATTTTACCCTATTTAGTTGGATATAAAAAGCCGTCAAAAACTACAAGCGTTTATACGCCTATTATTAAAAAATCTAACAATGAATCAGATGTGAAAAAACCTGCTAGTTTTGGAGGTATATATGTATTTTTTATTTATTTAATTAAGGAGCCGATTTTTAAAAAGTTTTCAATATTTTCATTATTTTTCAGGCTTCGTTCACGAAAAAGAGTCGAAAGATCGATTAGGGAGACGTAAATCTTCTATAATTGCAATTCAGGAAAAACTAAATCAAAAGCATGAGTAAGTAATATAATGAGAACATGAATAATCTTTGTAAATTTTCTTTGGTATTGTTTTTATTATTTCTTTTACATTGGTACATTTTCATCAAACTTCTCATTAATTTCAGTGCTATAGACATCATCCGATATGGTCTAGTGGCTAGGATACCTGGCTCTCACCCAGGAGGCTCGGGTTCGATTCCCGGTATCGGAATACATTTTTGTTAATTTTTATTTTAGGGGTGACGTTGAAATTCACGTGTGCGACGAAGTGAAAGGTTTGAAAAAAGACTTTAAGTGTCCTCAAAAATTACTTGTGTCCAAAATGGGTTATTTTGCTGACGTAACCGCTGGCCAGAGACTTGAAGATATGGATATATCAGTACATTGTGATATACAGGTCTACTTTCTTTTTATATATTAAATAAATCTGAAAAAATAAATTAAATTTATAAGAAAATATCATGGTAGACGTATTTTAAAAATACAATGTTGTGCAGATTTTTGATTGGCTTATGAGATGGGTGAAACGAGATACTATTCTCGTCGCTGATTGGCCGCTGTTGGATCCTCATAACGTTATACCCATACTTGTGTCGGCATCATTTCTTCAGGTAAATTCCAGACAACATGTGGCTACACTAAATAAAATAACGGAAATAGCATAGACCATAAAGTCTCAAACAATAGTTTTATTGTAGATGGAGCCACTTTTGCACGATTGCCTGATATACTGCCACGCGCACATGAACGACATTGTTAAAACGTCCACCAATCTTGCTTGTTTGAGCGATGCTCTGCTAACCAGGTAAAGTCGTACAGAAAACATTTATAAGGAGAAATATTTATTAAAAGATTGAAGTTAAGCTATGATTAAACAATAAAAGCTGAGTAAAGGACAATAAAAATTATCACCTATTACATTTTCCCAGGAAGCTATCGCTGCGCTAATAACGTGGCGCTCACCCGTTGTCAAAACGTTTTTCAAAGTTGATGCCTTCTAGATCTTATCAGCGGTAAACTTATAGGTTGGCAGCAATGTACACGAACGCGGAGCTGGAGGCGGTGCGCGACCGACGCGACAAAATCCAGTCGCGGCTGTACTGCAAACTGATCCTCTCTCTGGCAGAACCTGTACCGGAGACCCTTCGCGGACACTACGCCACGCTCGCCACATTGTTTAAATGTACCAAGTTAGTGCCCATCACACAATCGATGGTGGAGAGTCATAAACTTCTACTACACTAGAGAGAATATATGCATACTACCTGACAAAGGGACATTGCAGTATCTGAAACTAGCAGTTTAATTAATTACACTTATCTAGGTGGGATACCCCTTCTAACCTTTTTAAAGGTAGTTGTATAAAAATATTTAAGTTTTAATGTATCGCTACAGATGCAACAAGCTCCTGGGACGTCACGTGGCGGAGCAAGTGCCCTGCCAGCCCTCCAGCATGAGAATCGACCGCCGCGGTAACGTTGTTTCTGCGCACGCCAAGTAAGTACAAACTTTGGTCCATATTCATGTATGTATTATGCGTATACATTCTAATAATATACAGGAAAATGGAAGGTTTCCCCGAACAATATAATAGACTGAACCCATTATTAGTAGTTCTTCAAATGTTGTTATGTTTTCAAATTTTTCTTGTAAGAGACCTTTCTTGGAGCCTGAACGAGTACATAACGTGGCTATACGGAGAGCTGCGGTCATGGCGCCGCGTCTACTGGCGTCTGTGGGCTGACTGCCACTTCCTGCGATGTCAGCTTTGCGACACATACTTCCCCGTGTATCAGGTAACCCGATACGTAAAAAATTGGCGTTATCTGTAAAATATCTCCTAATGCCTGAACTGAAGTCCTGCAATGACATGATAGATGGAATGGTGCTCGCATCACGAGCAGAGCGCGGCGCTGGTAGCGGGTGATGCGGCGGCTGGCCGCTACCCCTGTTGCGGACAACGCGCCTACCGCTTTGAAACTCTACCCCGTAACACTGTTAGTATAAGTCATAGCTTACTATCTTAGAAATTCGAAACAACCAACTCAGAAAATAACAACTGAGACAGTTTCACAACCCTAATGAATAAGACAATCAAAGAAACGTTGTGCGACGTCGGTTAGGGTTGCCAGTTCCGGGAGCACGTGCCGGAGGAACGTAATGCGGGCGAGGCGGCTGTGGTGGCGCTGTACGCGCGCTTTCGCGACCTCATCGCCATGCGTCCACCGCACCTCGTCTACCCCGAGCGACTTACTAGATTCGTTGCCAGAGGTAATCTTATTACATTTTTTTTTTTAGTTGCTTTTATATTAAAACTAATGTTAACACATTTCTTCAGAGCCAAATGAAGAAAATAGCGGTCGTTTGCAATGCAGGGAAGTATTCTGGTGGGAGGGCATTCAGCTGGTGCCACCTCGACAGCCTCTCGGATTGCTGGGGAAGCTGTACACTAGCAACACCAAATTTAACCGTGAGAATTTTATATCTAAACGTCACTTTGACAAATGCGATGACGTGTTATAGTTATCATTTATAAAAATGAAATGGTTTGACATTTTATCGTATTTTAATTAGCCATGGTAAGACCGCTGTAAATACGCTCTTCACATTGGCAATACATGTAGCAGCCATGTCTGCAAGCTTGAATATAAACGCTATTAGAATCATAGTTAACAATAACCAATTACCTTAATCTCCAAACACAATTATAGTCACAAGCGATAAGTATGTGTCTAACATTTCGACATTTTTACTTACTTCCAAATTCTATAATACAACAGTAGAAAAGCGTTATAAAGTTCTTTGCGATTACTTCTACGGAATATAATTTAACGGCATAGCGAGCATTCGTCCCGGCTCACCGTCTGTCTCCAAGACACAGTCACCGCCGCAAAGCATCGGCGGAACCAGCAGAGCCAGCACGATATCATCTTGCCTCTCTGATCAGCGCGAGCTCAAGGCAAAGTTAATATCCGAATCCGGCCCCAAGATCAAGGTAAGTACGAAGAACAACTACCCCGATTTTGGACATCGGATGTTTGCGTTTGAATTTGACGTTTGCTGTTGTCTATGGTATCTATTTAAATTTGACAAATGGGAAATTACCGGTAAATTATAATTGCCATATTTCTACGTTTTCTTGGAATTAGGTAAATTGTATTTTCTACACTTAGTTGCGTTGTGTCTATTTAATTTTGTAGCACTATGATTTGAACGTTCCTCGTTGTTATGGTTTGTAGTGCCGTAGTTAGTTTCACGAAATTAATTCTAGTAAAGTTGTTAAAACTTAGAGATTGCACTGTTAAAATAATCCATGTGAAATAACGCTAATCAAATCGAGCGGGGCACATAACCTTAAAATATGTTTAAAAGCTTGGGTTTCACATTGTGAGTGTATTACGAAACAATCTTTAGGGGAGGCCTACCAGTTGTAGGCACAATTTATCTGATGATTGAATTAATGTAAAGTGTTGACATGCATGTTGGTGCGAAGCAAGGCGCGTCCGGGTGCGGCGACGTGTCGGGCAGCGCGGGAGGCGCGACGGGCGTAAGGGGGGCCAGCGTTCGCGGAAGTTCAGCGGGCAGCGAGCAGAGCGCCAGCTCTGATAGCGACAGCGCCAACAGTGACGAGGACCGGCCGCCGCGCCGCCCACAGCGTCCTCCGCCGGTCACGCCTGCTAGGTCTAAGTGAGTTTGACACAAATGGTAATATAGTCTTGGCTTCTGTTCCCTGCACTGTTTATTGGTTATATTTTTTCAGGAAGGGGCGCGTGGTGGGTCGTCAGTGGCTGCCTTCGGTGTCGGCACGCAGCAATCAGGACGGGCAACGCCGATACGAGGAGCGCGCTGCGACTCAGATGCGCACCGCGCTCGCTCGCCGACACGCGCAGCTAGTGCGGCCCAAGCCCACACCAGGTAAAGTGATATACAAACTTTACGATGGCTCGCAATTTAGCATTTAGATTGTGAAGAACATAATATCAGGTAGTGGCGGAACGCAGAGACCAATTGACGGAAAATATATACTGAGTGCTAAAAGTGTGTTTAATTTGACATAGGAGGTGTATACGCGCGTCTAGAGGCAGAGTGGCGGGAAAAGTACGCGCCGCGGCCTCGCGTTGCCATCTCAGCGAGGCCGCGCCCAGCAGTCGCCAAATATAAATGAAAATATTTCGAAATCAATATACTAAAAAACGTCACTGCATTGTTTTAACCTTATTTTGCTGTAATTTAAACGATTTGATACTATTTTCTCTTTACTTCAACAACCTTCTCATCCTTCAATCAGAGAACTCCGAGAGCAAACATAGAGTAAGGAGAGCATTGCATGGATTTCTTACTAAAATCACTGTTCTCTTATATCTCTAATCAATATTCTTAAATAACAGTTTGTGGGAAGGAGTATTTGTTAAATAAAACATAATTCTCTTTTGTTATATTTTATTGAGGCCTACATCTAGAAGCACATTCTGTGCGGGTACTGGCTGGAGCGCAGCCCGAACGCCGACCTGAGGTATCCGCGCAGCAGCTTCTTGTCAGCCCTCAAACCGATTGCCTTGATGACTGCTTCGTCAACCGACTTCTGGTCAGCTTTCCTCTGCTCCGATGGAACGTATTTCTGAAACATGACACAAATACATTAATAAGATGAAATTAACTTAGTTGAACAGAAATTTGTCAAGATTTACACTGATTAAAAGTTAATTTAAATAGGAGGTTTCAATGACATATCCAAGATATTTATTTTACCATAAATTCAAATACATACGTTTCCACAGCCAAAAAAACATGTATAAAACATATACATCTCTATGTTCTTGAAATACATAACATTTTTATACCAATGTGGATACACAAGTCTATTTTTATAGTTGCCTTGCACTTTACATACAACATTACTATTACTGCTTACCTCCTTTTTGCTCGCGAATATGTCCTCTCCCTCCTTGCGCTTAACGCTGCGCTTAGTGCTCTTCTTGTTCTTCTTGAAGTAATCATCGTCAAGGTGAGCGGGCAACTTGAAGTCACCCAGGTCCACCTTCGTGGAAGTGCTGATCACATAGCGCTGAGGGATGCGACGCAGCGGACACGAGTTGAACTGGAAATTACAATATTTTGATTAACCATAATGAAAATCATTTATTTTTTACAACTAAAGTTGAATCTGGACAAACTAGAGTCCAAGGGATTGCGATATTTTATTACACGTTTCTCGCTTATGGAGGTTGTCTATTGAGGCTAGACAATAACTCTCTTATAAAGGTTTTTTGGTTATTCAGTAATTTGACTGCATAAAGGGTTCGGAAGTTGAAGTTTTTTTTTATAAGACCAAACAACTATAGCCTCTTGATTTCTTTTTTGCAAATTTTCTTTATGCTAAATAACATTAATGAGTTCCTTTTTTTGAAGTTGAAGTTTGCAGACATTCAGTGCGTAATTTTTTTTAAGTTTACGTCATATAAAATCGTAATGAAACATGAGGAAATACTAACAGCAAAAGGTCCAGTCACGAGCAGCAGGCCGCTAGGCAGCACGCCGACGAGTACGACGCGCTTACCCGCATGCCGACCAGCCAGCAAAATGCACACTGTACCGACCGTTAGGTTCGGCCTGGTCCGGCGCACATGTTTGCTGAACGTCTTATGGTGAGAGCGAGTGGTGATCCTGTAGTCATATAAAATGATGAAAGATGTAAAAGTAAGGCTTTCAAACATCTTGGTGGCTCGTAATTATAGTTGGCAAAATGATTGTAACTGCCCATACCTGAGACTTCTCAAATAAAGCTTGGCCATACTTGCTTAGTCCGGTTTATGTATTTTACATTAATCATAGAATTAATTAGGGGTGACTAGTCCATAGTCAAACATGCTGGCCAAGTGCGGGTCAGTTGACTACATATATATCTTTGAATTTCTATGAAATACTCATGAGTGGTATTACAGTGAGCATGTATCCATTTAAAAAATTGTTAAATACAAATTCTATTTAATATCAAATCTGGTGAAGGTTTAATTATTATAGTAAATATGTCACAAAACTTAATTTATTATAGTTGCTTTTTTTAAGTATCATTACTACTAATAAAAGAATTTACAGTTTGTGTTTTCATTGATTTTATAACCTTGTTCACTAATTGTGACAGTTTTGTTTGTTTATCAATATCAATCTTTTCTACTACAAAGCAATACAAAAAATCTGAATAAAAATTATACTAACTTGTCTTGAGTGGGGTAGAATGATTTTCTGCGGCGCAGAAGAACTGTACGAGTCCCACCATTCTTCTCACCCCCTATTTGCTTAACCACCACTGTGGGCTTCTTAGGCTTTTCTGCCTTTGGGTTTTTCTTGCCAATGAACTTGTACTTGGCCTGGAATCGACGATATATTCGTAAAATAATATAATAAACACTATTTATTAAATATAATAAAGTTATGTTAATACACACCTTCTTGTGGAACATTTTAGTCTTGGAAAAACGAACAACCCCATTGCCCAAATTATAATTCCTCGGTACGCCGAATTTAGGCTTCTTCGCGACCTTGCCAACAGGCGCTGCAGGCGCCTTGGCCACCTCTTTGGGCTTCGGTGGAGCCATTTGATCTGCACATAAGACAAACAACCTCAAATATCACAACACCCGAGTTCATAAGATAGGTTACTAATTTTCTTATCATTGTTTCAGAAACAAGTTGAACATCCACTTTCGAAAGAATATGTGATTTACTCTGTCGCAATAACATCAAAAATATAAATAACTATTTGCACTGAATCAATACGATCACATAGTCGAACGTCAACTTTAGATACAATAATATTTATAAAAACAATAAATTAACGAGAAATATGGTATCCTATCACTTGTTGATGAAACAAACTTTTTATTTTAAACGTTTATTGCAATAACTTTACTTATTTCAAGTCAATTCCTTTGGATTTATTTATAACCAAAACAACACCAACTCACATTAGAACCGGGATCAAGAAAAAGAATTTGACACAGATGTCAATCTCTATGGTTAAGTTGTGATGCCATCAATAAAAATTTAATAAGGAAAAATGGCAGAATCTTTACAAAAAATAATTATCTTAATTCAAAGATGGTTTTTCTCAGACTTTTCTTCCCAATGATTCTAAACATCGATAAGTTTAGAACGATTTAGATATGATTATCACTTACATTAGAATGACGAGCTAATGTAAATGAAAACTATGGAAAGATAGGCAATTTAGCTAACGTTTGTTATGTTTTATGCATAGGCTAGTCGAAATGCACGGAAACCAAATATTTGATATCTTTTTCCCGATTCAAACACATTCAATTGAATAAAGTGGGACAAACTTCCTAATGGTTTTATCTATGGTGTTTAGTGTTGCCTGATTTTACAAACGAAAACAATAAGTGTCAATGTCACATTGATTTGAAGTGGTGAATGTCAGCTTACGAAATTGACGTCAATGTCAATCACAATCAGTTTGAAAAAATGGCTTCTTTGAGGAGCCCGTCTTCACCGTCCGACGGATATAAAAGGTTTAGTGATGATTTCGCAAACACCAGCATCAACAATTACGGCTCAAACGTCACAAGTAAAGGAGAAGCTATTTTTTTTCTAAGCACAGTAGCCGCAAGATATATGTACGCTTTTGTTTTTAACAATACATTTTGTAATGCATTTAACATTTTGTTTAATTTTCACCTGTAATTTCCGTAGTAGCATCCGTATACCGAATAAAATCAATATCTGTCGTAATCTAAAACCTTAAAAGGTTCAGTGACGCAGTGATGAGTCATAAGCGCCTTTAACATCAACCTATGTAATATACTAAACTAAACAATAAATTGAACAACTCGACCTAATTCTTTGAGTACCGTTAGATCTGTCAATCAGCGATCTGCATGATCATAATCTTTGGCTTTGCATGCTGCTAAAATTAGTATTTGCACTTATTTATACCTCTATAACATGTATAGATTAAAATTTACTTTTTTCTACTTAAATCTGCTTGTAGCCGGCGTCGTATGGATTGATGTAGGTCAGGACTTCTGTACATTGCTTCAGCTGATTTATTGCTCGTTTTTTTTTTAACAAAAACAATTCTAATTTGTTTCAAAGTTATTATGGTAAATAATGTCATTACAATCTAACTAATTTCTTTTAATTTACTGTAGCAAAGTATTTAATAAATTAAACATATGTCCTTATATTTATGTATCTTACCTATGTATGTGTTCATTCAGTGTAACATATAATATAGGTTTTGCCAATCGGTCTGGTCCATTATCAATTTAATCATTGGCACTATTGATAAGAGATAAGTTAGCAGGGGTGATCAATCTTTCTTAGTTATTTATTTGAGTATACCAATGTCTGTTATGTTATTTTAATTGTGTAATTTGCAGGAAAAATTATCTTTTATCAGTTTCAGAAAATAGCTATAATTATAAATTATTTCAATTTGCAACCCATGGTTAATCTCATTACAATATCTATCAAGTTGTATTTATTTGCTTTCTACACACAATAAATTAAAATAACATAAGATGTATGTTTTTAAACTTAATAAATTAATATGATAAATAACATTCCAATACCATACCATAGCTTTGATAAAATTTTCTTAAAAAAAACTGATTGAAAATAATCTTCAAAGAAGTTTTTTATCTATTATTTTTCCCGTACTTTATGTTCCAGCATGTATATGTATAAATCAATATAGCTTCATATATCTTATCAGTGACAGTATACTGGTGTTTTCCGAGTTCTGTAGTATCTCAAAGAATTTATAATCATTTTAATGTTTATATGAAAATGTACAACTTTGTTGCACATTCAAATAAAGTTTTGGATTATTTTAGAGATCAATGGTATCAAGTGAAATCATGTAAGTTTTATACATTTTAAAGCTTATAAGTTATTTTCCTATTTACCTAAGCATATTTGCTGTAAGATGTTGGGTGTTTTGTTCATAGTAGTTAGTAAATTAGGTCAAATATGTATATAATAAAAATCAAATCTTTTTTCCAGATCCTTCATTTAATTTGTTTTTTATTCTTTATGGTGTCTTTGTAAATGATAATGCCAGTAATATTCTAATACAATTAACTTTAAATTTAGAACACTTTTTAGGTATATGTGTTGAATAGTGTACCAACATTTGAATAAACAAAGAGCTCCATGTGTAATTTTCTGTTATCTGATGAAATGCATTTATAATAAGAACAATGTAAGGTTAGATCTCACGGCAACACGCAGACATATTCATATACTAAA